TGTACCTAAAGGTGCTAACAGAATATTTTTCCATGAAAATATTCTATATTATGTATCCATAAAAGTATTCTCCATTCTAGTGGTGTCGTGTATAGAAAATTATATTTTAGTCACAAAATAAAATGTAAACACAATCCTGAAGAGGGAATCTATTGTGATCAAAATTGAAATGGCATGTACGTTTCAGTTAAATGTTTGTATAATAGCTGAACAGCATAAAGAATAACTGTGAAGTTCAAATATTATTTGTCTGTTGCCTAATTTGAACTTTTTTTCAATATTAAATTATATTATGTTTCTAAATAAAAAAATAATGTGGGAAAAAATATTATACAGGGTGGGCCGCTGAAAATTTACAATGGCTATAATTTTTAAACCAAAAAAGATATAAAAAAATAAAAAATACCGTTTCTATAATATCGAGGGGGAATGCATATAACATATTTTTTGAACCACCCCGACCTACCCCTTAGGCATCCCTACTCACTTGAAAATCTTAATTGGCAACACCCTACTTGTGGCGTCTTTTTGGAAAGCTCATGAAAAATGCTAAATGATGATCATAAAGTTTTTAGGGTGAAATTGAAAAACTACCCTTACACGAACAATTAGGTTTGTCCCATCAAATTGGGACCCAGCTAAATGACGCAAATGAAGTATTTTTTAAACCACCTCAACCCACCCCTAGGTGGCACCCCCTCACTTTTAATCTCAAGATAGCGATACCCCACTTGTGACACTTCTTTGGAAAGTTAATTGAAATTGCTAAACGATGGTCATACAGACTTCAACTTAATTACTGGTTAGTGACAAGAAATGTAGGTGTGACAATTTGAAAGAAATTTAAAATGAAAATTTATTTTAATAATTGCTCAAAATGACAGCCGTTTTGTTCCATACAAAAATACAAACGATTTTCAAATTCTTCTCTCACTTTTTGGAAAATCTCTCTCGGAATATTTCGACATGCTTCAGTTCTCCTCTGCCGCAATTCTTGCAACGAACCTGGTTTTGTGTTGTAGACTATGGATTTAGTGTAACCCCACAGAGAAAAGTCTAAAGGAGTGAGATCAGGTGACCTTGGCGGCCACTGGATTAGACCCCTTCTGCCAATCGATTTCCTTGGATAATATTTATCCAACCACCGCCTTGTGACAATAGAATAATGCGAAGGGGCTCCATCTTGCTGAAAGTTATGTGGTCTTCATTAAGAGTTATAATAAATATCTTTGTACCAGCTTTTTTTTTCTCGCAATGGTTCATCGATACAAAAATAATTCATTCTATTGATTTTGACACGTTTTGACTTTTTTGTTTTATTTTTAGTTCTTTTTTATGACAGTCGTTCAGCATTTTTTATACGCTTTCCAAAGAGGTATCACAAGTAGGGGTGGGTCGGGGTAGTTTGAAAAAAACCTCATTTAGCTGGGTCCCAATTTGTAACTTATGCTGAAAAAATCACTTTTCTCATTAATGTCCACCTAATTTTTCGTGTAGGGGTAGTTTTTCAATTTCACCCTTAAAACTTTATGATCATCGTTTAGCATTTTTCATGAGCTTTCCAAAAAGACGCCACAAGTGGGGTGTTGCCATTTAAGATTTTCAAGTGAGTAGTGTGCCGCCTTAGGGGTAGGTCGGGGTGGTTCAAAAAATACGTCATATGTATTCCCCCTCGATAGTATAGAAACGGTATTTTTTATTTTTTTGACATCTTTTTTGGTTTAGAAATTATAGCCATTGTAAGTTTTCAGTGGCCCACCCTGTATAGCACAAAACTTAAAACTTGTATAGTAATGTTAAAGAAGTAAGTAAATCTTTATAAAATATATTTATTTATTAATAATAATTTTCTGTACTGAACATATATATCATAAGTAAAAAATAATATCTACTAAAAGACACATTAAAAATAACTCATAAACTAAATAATAAAATAAAATTATAAATACAAATATTATATTTATACACTGTAAAACACCCTTCCCGAAAAACTTTATATCAAGTTTGAAATTTTCGTTTATTTTTAAATTATCAGTCACATTATAAAAATATTGTTCTTGATATACAGGGTGTTTCGAAAAACGTGTGTCATTTCTCATGGGGAGATTCTTTACTTTTTTTATGAATTTTGATATCAAACATTCTGGAAGAACTGCCTGTCAAAAACATTGTATGGTCTAAACTCAAATTTATAATCACTAAATTTTAAGTCACGTGACATAAGGAGAACAGATGTGGCTACCTAAAAATTATTTAAGTATGTAATATAAAGTGGGGGTCCTTATTTTAAATTAAAAAAAGATGCTGTCAACTTCCGGTATTCCCGGTAACTTCCGGTATTTTGCACGTGATGAACTTTCCCACGAGAGATGGCACATATTTTTTAAAACACCCTGTATGTTAGAAATCGGACGAAAAAGATATTCCATCAAAGGGAAGTTATAAGTTAACTTTTTTCATCGTTTTTTTTTTGTTTATTTCGATTTCACTTTTTGGTGGTTCGGGCTAAACCTCGCAACTTCTACATTTAAAGTTTTTAATATCTCTAATAGATGAATCTGAAAACTCTATACCTAAACGACCGTTTCATGTTTTCTGCTTATGCTTCTTATGCACGTTCCTGGTAAATCTAGTGACACTTTTTTAGCATTAAAATGTGTCGCACTTAAAATAACTTTTACTCTCAAAATTACATTCCAATTGCTAAAAGCACTTGGAAGAAAATTATAATAAATGGAAAAAATAGGACTTTAACCTCTTATAGTTACGAAACAAAGCAGAATTAGACCTGCGTTGATATAAAAAATAAATCTTATTTACACGTGATGAACCATCCCACGAGAGATGGCACATATTTCTTAAAACACCCTGTATGTTAGAAATCGGACGAAAAAGATATTCCATCAAAGGGAAGTTATAAGTTCACTTTTTTCATCGTTTTTTTTTGTTTATTTCGATTTCACTTTTTGGTGGTTCGGGCTAAACCTCGGAACCTCTACATTTAAAGTTTTTACTATCTCTAATTGATGAATCTAAAAACCTTATACTTAAATGGCCGTTTCATGTTTTCTACTTATAAAAACTCCTTGGGTGATTCTGAATATACTTAAAAAAAAGTTAGATAGCCCTACTAAACCAACCATAAAATATATCCATTCCAAACCAACTTTTACCGTCTTTAAAAATAGCTAAAGCAATCCCCACACGTAACACCAAGCCGGTTATATTACGATTTTTGAAAACTTCGTTGAAGAAAAACCAGGGCTAGCGTTAGATCTGCAAGACCAAGACACACTATGCAAGACTCTTGCGGTCTTGCATTTTTTGAACGTTTTTTTAATTTACATTTCATATTTTATAGATAATAATTTACTCATCCCAACCCACTATAATACTAAAAATGGTTTTTCCGAAACCATTGCCAGCATGTGATTTATGGTATTTCTATGTTAGTTGAAGCGCTCGTGTTTTTTCAACCATTCAAATAAAAGAATATGACAAAAAAGTTACTTATTTGCTTAAAATTAGTGTTTTAATTTTATTTATTGGAAATAGTGTTTTCCAAATCTTTACATAGCATTTTAAAGGAAACAATTTAACTAATATGCATTAAAAAATAAAAACTTTGAAGTGCCATTTGAATTAAATTATTTAAAATACAATTTATTTAAAGATGTTGCAGTAAGACTAAGACTAATAGAGTATTGGTCTTGACCTTGAATTTGTTCATAAATACAGGGTGTTTCAAAAAACATGTGTCATCTCTCGTGGGGAGATTCCTCACGTAAAAATAAGATTTATTTTTCATATCAACATAGGTCCGATTCTGCTTTGTTTCGTGGCTACAGGGTGTTAAAATCATATTTTTTTTAGATTTATTATAATTTTCTTCCAAGTACTTTTAGCGATTCCAATGAAATTTTGAGGGTAAAAGTTACTATATAAATTACATATTTTAATGCTAATAAAGTGTCGCCATAATCACCAGAGACGTGTATATGGGTTATCACAGGAATATTTTTATAAAAAAAGCATGTACGCCACTGACTTTTTTGTCTTGTTTTTCTAATTCACTGGTTAATGCCGTTTAAAAGTTGATATTTTGTCAATTTCGGTCTCCTTGATGAGATAAACGCAATTTTATTAATTTGCTTTGATCCAAGTGTAATAGCAACTTTAAAAAATTTTAATACCATTAATTTACGAAATTTTTAAATAAGTACTCATTGATTTCTCATCAAAAAATATGAAAAAAAGTTCCTATAAACATGGGTATGGAAATGCATAGTTTTTTAAAATTATTACAGAATTTTGAAACTTTAAAATTAGGTCTTTTGGAATTATCTTAAATTCCATTATTTTTTATTTGAATTTGCTGTAGGTTGGACTAACAGTAATTACAAGTAATAATAATAATATTTAATCATAAATTAGAGAAAATAAATAATTTATTAATTTTATTTTTAATTTAATTTGTGATTAATAAAATTGCGTTTATCTCATCAAGGAGATCGAAATCGACAAAATGTCAAGATACGACTTTTAATTGGCATTAAACGGCCTATACAATTCATTTTTTAAGAAGAAAAGTCAGTGGCGTACATGTTTTTATTTCGAAAAATATTTTAGTGATAATCCATATGCCGCATTTATAGTAATTTTTAACCTCAAAATTTCATTCGAATTACTAAAAGCGATTAGAAGAAAATTATAATAAATCGAAAAAAATTAAGATTTTAAACCCAGTAGCTACGAAACAAAGCAGAATCGAACCTACGTTGATATAAAAAATAAATCTTATTTTTAAGTGAGGAATATATCCACGAAAGATGGCACATGTTTTTTAAAACACTCTGTATATTCTGATATGAAGAAAAGTTAGTAACGGACAACCCTACTAAAAACCACCCATAAAAACTACCCATCCCAAAGCAACTTTTAATGACTTTAAAACTAGCTAAAGCGAGCCCCACACGCGCCACCAAGCCGGTCCTACTTACCGTCGTCGAAGTACGGCGGCACGGCGGCCTCGGCGACGGCCAACGCCACCACGCAAACGGCCGCCAGCGCCAGCAGCAACAGCTTGGGCCGGCCAGTCTTCATCTCTTCCCGCAGGTCGTCGTCGGCTGGTTCGTCTTGTGGGACGCCACGGAGAGCACTGAGTGGTATGGCGTCGCGACGGCAGTCGAGTGAGCGAGCGGCGCCGGGCGTCGGAGGGAATATACGCGCGCCGCGACGGAGGAAAAAGTGGTGGGGGGTGTTGAAGGGCACCCACGCGGGTTTTGGGAGTCCGCACGTACGTGTAATACCATATGGTTCGAGCTGTTAACTATAGAACAAGTTCTTTTGGGTTTTGGTTGGTCTGTGTTATAAATTGTGCAGAATAAGTTTGTTTGAAATTATATGATTACTGAGTTAAATGGGATGATAGTGAAACCCACGCGAGTTTTGGAAATGAAACCCATTAAGCAAGAAAGACAGATGCCTAGGGCGGCAATTTTTTTAATGAAAACCACTCGGAAAACAATATTCGAAAATGTAAGATACTATCGGGTCTTGAACGATTTAGGTATGTCGGATTTCTTGGATTTTCTATACAGAAATAAGAAAGGGGACACTTATAATGACATTGTCTGACTGAAAAAAAATGCGGGTTATCTATAAGTAACCCCACAATCTTACGGGGTCGGGAAGCGAAAAGGGGTAAATTGAATTATAATAATTTCTCTATTTCAATTAAAAGTATCTTCTAATTTCATTTAAAAGCCATCAATGAACAAGTCCTATATGGTTCGAACCGAACTGTATTCGGGAAACTTCGGTTCATCTACTTAATCTACTCAACGTGTTTATTTTTCGTCCATAATGACATGTATTGACTTCTTCCATTCTAAATATCTTGAGAACGGTTACTCGTAGCGATTTTTACCAAGAGACATTTTTTACATAAAAAGTCACGGAAATGTATATTTTTTCACTCAGTATTTTTATATAGGTACGAACAAAAAGTTATTACTCTTCAAAACAGTTAAAACTTATGTAGGTGGCGCCCCCTACAAATAGAAGTCATATTGACCTCAAAATCAAATTTCTCATGTCAAAAAACTCCCAGATACCAATTTTCCTGGTGGACACATCGTGTGAGCGCCACACTTGCCGATGTTGTTTACGCAAATATTGGCGTACTTGCCAAGTAGACGAGTCGTGAGAGTGCGCCTTAAGAACTTATTAACGAGTCGTTGTAATTTTCCCTATAGCTTGAAAATTTTTAAGTGCTAGTTAGAAACACTTGCATTTTTGGTAAAAATAAGTGGAATTGAGTTGGTGTTCGACAGTGGTCGCGCTATTAGAACTGTAAATTCAAAATTCGATATCTCAAAATCTATTAGAAATAATTGACTGTAGTTTTTTCATAAACTTTCGTAACATTTCTGCTATATTTTCTTCGCAGACAGTATGTGAAAATCTTTATAAATAAAAAGTTACACGATGGCTGAAAATTGTTATTCACTAAAAGTAAATGGATGGGTTGTTTAACCGAGATCTCGGTCTCGGTCTCGGTTACAGTCATTCTCGGCTAAAAGTCAGGCCGAGATCTCGGCCTCGTTCTCGGCATAAGAAGGCCGAGAATGTCGGCCACGGTTGAGACTGCTCGCGATCGTCAAATTAGCTTATTTTTGAGTGTATCGCTTCACCTATTGATGCGTGGATGAATGAAATACTCGTCCGAAGTCGAAAAAAAATGGATCATATCTGAATATCCATATATGATCTGATCGAATCTCGAAGCGAATTTCCCGGACGGTTGAAGAATCGCCTTCGTATTTGTATGCGTAAACAATGAACGAAATGTTATATGTTAATGTCTTAATAAGTTATAAATTTAACAAAATGAAACCAGCAGCTTATACATTTCTAGTCTGCACCTCCAACAAGCGTCTCTAGCAAACAACTATTTAGAAAGAATATGATGAAACACTACATAATTTGAAAGGCAGCAATGCTAAAAAAATACTTTTTTACCCTATAACACTCGCTATAACATGACTAAAAAAGTAATTTTATTAGTATTAGCAATTTTATAGCATTATCTCACTAAAACCGTTTCTGCGTGAAAATAACGTTTTTATTACATTATTACCAGACGTTTTTTCATATAATAAACTATTGCATAAATATTGCATTGTGTCTCGGTCTCGGTCTCGTTCTCGGCCGAGAATTTCTTTTTCTCTCTGTCTCTGTCTCTGTCTCTGTCTCTGTCTCTGTCTCTGTCTCTGTCTCTGTCTCTGTCTCTGTCTCTGTCTCTGTCTCTGTCTCTGTCTCTGTCTCTGTCTCTGTCTCTGTCTCTGTCTCTGTCTCTGGCTCTGGCTCTGGCTCTGGCTCTGGCTCTGGCTCTGGCTCTGGCTCTGTCTCTGTCTCTGTCTCTGTCTCTGTCTCTGGCTCTGGCTCTGGCTCTGGCTCTGGCTCTGTCTCTGTCTCTGTCTCTGGCTCTGGCTCTGTCTCTGTCTCTGTCTCTGTCTCGGTCTCGGTCTCGGTCTCGGTCTCGGTCTCGGTCTCGGTCTCTCGGTCTCGGTCTCAGTCTCGGTCTCGGTCTCGGTCTCGGTCTCGGTCTCGGTCTCGGTCTCGGTCTCGGTCTCGGTCTCGGTCTCGGTCTCGGTCTCGGTCTCGGTCTCGGTCTCGGTCTCTGTCTCTGTCTCTGTCTCTGTCTCTGTCTCTGTCTCTGTCTCTGTCTCTGTCTCTGTCTCTGTCTCTGTCTCTGTCTCTGTCTCTGTCTCTGTCTCTGTCTCTGTCTCTGTCTCTGTCTCTGTCTCTGTCTCTGTCTCTGTCTCTGTCTCTGTCTCTGTCTGTCTCTGTCTCTGTCTCTGTCTCTGTCTCTGTCTCTGTCTCTGTCTCTGTCTCTGTCTCTGTCTCTGTCTCTGTCTCTGTCTCTGTCTCTGTCTCTGTCTCTGTCTCTGTCTCTGTCTCTGTCTCTGTCTCTGTCTCTGTCTCTGTCTCTGTCTCTGTCTCTGTCTCTGTCTCTGGCTCTGGCTCTGGCTCTGGCTCTGGCTCTGGCTCTGGCTCTGGCTCTGGCTCTGGCTCTGTCTCGGTCTCGGTCTCGGTCTCGGTCTCGGTCTCGGTCTCGGTCTCGGTCTCGGTCTCGGTCTCGGCCGAGACTAAAAATTCAACTTCGGTCGGACCTTAATTATTTTGTTGTTTTTATTCTGGAATTTCAAGCCCCAAACTTGACTTCTTCATTTCCAGTTATATTCCTATTCTCCAGATGATAAATCTAGGGCGAAATCAGCCGGTTAAGTGGTTTTAATTGGGAGCCCGCGTCTTCCGCAATCTAATTCAGTTCCGCCGAAAACTTACCAAAATTAATTTGATCAGCTCCGACCTTAAGTCCATTAATTACAGGTTTAAAGCCCGCTTAATTTAGTTTTATGTTTATTGAACTGGCGCGCGTTAGAAGAAGATAAAAAATACTGTATCATCGAAAAAAAAACGGCATTCAGTTGGCTTGGAAATGACGATCGATGACATTCTCCATATAATTTTATACCGGCTGCGTTGCATAAATGGCTCACCCGTATAACTTTTTTATTTTATCAGATAAAAAAACGAGATTTGGTATGCTAGTATATGACATAAATTACGATTGATTGACGTATTCAATTGTTGTCGGTCACTTCCTGTTTCACCGGAAATGACTACAACTTTTGATTTTTAAATAGCACCCTAAATATTTTTTTTACTTTATTCGATAGAAAATGACACTTTTAATAGAATGACGTATGACATGTCAACTTTTGACATTTTCGCATACATTTTTCCATACGATTTGGATATCTTTTAACTGGCCAGGACAAGACACGAAAAACATTAGACGATCAAATCCATTTTTCCACCGCTCATTGATTAAAAATTAATGTTTTTATCACAGCCATGACACTCTAGATTGAAATTTAAAATACAATTTTTTTTTAAAGCGAAAATGTCAAAGTTGACATATGATATGTCATTATATTCAGAATGTCATTTTCTATCGCATAAACAAAAAAAAATACCGAGGGTACCATTTAAAAATCAAAAGTTGTAGTCATTTCCAGTGAAACAGGAAGTGACCGACAACAACTGAATACGTCAATCAATCCTAATTTATGTCATATACTAACATAGGGGGGGTTATTGTTTTGTAACTTTTCGTTGAGAATATAACTTTTTGATGGGAAATCTCTGTAGAAGAAAGTTATAATAGATTTGCCATATTGTGACATAACTTGCTACTTTTCCACAACTTTAAATTAGATACACATCTAAATAAAAGACCCGAACATGATCTGACTTGATTTATAGTCTTTCGAAAATCGCGCCAGGCATCGTGATGGCATTGATTTGACAGCGATAAACCTCTTTTACGGCTGACAGTTGATAAGGCGTAATATATTACGGAGCCCTTGTTCTCCTTAAGGCCGGGAAAAGGGCGTTCTCTAAATAGTTTTGTTTAACTTCGAGACTTGCGGTGACGTCAAGTTTGACTTTCCTCGAATAAAAAAAGTTGTTTGCTTAAGTACTTTGTTGAGAAGAAACATTATTTGTTAAGTCAATAAATCAGATAACCCTGGTTCATCAGTTATGATAGAAAGTGGTTTTAACATATTGTTTGCTATAGAGAAATTAGTAAAAGTTAGGATGTACGTCATTAAGGATGTTAAAACTATTACCAAATTTCTAATATATAATTAAAATTAATTTAGGAAATCTGCCCCGCGGCTTTTTTGACTCGCACTCAGGGGATCGATATGGTGTCGAATCAAAATAACTCACCTAAATTTTTAGCTCTTTAACTCAAACGGTTTTCGAGATTTTTAAAAAAAACTGTTTTTTTTTTAATTTTATTTTTATCTATACTACTATATAAAACTAGCGTGTACCAGCGACTTCGTTCTAATGGTGATGATAAAGCAAAGCAAGAATTTCCATTAACATACAAACTGGATAAAATGTTCTCACATTTATGTCAGCATGAGAAAAAACAATAGGGCGATATTATTATATAACTTGGTAATATTTGAGGGATAGTTTCATCTCGTTGGAATTTGACTTTCGAAAAATCCGTTTGTCAAATATAAGCTTTTTACGTCAAGCAGTTTAAGAAATTACCCAACTTTTTGGAACACCCTGTATGATTTTTTAAAAAATTTCAAAATATGTAAAAAAACCAAATAAATTATGCTTGTCCAAGCTTTTTCCCGAAAGACTAACCGTTTTTTAAATAACAAATATTGTAATATTTGAGGGGCGTTTTCACCCTCTTGGAATTTGAGATTCGAGAAATCCCTCCTTATCGAACCTCTACACCCCACAGTCAATCCGTTTACCCAAACGTCAAGCAGTTTAAGCAGAATCGTGATTACTCAATGGTCAGATTTTATGGAACACCCTGTATAAATTTATAAAAAAAATTATAATATATAAAACAACAAAATAAAATATACGTGTGTAAGAGTTTTTCCGAAAAACTCACCGGTTTTTAAATAAAAAATATTTTAATATTTGAGGGATAGTTTCACCCCCTTAGAATTCGAGTTTCGAAAAATCCCTTCTTATCGGAACTCTATACGCTAAAGTAAATCTGTTTTCCAAAAATCAGCTTTTTACGTCAAGCGCTTTATGCAGGATCGTGATTAATCAATGACCAGATTTTTCGAAACACCCTGTATATATTTTTAAAAAATCTTAAAATATGTAAAAAAACATAATAAAATATACGTGTTTAAGCGTTTTTTCGGAAACTCGACCGTTTTTTAAATAAAAAATATTGTATTATTTGAGGGGTGGTTTCACCCTCTTGGAACTGGAATTTCAAAAAATCACTTCTTATCGAACCTCTACACCCTAGAATCAACCTGTATGCCAAAATTGAGCTTCTTACGTTGAGTGGTTTGAGCAGGATCGTGATTAATCAGTATGTCAGTTACTTAAGGATTTTATATATTAGTATAGATAATGTCTAAAGTCAATGATAATATATCTCTTACGATTTCTTTTACAGTAAACCTAGTATATATCTACAATATTTTTATTCAAGCGGTTATATTTTATCGTGCCATATATAAGGTTTCTACATATTTCAGAAAGCACTTTAACTAGAAGTGCGGAAAGAACACTTGTCAAATAAAATTCTAAGGCATTCTACGTGTTGCGCACTTGTGTTTGTGGAAAATCTAAATAGTTCAGTATAACAAGAAAGGTTTTAACAAGGACTTGGTTAAAAATTTGGTTATAAAAATGTGGGTGTGATTTTGCATAAAAAAATATTTATTTTAGTAAATAAATTAAATAAACTTATTTATTTTGATTTATATTTTCTTAGTCTCATTCATCTCGGTTGATTATACGAAATCGGAAAGATGTAGAAACAAAATATTTTATGGGGTATATGGGGGGGAGGCAATGTGCGCAATTTAAAATTATTTTGAAATATACAGGGTGTTTCAGAACCTAGATCCATACTAAAGTTATATTTTTTCTTATGGAACACCCGGTAGTTAACTTCATTTTTGTATTCTTGGGCTCAAAAAGGGCATATATTATAAGGGTTAAATTGTTTAAAATCTTTGGTTTTTGAGATATTTAAAAATATTTAAATATGCATGCTACAATAGAATAGATATAACACCCTGTACATTATTTTTCAGAATTAATTCTTGTGCCGAGTTTAAAGGTGGAAAAATAAACTTTATTGAAAAATGTTATTGCTTCCTTAAATTTATACAGGGATACCAAAAATTGCTGATTTATTTTAAGGATTTATTTTATATAAAAACTTCGTTATTTCAAATAATACAATACCCTATATTTTTTAAAACGAGTCAAATTTCCTTGTGCGCAAAAATAAACTCGCGTAAAATAACAATAAACAGCGTAATAGAGAGATATCGCTAAACCGAATAGCGTGCATGGACGTTAATAAGGCCAGGTGTTATTTCCTTTACGTGAGGTGGTATTAACTCTCTTCATTTATAGTTATCGGATCGGAAATAATTCTGATCGCCTCGCGTCCGCTATTTAAACTTAACCTAACTTTGAATTTAAAACTTTGAAATTGTTTTGTTTACTAGATATTTTAAAACTAAAGGGCTAAAGTGCTTATTTCCAGTGCTTTATTATTCAACGTCTGCCAATGGGTTTAGGGCAACAAGCAACAAATTCTCTTAGAAGGGCTAAGTCGTCATCTGCTGTAAACCTAAGCCTCTTTATAGGTTCTTTAATATTGGAAGAGGTGAAATCCATCATTAAATATCAAATTACCTAATAAAACTAAAGCAATAATTCAAAACAATTCAAACATAACCTAAAATAAAAGATCTCGCCGGCCGGCTCCGGTTGTCAAATACCCGCACATACCCATTTAAGCAATTTTTAAACGTTATCAGAGGTTATTTAGAAAGAGCTCTTGGTGTAATTGATCCGCAAATTACGTCAGGCGGTAACGTTATTAGCGGGTGTTACGTTGACTCGCGCATATTGTAACCATGATAAGGTACGCGTAAATACCGGATGACGCTATTCGGTTTTCCGATATCTCTCTAATAACTGTGCCGGTCAGGCGCTGTGCACAATTTTAGAGGCCATAAGTGGGCGTGCTATGTGCGCAAACTAGTCACCTAACTAGTGCCCGATTCCGAAAATTGGAACCACGAAAAACAATAAAGAAAAAACAAAGATTATAATCTGTATAATCTGTGTTATTATATTAGGGTTTCCTATACCTATCTAGTTTAGATTTTGAATTAAAAGCGATTTTTCAATAAAATCGTAATCAAGATGGCTGGTGTGTCGCCATTAAAATTTTCTAGTGATACTTAAAATGGACCAGCAATTTTTGAAACCCCTGTGTACATTAAACGAAGCAATCAAATTTTTCAGTAAAGATCGAGGGTTACAGCAAAGTCGGCCTGACGATGGAGAAAAATCTCTGAAACCGGTCGTCGAATGGCTGTTCCCTTCGGTCTGATGAACTTAATGCAGAGAATAAGCATATATGTAGGATTTTTGGCCCCTTTTTCCGTTACTCGTATTTTGTTTATTTATATATACCCTACCTAAGCCTTCTTAGCTCCATCTACGGTAACGTGGATGAAGCAAGCAAAGTTTATTTCTTTTGCTTAAAAGTCAACACATGAATTAATTTTGAAAATCAATGCACATGGTGTTGATCTTTTTTATTATAGCATGTATATATAAATATCTTAAATATTACGTGAACCAAAGCTTGTAAACATATTTAGCCCTTTTAATAAATGCCTTATTTTGTATCCACGGGTCCAAATATGAAATAAAATACCGGGTGTATACCGGGTATAAGAAAAAATATAACTTTGGTGTGGATCTTAATTCTGACATACCCTGTACATTTCAAAATAATTTTAAATTATGCACATTTTCTTCCCACATATAGCCATAAAATATTTTGTTTCTACATCTTTTCGTTTTCGTATAGGCGAATGAGGTGCGCTACCCTGTATAATGTTATTTAAAAAAAATAACTTTAAATTTTTAACTATACGAACTACGTGAGCCACTCATTATCATTTTATTTGAATGTGGCAAATAAGGATTCAATAGTAACACATTTGAGCTAAACGTTCTGTAAGTTAAAATAAATAATCTATAGTCTTCTAGTTTCTCCACATTTATGATTAAAAATCATAATTTTGTATTATATGATACTCATTTCTTTGTTATCTTTCTTTGTTTCTATTATATCAGTAATTAATTCATAATATCATAACTTGAAACCTATGCTTGTAACTTAAAAGTCAAATTTGTCAGATTTTGACTTTCAAAATTCAGTTTGACAACCAGATTTATTTATGACAGTTAATTATTTTAAGTTTTTTTAGTATATTATTTTTAGTTTATTATAATTTAATACATAAATGAAAAACTAACATAAAAATGTTTATTTTTTGGCACTTACTACCTCAATATTTTGCACTTAATTATTCACACCTTGCATATCTTCCTCTCCTATTGATTTCCTAAAAAAAATCATATACAATTATTTATTTTCAAATAACTTTGAAAATATTTAACTGTTGACTGTTAATAACCATAGACAACCCTTAATATATAACAATAAACAACCCCTTTTTTTATCCTAACCAAAATCGAACACTTTTTAGCAAAACGTCCAAACTAAAGTAAATTATTTTATCAAATACTCAAAAGTTAAACAGCGGCTTTAAAGTTTCGCAAAAAAAAACATGGGAAACCATCAATTTTAACAAACTTTTAAACTACTAAACTGACAGGCTGCAATTTGCCAAAATTTTAATAAAATGAAAACTAGCAAAGGTCAAACAGTTTTGAAAACTTCCCAGTTTCAGTCGAATATTCATCAACATGAGAGGTTGTCTTCGAGTTTCTCTATTAGTTTTTCTGACAAAATCAGCCATTCTCGCTGTTTATGCAAACGAGCAACATGGCCAAGATGAAGTTAATGAAATTTTTACAGCTGAAGATATTGATTTTTCTTTTACAACTGAGAAACCAGAAGAGACAACTACGATAAAGAAGAAAGAACCGGTGAAATTGAATTTAAAACAAGGTTTGGCTATGAACCAGATTTTAGATACTTACTCGTTGACTGATGCTAGCAATGAATTGTGTAGAAATCACTCTATAGAATTTAGTATGGGTATGAGGAGGTTTGAATCGTGGGCCTTAGACAGTAAGTTTACTAAAATATAGAATTTTTGACGATTATGAAAAAAGAAAAAGTATTAACAGTTGCACACCTGCTTATTATTAGAGCTGTGTAGTTCATGACTGAACTAGATTAAAAGATTGAATCTCGTATGTAAACTACATGATTCAGTCAGTCGATTGAAACTGTTCAATCAACTGAACTAAACTAAAAACAAGAGTGAGAATAAGAACGAGAACGAAATATACAGGGTGAGTTTCCTACGATGTTCTCTATGGGTATCTCGGAAACTACTGGAGATAGAGAGTCAGTTAAATGGAGAAGGAATTGCAGTTTTTTGCAATTGTTTTTTTTGGGGGGTCATAAATATGCGCCTTTCAGATTTTTGAAAAAGTTCATGGCTTACTAGATATTTCGAAAAAAAAACAAATTTTGGCTATTTTAAAAATTGTCCCTAATTCAATTATATTTTATTTTAGACAAAAAGTTTTCAGATAAAAGTTGTAGATAATCACATCTTTAATAAGATCGCGTTTTTTTTAAAGCCTGTCTTGACATATGACTAACCGAGTGAGACTAACCTAACTTAACCTAACCATGACATCATAAAAAGCGCAATTTTTTAAGCTTTTCAACGATATAAGCTATGATGTGTTTTTTGTTAAAAATTACTGAGTTATAGCCAATTCTTATCATTTTAAAACAATTTTACTTAGTTAGCCATGGAAACAAGTTCAATCGTCTTTGCCTTCATAAATGCAAAACTGTCACATCCAAACTTTGTAATTTAAAATAAATAAAAATTGTAAATATGATTTTTTTTTAATGGAGAAAAGCGTGTAGGATTATTGGTTCAACTTTTCTTGGCCATATATTTTCGAGAATACGTTGACCGGTGAACGTTACTTACGTTCTTTAGAGAACGATTTTCAAGACATGTTAGAAAAGTTAAATTTAGATACTCACGCATTAAATAGAGTGATTCCAACATGACTTTTATTATGACACCGCCCTCCCCATAATAAAAGAAATTTATTTATATCATAATTATGTAAACTCAGGGATCGGAAGAGGTGGACCAATTGTATGGGCCTCCTCGATGAATTAAGAGGAGAACATTTTCTAAAATAAATTAAAGTGATATTATTTTTTTAAGTTTTAGTTTGCGTAATGTAAGTGATTGTAAAGAACCGTTTAAATAAATATTCTGTCTTTTCATAAGTTATAAGTCATAATAGAATAAGAATACCGTACCAACTAAGTGAAAATAGTCAAGAAAGATAAGAATTGGCTATAACTCAGTGATATTTCGAAAAAAAAAATATTATACCTTATATCGCTGAAAAGCTTAAAAAATGGCAATTTTTATGAAGTCATGGCCAACTGTGGTTTCCGCTAAAAAAAACATATTATGTATCATCGTTATGTTAATTATGTATCATCATTATGTTAACTATGTATTATGATCCTATTGCTAGCTTATTGTATTATTATGAATTTCTTATGTTCTTTATGTCATTGTTGTGTTTCTTATGTCATTATTATGTTTATTATGTTTCTAATTTTACTATAAATCTATTGTTATTTGTTATCGATCGGGGCGATCGAGTGTCAGGTTGGCCGATCTGTTAGAGGTATATAACAATCGATCTCTATAACAGTAGATTGTTTGTTTACAGGTGATAATATTATATTTGTAAGTATAAAGTATGTTTGTGTCATATGTCAAAATTGACAGCCTTTAGAAAAAATCAGAAAACACAAACTTGTTAGGTATGTGAGTATCTACAACTTTTATCTGAAAACTTTTTGTCTAAAATAGATTATAATGGAATTAGGGACAAGTTTTAAAATAACCAAAATTTGTTTTTTAGGAATATCTAGTAAGCCAGGAACTTTTTCAAAAAACCGAAAGGCGCATATTTATGACCCCACAAAACTACAATTCTTTCCCCATATTTATCAAATTTACTTAAAATTAACTTATTATATATTTTTACTTTTATTTACTACTTGTCAAAGATTAGATGCCAAAGAACTTAGATACAAGAATTAATAATTTGACTTACGTCACTTACGACGTGCTTCAGTAGCGTATCGGATGTAATATAACTTATCTATTTTTATAACAATTTTATTAACTACCAAAATTTATTCACAACGTAAAATAAAACAACAAATTATTGAGTCTACCCCACGTCTACCCTACATTATATTTTTACACTGTTTGAAAAAAATTAGAACGGCACTGATAGATATCAGTATTCCATGGGTATAGTGATAAATGAGGTCTAAACTATAAGAAAATGCATTTTCTACGAAAACTTGAAGAGATAGGTAAGTAGTGGTATAATACAATTTGATAGACAATTAAATTGTGCATCTGATTCTCGTGAAATGTACAGGATGTTCTATTTAAATTATACAAGTTATTGCCGTTTAAAGCTAGTAATTATTTAATTTAAATTTTTGCACAATCTGTATAAGGTGTAAGAGTCTCAATTTATTTTTCTTTGGTTCAGTGAAAAATAAATAGCCTTACTGGCGTACAGTAGGAAATTTAAATCTCTCGGGCGCCACCTCTGTTATTTATAGTGGAAGAGGACCACGTTTCGCCAATACGGGTAGCTTTTATACAGTGGAGATACCAGGGAGTGTTGAAATGAAAAGAAATAAAACACACAGTCAACTATAACATAACATTAAGGCTTTATTTAATTAATTAACTATATGTTAAATACCCCAGGAAGTTTCACGACTTTAAATTGTAATGAAAGTGAAAGAAAATTTATAATTAAAGACTCGTAAAATAAAATTTACAACAACAATCGAGCACCTCTAGAGTTTTGACCGTATAATCTCGATATGCAACTCACTGTCCGATTTAATCACGCGAATTCAAAGCGCGTTTTTGACATGACGTTCTAGTAAATAAAACGACGCGAGGTTCTAACCGGCGTCTAACTTAACGGCGTCCTAGTAAATATGGACATGTACGTACCGGAGCGACATACTCTTTTATAAACCGACTTTCTAAACGTCGGCGACGTCGTTACAGACGTCCCGGGATAAACAAACGCGAGCCCTGGATCGTTCGCAGTAGAACGAAACGGAGTCCTGTGGGATAGGTACGCACGCGAGCCCTGGATCGTTCGCAGTAGAACGAAACGGCGTCCTGTGGGATAATTACGCACCCGAGCCCTGAATCGTTCGCAGTAGAACGGAACGGCGTCCTGTGGGATAGATACGCACGCGAGCCCTGGATCGTTCCCAGTAGAACGAAACGGCGTCTCGGTTAGTCGTCTGGATAAGCACAGTCCACACCGCCCGGTCAGGACCACCTCGGGATGTCGGCGAGATCCCACGGCGCTCCTGATGAGAATACGGGAACTACAGAACCAGTCTCGGGATGGACGAGATCCTGCCTTAGCTCCAAGGATATTCGCGCCCGTATATTTGTTGTACTACCTTAACCGCTATCTGTCTCCCTTTTAACCAAAAGAAATCGGTCTTCGCGTCCACGGGATCCGGACAAAATGCCTCAACCTTGCATGTATTTTTACTTCTATAGTAGGACAGTTGACACCTTGAGCGGATACAAGTCTGGTTAAATTTTACGTACGCGCGTTTCGGAACAAGATGCCTCTACCTTGCACGTATTTTTACTTCTACAGTAGGACACGAGACACCTGGAGCGAATTTAACTATCTCTATCTCCCTTATTCTATAACGCGTTTAGGCAGTAAAACAAACCGTATTAACAATAAAAAGAAAACGACCTACTCTCGATCACTTTGGCGGCTGGACTTACCTTCTTCAGAGCGGCAACGGCGGCTGGCAGCAGGGTACTTGGCAGGGCACTCCGGGCTCGAACTTCACTGTTCAGTGCGATCACACCACTGACTACCTGGCGCTCTCGCTGCCAGGGTATACTCAAACGACCCTCCCTCCACTCGACCGGTACTGGTAGGGCCAGCTTTTCGGCTGCCGTACCGAACTATAGCGAGTAACGCCGATCAAAACTCTATTACAATATGGTCATTAAATATCTAACGCATTTAATTCAACAGTAAGAACATTAATGAAGTTCATTACCATAATGAGTTAACAATAAAATACATTGCCTAACCTTGTTTACAGAAAAGGTCCCTATTATTTAAGTACAGTATACGGGGTGTCCCAGAAATGAGCCCCAAAATTTATGAACTTCATTACAAAGGTAGTATAATTTTTATTATTGCAACACAATATCTGATCAATAAATAATCTTCAGTATTTACTATTAAAAACGTTGATACCCTTGGAGAAATGAAGCCTTAAATTTTTTACTGTAATTTCACAAAATTGAAAATATTTCAAAAACGGTAAGGTTTAAGTATGATAAACCTTAATCAAATTTACCTTTATTTCAATCGTAGAATCTAAAAATAGAATAATATACAGGGTGTTCTATTTAAAAAAATACAACTATAATATTTTTTACTTATTTGGGACACTCTGTTTCTTGTAAAATTATTTTTAAATTGTAGCTCTAATAGTCCTCCAACGAACTCAAAACTTACAATTTGTAAAAATCTAATCGTTTAGCTACAATACTCCACGTCGTATGTGGTTCAACCCTGTATACAGCTTGCTAAAAAAATCATGAAAATAAAGCTGATGAAATTGAAGAAATTGCGTTTTTTTTGCATCTGTGTGTATATCGAACTTTAAAATACATGAAAATTTTAAAGTGACCCATTTTTCGTGCCCGTTCACTGTATGTCAAAATCAAACTTGCACCGCCTAAAAATAGACAACCAAACCAGTACAAACGAGTTATATATGCTATAAATAAACGATGTTACAGTGTTTGACGCCTCGTCTAAGTTGCAGTCGGGCCTGCTGTTAAGCAACTTGTTCGAATTCGGTAACTACAAACAATGCATCTCCATTTACACGGACGACGTGGAAAATGGACCGCTGAGAGGAAAACATTGTACGCTGAAAGTTTTCCCTGACACGCGTCTGTTGAAAAAGATATTGACGTTTAGGAATGTGTCTGAAAAGGTAGGTCTTACAGAAAATCGATAATATTTCCTTTTAAGTTGAGTTAAAATATTGTTTGTATTCCTTTGATTAAGGCTGTTTTCCGTTTCCTATCTTGGCTTTTATATCATTAACAAAATAATTATCTATGTATCAAGGCTATTATAAGGATCTTAATTACCGAGGGCAAATTTTCTGACAATAATTGCCCGAATATAATTTTAAAAAATGTCTATACCTATGTGGCGGATTCATCACATCAAAAATAAATCCTATATGGGCATTTCGCCACTGCAAGAAAATTTACAAAATAAAATCATTATTTTTCGTAATCACTGCTGCGTTAATCCAATGGAAACTACTTGTCAGCAGTTAGGTTTACAGATAAACAAATTTGCCTAAAGGGGCGTCCAGACCAGATGAGCGAGCAGTAACAAGCGCGAGCAAACATTTATTCAAATTCGCTTGTGATTTCTGATGCTCTCGAGCACATGATCAGCTTCCGTCCAGACCTAGCGATTATTTGTATGTTCGGCATTGATCGGTGTGTGGCACTTCATGTTCATAATGTCGGAAAAAATTATTGCTTGTGCGACATTCATTGTATTTTATAAATTGTGGAAACGTCAAAAGAGAAAACGACTGCAGAGGAGATGGCGGAACATAACTCTTTTTAAAAATCAAGTTTCTCATGGTGATTCTGGAAAATTTAAGAACTTTTGTCGGATGTCACTTACAGATTTTAGTACCTTATTAGATTTAATTGACATAAAAATAATGAAAAGTGATACCGATTACCGAAAAGCAATTTCACCTAGAGAAAGGCTAGCTTTAATCTTACGGGTCTTGGCGATTTTTGTACTCCTCTATTAGTTCTAAAACAACTTCATTCGGCCATTCCATTTTTGATATTCGATTGCAAACGAGGTAAACAAAATCCCGTCCAAACCGAACGTGCAATAGCGCGAATTTTCTTTGATGTACCGACACGGCGTGGAACATCGACGCTGCGCGAGCAAGCAATTATTCGCTCGCTCGCAGAGCCGTCCACACCAGTTAAGCGTTCCCATAGAACATACCCGAATTCTTGCTCGCTCCTGCTCGCTCATCCGTTCTGGACGCCCCTTCACAAACAAAAAAAAATGCTTAACGTTTCGAAACTTATCTCTTTCCGTCGTCGGAAGCAAAAAAAAATCAAAGAATAAAGAAAAAGCTATTTAAAATATTTAAATGCAACTATTCGAGAACACTTTTTTTTTAAACAGATACGTCTACAAAAAACAGTTGACTTTCTGTTAAAATGGCATTATATCAAGTTAAACTTCAAATTAACAATTACTACCTGATAACAATTACTTAATACTGTCAAGAAATTAAAGAACTCGCATCATGGAAACATAATATGGATCTCGTTAGAATTTCTTATTTTTCTTGTGCGTATAATTATATTTTTGAGCTTATAAGTAACAAATAGCGCAAATAACAAAAAAATCAATTACTTTTTATGTCTAGTTTTTATTTTATAAATTTTTGAAGTATCGATGTTAATGGAACCGTTAAAATGACTTTTTAAACGTGTCATGACAGTAGCTTTATTCGAGTTCCCAAAAAGTACGGTTCTAGAATGGTTCAAAACACTGGCACAATATGATTTTTTGCTACTTTTAACATGAATGATTGTCGTAATTAGACTGTGCGATTGTTTTAAACCGTTCTAGAACCGTACTTTTTTGGAACTCGAATTAAGCTTAAATGTTTTTCTGACCTAATTATCGTAGTTTGACATGAATAGGCCAAGTAAAGCTCCAAATACCTTAAATTATTTAGATACTACAAAGAATAATACTAATTTGGTATTTTTGGTTCTAATTTGGTATTTTTTGGAAATAATTTGGTATTTTTGGTACTTTTTTCCCAAAATTGGTATTTATTGTACACCATTTTTGGCAGCGGTTTGCCCCTCGGCTAGCAACGTTTTCGAGAAAGTATTTTAAGAAAGCTGGCTCTTTGATATATCTTTTACTATGGTCTCTGGAACAGCATGCTCCCCATCTGGCTGCTGATACCCATTGCATTCACTACTGCGCATCGGAAGAAGATCCTATTTTTTTTATTTAGTTCTTTAAATTCTAGTATTGAATATAAGTCGAACAAGTCTCGATAGCGCAGCGCGTAGGGTTTCCGACTACGAACCAAGGATTCAGAGTTCGAGTTCGATTTATATTCAATACTAGAATTTATAGGAACATTTTTTGTTTGTTGTTCAGTATTCATTGGTTTAGTGTGTGATAAAATGGATCTAAGTGTATTTTGTGTTTTGAAAGATGTTCGTATGTTATACAGTTTTCCTATCCTTCTCAGTTTTTCCAAAACGCTTCGTATGCATAGAATGTATGCGTAGAACCGAAAGATCGCATGTGATCCGATTCAATTCTCACGATCCTTTTTACGGGTCATCGTTCAAATTTTATGGATCCGTGCTGGTCACGATTCAATTGAATGAACCGTATTCTAAGCAGTGAATCGAATCACACTATTCAATTTTAATACTCATTCCAATTAACTCGTGACTCGTTCAATCTTTGCCGACCTCTAACTACCAGTTAAAATACTTGCACTTATTTCTGGGACACCCGATAAAACTAGGTTCAGAAACAGAATATCAGAATATAGTTGTAAATAATAACTAGAAATCAATTAATACTGAATACTTACCTACTAACTAAACTCTTCGTTCGTACGTTCCAGCGATGGGACAAAGTGAAGGTGTTCGTGGAGGACGCCTCCATGGCCTGGTCGATTTGCGTGCCCGACTCCTGTGACGTAGACGACGTGCTGCCGCACTTTCGAAAGTTAATTAGAACTTTGACGGAAGGCCTCAACCTAACGGTGGCATTGCGCCAAATTAACTGTCTTACTGCTGTGGATCAGGCTGGCGCTAGTTTCAGCGGCACGGAAGTGGCTGTTATGTAAGTTATTCTGTTTAGTTTCGATGTGTAATTTAAGTAATTTTCAGTGATTTAAGTAATTCTTAGTCTAATTTTCAATCTTTGTCCGTAAAATACACTCAGAAGCAAACAAAACGCAACGGAGAAATTTTTGGTCAAATTTGAAGTGTTAAATTTTTGTTATTTTTAGCCCGATTTTCAAGAATGCTTTAGCAATCTGTATATAATTATATCAAATTTCATATATCAAAAACTTTAGTATTTGGCATATTGTACAGGGTTAATCGAGAGATTGTTTTTTGAACATAACTTTAAAACACCCTATGCAATAATTTCGTGTGTAAATTTTCCTAAAATCTAATTTTACGGTCACACCCATTACTCCTGAGCATTTTTCAATTATCATTACATTTTTATGTAATTTTTTAGTATGACGAGATAGTTTTGGTGATTATTGTCGTAACGTCATATTACGCTGCTATAAAAAACGTTAAAGAACGATACAGTCCTGGTTTTAATAAACATTAATAACGATAACAGAACTAACGATATTAAAGAAAACATCTGTAACACTGAAGTATACAAACAGAAAAAAATTGTAAAAAATACCCTAAAACTTTGTATTGCCTCCCTTGGCTGCTATAACTGCCTGTATATATTGGTTCATACTGTCATTGAGGCTACATATATCACATTGCGTTATGTTTTCCCATTCTTCTTTAAGGACCAAGCGAAGGTCAATTAATGAAGCTGGTACTGCTTCGCGACCTCTAACCTCCTGCCAACTATTTCCCAAACGTCGAACATGATGGGCAGTTCATAGTAGTATATAGTTCACAATAATCACCAAAGCCACTTTGTCATATTGAAAAATAACTTCAAAAAGAAATGATAATTGAAAAAACTGCAAATTGTTGGTGGCAAGTTCATCTCGATCTTAAAAATTAACCAAGGCATGTATTGATATAATCCAAAAAACAAAATGCTATGGTTCTGACCGAAAATTATATTGCAGAAAAATTTACACACGAAATTATTGCACAGGGTGTTTTAAAGTTAGAGTAAGAAAACAAACCCTCGATTAACCCTGTATAATATGCCAAATACTAAAGTTTATAAAAAACTGAGTTAACGAATTGAAGTTGATATAATTATGTACAGATTTCTAAAAAATTCATAAAAATAGATCTAAAAATAATAAAAATATAACACTTTAAATTTAACCCAAAATTTCTGCGTTGCGCTTTTTTTGCATCTGAGTGTATATAGGTGAGTGCAAATATTTTCACAGGGCTGGTAGATGTCACTACCAGATGACAACTATGTAGAAATCACTACCTGAACATATTACTATTTTTACCAGTTAAAACTATCTATATCTATACTATACCTCTGTAGCGGATTTATGTTTTCATAATATTCTTTTAAACAAAACATAATTTTTCTTTATCATTTTTCCAATAAGTCAAAAATAGCCCAGTTATTTTACTTTTAAAATTAAGAAAAAATACTTAAATTTTGAGTGCTATTTTTTCCGAGTCTTTGGTCTAAATTTAATCTATACTTGATATCAATCAGGTTTTAGTTACGTAATCGAGGGCACGATTTTTAAATTCATTGTTGCCAACCATGGATATATTCGGCGACGGGCTGACTAACTGAAATATAAATTTCGCGCTGGGAATTCAGGTGGTAGCTCTGCTGTAAAAACGTCAAAGTTACCGCATTTTATTTATTTTCTGACATTGTCATTCGTTTTGATACTTTAGTTTTGTATTACGACTTTTTGGTTTAAATAAATAGTGTTGTGATACTTTAAGCTTAAAAATGTTTACTAGCAGACCTTGCAGTCGAACATTGTTCTTTTTAGAACCTTTTTTTAGTGCGAAATGTACAATATAGTAAATACCATAAAAAACTCATAGGAACTTTATTACAACATTTTGAACTGGAAAGCGGTAGTAATGGCCCTTTCTGACTATTAAGTGCTGTTAAGAAAGTGAGTTTTGTTGATGTAAATAATAACTGTTTATATATTTATAAGACTCACCCTATATATGTATTTAAATATCTTGATCAGCAGATATTTAAATAAAATAAAGTAACAATTATTATTAACAATTATTATTATACAACAACAAATTATTATTAACTCTACCTTCCTTATTTATATTTGAATCCGTTTGCCTAATACGTAAGCATGTATTGGCTTCTCAAGAAAGGCTATCTCACACTTATCCACTCAGGAACACGGAGCGAGATCTTTATCTACCTACCCCACGCTCAGAGTTAGTTAAAAGTTCAATATTATACAACTCGAAAAAAATGCACAATCACCTGCCCATTTGAAATCAAATCCATAACATCATTTTCTTCATTCCGCAAAGCATTGAAATCTTATTTACTAGACAAGGCTTTCTACGCCGGAAATGACTTATATTTTGATAATTGAATTTGATCTTGTAAACACTGGTCTAATATTACTTTATTTACTATAAACTTACTAAATATTTTTGAATATTATTTTTATTTTTTTATTCTTTGACATTGTAAACATATATAAATGTTTATTTTAAACAATAAGACTGACAATGTAATTTGTATACTTGTTTTGTATTCTCTTTTGTTTGTTTACTTTCCCTTTGTCTACAAATTGTAAAAAATTTTGACAATAAAGGCATTTATTTAGAACTCTATACGAACTATATTTTTTTAACGTTTTAGAGGGAGCTTCCTAATCTACACTCTACTAATCAGTGTACTGACCATATTGGATTTTCGTTCAGCTGATGAAAAAGGTAAATATTTAAAAACAAAAATTAATTCGAATTTCAAAATTTTAATATACTTTATACAAATATAAACTTGCTCGTCCAGTACATTTCATTGCTAATTAAGTATTCCCTCGTATACTTAAATTAGCAATTAGCACTGAATTTCAACGCCCCAAAAATTTGTATTTAGCAAATGTAAACTTCTAAAAGGTTAATTCGCTAATAACCCCCTGTGTTTGGAATGGCCCTTTTAATGAGCTTCAGCTCCAACCAAAATATTATTCTACACTTTCCATTAGAGATGGGCAAGAAATCACTATAGATACAGGGTGGTACAAATTCGAGGTACGAGCATTGGTATCTCGGACAGATATGTCATTCTATTCAGTGTCATTTACTATGGAATAAAGTAAAAAAATACCGAGGGTGCCATTTAAAAATCAAAAGTTGTAGTCATTTCCGGTGAAGCAGGAAGTGACCGAAAACAATTGAATACAGTCAGTCAATCCCACGGGGGTGTCACTTGTATGGGAAAACAGGCAACAGTCAAATTTAAACGTGCCAGGATAAACGACAAAGAAAGCAACATCTGCCAGGGATTGGCTTTCTTTGTCGCTCACATTGCTTAAATCATGATACCGCGGCCATTTTGCCAACAAAGAAGCTGGCCTGCTGTCCTGGCAAGTGATTTAAAACAATTTTGCTTTTTTACAATATTAAATTACCATTTGGATGTATTTAATGCGATTATTCAGTTAACTGGTAAGTCAGAAATTACACACAAATACTTTATTCGTAAATACAACTAAGATATAAACGTATTTTTGTATTTTTAGATTTCAACTTTTGCAAAGACCCGCCGATAGAACTTGCCTGGTAGCGTACCTGTTTAACTAAACGTATCATTTCCTGATCATAATATCAAAACACGTAAGTACCTCTATAATTTATGATGAAAAATGATTTTGATTATGTTTTATGTTATTTAAATACTTTCTAATCTCATATAATAGTAAGATCCTTGTTTATATCGCACAGCCCGTTCAAAACTGTATTGTCTTCAAAAAATATTTACAAAACAAACAATTAATACAACAACAATGTCCTTTTAATCTGATTTATACCTCAGAAGGATGCCAGCAAAATTTTATTAAATTAACATTATATTATTTGGCCATTAATATGCAAAAAGGAGCGTATTCCTTAACTTACATTTTCTTTTACTTCTCTTGACAATGTTCTCTATATTCTCTATTTTGAGTTAGTGAACTTTTGAACTGGATGTGCCATATATAAAATACATAATATATCCAAGGGTATGATCTGATAAAAGTATTTTTTTGATGGATTTTTTGGTTGTTTATGCACGTTGGCTTAGTGTATGTTTTATTCAGCTTATATTTATTTGGTATAATAGTTTTTTTTGCCTTTGGAATGGCATGCATTGACGCTAGATAGTGTTTCATTAGTTCATTAAAGGAATTTAAATTAGCACATATTTTTTGTGATATTAGTGTGTTATTATGATACAACTACTAGGTAGTTGTATGATAGTGCCTTATGCATGTTATTTACCTATTATATACTTATGTATTATCAGTAAATAGATGATAACATACTACTAAAATGTATTTTTAATAGTATGTTTATCTTTCCAATTCACTAGTTATTTGCAAAATGTATTTTGAACTAATTTAAGTCATTAATTGATCATCTTTCTTTTTCAGGTTCCGGGATATTCTTTTTCATTGTTAAAAAAATATATATATTTCAATATTATTGTAATATAAATCGCAGCTCTATAAAATAAATGATATTGTTTACTAAATGTGTAATTTATTTACTATGAATTTTCTCTGAAAATAATAAGTCTTAAATAATATCATTGATTTGCTGTGTAAAGTTAATATACCTATTTTTTAATACTTTAAATTATATTAAAGTAATAAAAAATATGTTTATTAACTTTAAACAGTAAATCAGTGATACTTATAAAAATATTTTTTAAAAAATTCCTCTCTTTTAAGCCCCGCCTCTCCAATTCCCCTCAATTTAGCTAGTGCTGCCAGGCTACACCAAGTGACGTCTGTTTCCATTTTTTAACATGAAGTTAGCATTTCTTTAATGTACCTATTCTCTGGTCCATCCTAATTTATGTCATATACTAACATACCAAATCCCGTTTTTTACCTGAACAAATAAATGTTATAGGAGTGAGCCACTTTTGAGAGGCACCCGGTATATAAAATATATACATAGAAATGACTAATCATTAATCATTCAGGGGGAAATAAACAATTACCCTTCTAATGACAAATCTAACCTCAAATATGCGCCTGTAACAATCTTGGTATTATTTTGGCATGACCTGTCTGGCATGTCGAGGTCTAGAATAAGTCGACGCCCAACTCTACTTTTTAATACACAGCCACCTATATATCCAATTACGCGCTAAATCCTCTTTGGGGCTTTATTTTAAATCGACCAATTTATATTCCTATTTTGGCAGACGAGCCATTTTATTTATTCCATGTTATTTTTTGATTTTCAGGTGAAGAAAATAAACTGTTTAAGATATTTTCGGCAAGAAGAAACACCATAAATATATTCGCTAAAAGCAGTAAAGGTTTGTATTCTATTTATTTAACATAGAAATCCCATGTAAATTTTAAAATGTGTGAATAAGTTTCCTCATTTTATTTACCAGAAAAATGTATTTGAGACTTTTTAAAGAACTTCCAGTTCAGATATGACGTGGTACGGTAATTAGTCGTTATGTCGGAGAATTTTTCATTTAAATTACATGATTTTCCAAACGATTTAGTGCTTTGAAAATATAAAAAAAAACTACGAAACCATAGATAAATGAAACAAGTTTAAATTGGAAAGTGTCCATAAGGACAATGTAAACACTATTTGGTGCTATTCTTGCAACGGTCGCGACCCAAAGCTTTTGATAATTTTGGAGCGGTTCGCCTTTTGCCGGAATTATGTCGCCAAATATTATTTATTCAAATTTATTATCATTTTTTTTAAATTTTATAAATAAAATACAGTGTATTGTATAAAAGAAACTTTATTTTATATAAGAACTTGTATGATATACTTATGAAACTTGTATGATATACTTATGAAACTTGTATGATATACTTATGAAACTTGTATGATATACTTATGAAACTTGTATGATATACTTATGAAACTTGTATGATATACTTATGAAACTTGTATGATATACTTATGAAACTTGTATGATATACTTATGAAACTTGTATGATATACTTATGAAACTTGTATGATATACTTATGAAACTTGTATGATATACTTATGAAACATTGGAAACCAACGTTTGGAAAACATCGTGGATGGTTTTTGCAGCTTAGAGTTCACAGCACAGCTTTTTAAGTTTTTAATACCACTTTTTCACAATTGCCACGGTTTTGAGTGAATAAAATTTAAATTAAATTCTCAAGATAGCAATAATTACTTTGAAAATGGACGCTTTAAACCCTTTTCAGTATTTTTTCAATGAGAGCGGTTTAAATTTTGAAAAATCTTATAATTTTTGAACATTCTGACTTTGAAAAGAGAAAATTATTTCTTGTTTTTGTTTGCGGTTGTTCTTAGCAACCGCTATAGCAGCGCCAGATCGCGTACAACGGTCGCGAGCCAAAACAATTTTATATTTTGACAGGCATTCCAATCTAAATTTATTTCCTTTATATATGTACAAAACTAATAACATTTTTACTACAAAGTTGACAGCTTTTAAATGTTTAATTAGTTACCACGGAAACTGAATTATCAAGTCAACTAAACTTTCTACGCTTTGTTCATATAGTTTACAAGCCAGCAACGTTCTCGAGAAAGTATTTTAAGAAAGCTGGCCCTTTGATATATGCTTTACTATGCTCTCTGGAACAGCATGCGGACCGTCTGCGTGCCGATACACGTTGCGTTTACTACTGCGCATCGAAAGAACATCCTATATATTTTTTTTTATATTTAGTCCGTTAAATTCTAGTATTGAATATAAATCGAGCAAGTCTGCATAGCGCGGCGCGCAGAGGTTCCGCCTATGAAGCGAGGAGTCCGAGTTCGAGACCGGCTCGGGGTATAGAATTTTTTATTTTATTTTCATTTATATTCTGATAGTAAAGTATTAAATATTTGTTTTTTTTTTAAATCGCCAGAATTATTTAATACTTGGCTATGGAGAGTCGCTCGGTTTATATTCAATACTAGAATTTAAAAGACTAATAAAAAATATAGGATCTTCTTCCAATGCGCAGTAGTGAACGCAACGTTTTTCGGCAGTCAGACGGCCCGCACGCTGTTCTAGAGAGCATAGTAAAAGATATATCAAATAGCCAGATTTCTTAAAATACTTTCCCGACGTTGCCAAGGTCAAGAATCAGAAAATTTAATTTTAATATGGTTTTACACACAACTTGGTCTAAGATTTTCTCATCGAATACTAAAATGAGGTTAAATTTATTCTGGAATTTTTATCTCGCTCATGAATATTTTTAGAAAATCATCCAATTCTCAAAATATTCATGAACTAGAAGCCACATAAAGAGCTGTTTCGGAACGATGGATCACTCGGTATATTGCATTAGTTTGGTGTATTTTTTAACCCTCTGGCAGGCGCGTACTAGAATTACACGACCGGGCGCGTAGTGGTACTCCGTACTAGCGATGGGAACTATCGAATGAATTAGACTATCGAATGGTTACTGAATGAATGATTTTAACTATCGAATGGTTTTATTCGAATAAAACCATTCATTCATTTGTATACTAAAGCATATATGTGACAACCTCGCCGTGCGACTAAATGGTTATCGTTGAGCCACGACTATCGAATGCTTTTGATAAATGAAATTTAGTATTCGTTTGATTTTTGTGTGCGTCAGTGCATTATTAGTTCTTCCAAATTCTTATAACTTCGCCTTATAAATACTGTGCTATTTTTGCGTTTATTAAAATATTTAAAATACTAAAATAGTAGTTTTTTTAAATTGGCGATTGTGTGCCGTGTGCAGGTGGTCAAAATTTTTCCGAAAATTTGTGTGATTTTCCGTAGCCCAATCTTTCAATTATTTAATTTTATATGATATATGGTCTATTTTTTAATGGGAAATTTTGAGAAGTAGCAATTTTTAAGAGAGATGAGATGAACTTACAATTAATTTTAAAAATACATATTTGTATTTTGGATGTTATAATAATATGACTTAGTTGAACTTAATAATCATATTTAAGTAATGTGGTTAAGTAAATGGGGGGTTATCGAACTCAAACTATGGGGTGAGATAATTAAATTGAAAGTTTTACACGTGCCAATTTAAAAAAAAAGATAACGATGTTTGTATTTTGTTTATGCCAATTCTCTTATATTTTTAAAGTAAATGCCAGTAAAAGTAAATATTATTTTTAAATAATAATATAAAGTACCTAATATAAATAGTTTTGATTTCTAATTTTTTATTAATATTTTCCTTCCATTACACTGCATGCTTAGAAAATTAATAAATGTTTATATTTCATGATTTTAAAATTTGTTGTTAATATAACAAATTAGTTCTGTAATTAGTATTATTTAATAAACCAACGTTGCCACACAAAAAATTTAGAGACTATATTATATTTAAATAGGATCTAATATAAATAATTTTGACATCTAATTTGTTGTTTATATTTTGCTACTACTTAAAAAAATGTTTATATTAAATTATTTTAAATTTTGTTGTTAATAGGTATAAAAAATTATTACTGTTATTATTATTTATTAAACCAGTCTTTGCTTAAAAACATTAAAAATAATTTTCCTACATCCAAAATAGCAAGTATTATTGAAGTGTAACAACAGAATATTAATAATAAAAATGCAAAATATATAGACATACTATCCCTAACTAACTAAAGCCAAACAATAATATTCTTTGCTAATATCAACTAATACCAATATATGGCAACAGCGCCCTTCATAATGTATTTTCTGTGTAAATACGAACACCTCAATAAAAAAAATAATGTGTCCTTATCTTTATCTGACTCCGCAAAAAATGAAAGATGCCGGCTTCTTTCATAGCATTGCCACCGACCGCTGCCGGGTTTCTCGGAAAGAAACCTATGCCGAGCGACAACTAAAATCCAGTTAATGTTTTATTATAATCGATCCTGACGAATAAATGAATTTTATAAATGAATGAATCTTATAAATGAATGGTTTTTGCTGCCGAATTACTAGAATACAATATTTCAAGGCAGATGACGCATCTATTCGATAATTTTTATTCGAATAGTTTTCAACGAATGTTTTCTTACTAGCTATCGAATTATTCGAATGAATTGCAACTATCGAATGTTTCGATAGTATTCATTCGATAGTTCCCACTACTACTCCGTACCGCATTTATGTTTTTTAAGTATTCTGTAATTTAAAATATTTTATTGTCAAATTTAGTATAATAAACAGTAATAAGCAACATTTTTATAGTTATTAATGATAAAAGTTCGATACGAGCATCATAATGAAACGTGTGTTAGTGGCTTAGTTACACAAGTTTCATTAAAAAGTTCGTATCGAACGTGTATCATTCAAAATTTAATCTACAACGCGACACGAGGGACGATCCAAAGAGATTTGATTTAATTTCGAATATCAGAGATATCCTCATAAAAATTAAAATTCAAAATTATCAGGTGCCCATATTAGTCGACGCCGAGGTAATCGTGCTTGTTGATTGTTTCCATTTTGACTTTGGCAACTCAATTATTGATGTTCAATTTTGTGTTAAACGTTCAGTTTTAGCAAAAAGCAAAGAATAATATTAATATGGGTGATTCTGATTCTGAAAGTGTCCCTTCGGATATTGAAGGCATTGCGCAAAACGTTGTCGATTCCCTACTTCCCGAAAAATCAAGACAAACGTACGAGCAAGCCTGTGTAAAACTTGAAGATTGGTGTAAAGGGAAAGGAATCAAAAATAGTAGTAACGAAAATGTTCTCCTGGCATATTTTGAACATCTTTCAAAACATAGGAAGGCTTCATCACTTTGGGTATATTATTCCATGCTACGTTCAGTTATATCAGTGAAGAAAAATACAGATATTAGTAAGTACGTCCATTTAATTGCATTTCTTAAAAAAAAATCGGAAGGATTTCGGTCAAAAAAATCGAGAATTTTAAGAAAAGAAGACATAACTCGTTTTTTGTTGGAAGCTGATGATAAAACTTATTTCCTGACAAAAGTTTCATTGATAGTGGTACTTACGGGAGCCTGCCGGCGTATCGAGTTGACAACTCTGCAGCTGCAAAATGTTAAAGATGAAGGACAATGCATTCATGTCATTATTCCATTTACGAAAACAAAGATATCACGAGATTTTTTTATAACGTAAGGAAATGTTGAAGGAATAAATATGGTGGAAATGGTTTGAAGATATATAGCTCAGCATACTAGATTTTTTGTGGGGTACAGAAATGGAAAATGTATTAAGCAACCCGTTGGCATTAATACTTTAGGGAAAATGCCGTATAAAATAGCATTGTTCCTAAGTCTTTCAAATCCACAACAATGCACTGGACATTGTTTCCGTAGATCGGCTGCGTCGTTGCTTGCAGATTCAGGAGTGGATTTATTAACTGTTAAAAGACATGGTGGTTGGCGCTCTAACACAGTGGCAGAGAGCTATATATAAAATTCTAAAGAAAATAAGAAAAAAGTGTCATGTAATATTTTGGGTAACATTTCTGGCAATGATGGATCTTCAACAAGTTCAAGCACTCAGGAAATAAATATACTTTCTAAAAATTCAACTCACCTGTCTGCGTGTTACAAAATTTGCGTGTTATTATGAATTCATAATGACATCCAAATGACAATGTTAAATGTGTCATGATGACATTGTCATAGATTAATACATATATTTACTTTATTAACACATAAAAACTTAAACGTATTAGAAAAAAAAGAACCAAACGAAACATTTTTAATATTCAAATTAAAAAAAAATATAACTTTGCGAACTCACAAAAACTAAATCATACCTAATTCCTAACCTAACCTAACCTAACGAAATTAGTAAAATTGCGATACAAAATTCCGGACGCGCCGCTCGAGGGTTATAATAAAAAATAAAAAAGAAAGTCTAAATTTTGAATCATTTATCAGTTTTCTTTAAATTAAAATTTTCTGAAAACCTTAAATTTTATGTGTGGGCAATCTTTTTTTGCCGCATACTGTAATATTTCTCTGCTCGTCTTTTATCTAGAGCGCTTCTTTCACGTCTTTCAATTACGTTCTATTTTCAGGCCCATCAGACCTAGATTGCGTGCACGGCATACGCTTCTTGAGCACTTGCTACGTTATTATTGGCCACAGATATCTCATGATGATGTTCTTTCCTGTAATCAACAGCCTACACATTATGGAGGTGAGTGAAATGAATATACTGGCTGGTGCATCGTCGTTGGAAACATAGGAAATCCCATGCAAATTTTAAACTGTTCAAATATTGGCTCCCTATTAATTTTACGTATTCTGTCGTAAATAGAGTTTTTAAGGTTTGCGTATGGTAAATACACATGCCAAATTTTAACAATTTCGGACCAGCCGATTTTGAGTAATTTAAGAAAGGTTGCATCTATTTTTATATTAAAACCAAACAGGTAACAATCAAACACCAGTCAAAAACCGACAAACCTTAGGTTTACAAACTATGATTTTGTCATTGTCAAAAGTAATTTAATTTTAATATTCAGGGGAAATTAACCGAAACATGTCGGAAACATCGGAAACCATAAAATAAACATTTATTATAAACATAGAATAAACATTCTCAAGTAAGCATGACAGGTTTGAAAAAGTGTAGAGTTTGAAATGTTGAAAAATTAATAAATTAAATATAATTTTCTTACGCGTAAAAAGTGGTTTTTTTCGTGTAACAAATAGTTTTTTACACGTAATAATTGGAATCAATTTCACAAAATTTGTATAAAATATCATTATTTTTGATAAACACGTGGACTGATATCACAATTAGTATACGCTTTTATTACTTCTTACAAATATAAATTTAACTACGAATCTAGTAAATTCTAGCCATGTCGTGGATTTATCAAAGACGCATTCCCTTTGTAATTTTCAAATCCGTTATTAAATTAACCGAATGGTTCAGTTCAAGAACTGTAGCATTTCGAAGACCGCGTATAATTGGAATAATTGGAGACACACGCTGAACATTCCCCGATTGTTGTATTTCATAACATAAAATTCCCTTCCAAGCAGTTTGCGTTTCTCTATTACCGCCTTTCTTGTAATAAGAAACATTACAGTATTCGTAAAGACGGAAATAAGTTTTTGGGGTGACAACTTAACTCGTTTTTAAGATTTATTACATGTTTGAAACCATAACCAAATGAATTATGAAAAGAGCTTTAAAGAGACAAACAAACAGATACAGAAGTTATTAAAAGATATCGAAGTTATGCTTTGTAATGGTTTGAGCAAAATATATACTAAAATATAGCGTTTTTAGCTGTTAAAAAATATACTTTATCTACGTCAGTGAGGTAAGAAACACTTAACTCACGCATTTTGAGTGAGTTAAGAGCCTCTTAACTCACGCATTTTTATTACCGCACTCCTTGTTTAGATGACTATCAAAGAGAAAAAAATATTTTGTAAAACATTTTTTATTTTGCACTAAATTGGAAAAATATGTTATGAGTAACTTTTCATTTCCATAGTTGTGTACTTTTTTTTCGGTGCACAATTTTTCATACTTAGAGTATGTATTCATACTTCTATTTCGATCTTGCTGGGAGCAATCCAGAAATGGCTCTGAATGCCTCTTCTTCAATGTCAGAGGAAATACTTTCCGAATCGCTTATTTTTTAAATTAGTGACATCAATATTATTTACTGTCATATTGACATTGTCATTAACTTGTGTAAATTGTCATAACACTATGCATTGACATGCATAGTGTTATTTGAACAAAAGTATTAAGGTAATTGATTTTTAGGATAGGTATAATAGTACAATAATTTTTAAAATTTATTGTGTATTTTTATAGCTAGACGTAGATAAAATATTGTACAATACACGCGAGTTCACAACTTTCACACGCGTATTTTAATGATGCTGTTAACTCACTCACATGATATATAGTCGAAAAGCAGTTTTACTAATCTTTTGAATATTTAAATAATATATATAAAATAATAGCTCCCGTATACCCTGCTGGCAAGCAAACCTTTAGGTCGGCGTTTACATGTATAGGAGTGAGTCGTTATGGCAATCTAGTAAGCCAGAGTGAGCAAAAATACGAAGTATTTATTACATAACTGATTAATCTGACGCTAGAGTCCATGCGCTTGGGAAAATACTCGCCCTCTGTCTTTATTCAGTACATCTTATTTTACTAACCGTGTTGACCGTACACATGAAAACCGGCACCCAAGACCAGAAATGCCGACCCTTAGTATAGCGTTTAACGCCTTGGGAGTAGCAAGGTACAGCTTGCTATACTAGAGCCGTTCGGTATACAAGGAAGGTAATGTGGCTAACACTACGCTTCAACCGCCTATTATTACCTCAGGATTGTGAATCCCAAGTATTCATTTAAGGCTGAGTCGACCTAGGTACCCAAACTATTTTTATTTTATTAAAAATAGTCGGCTGATGAAATGCCGGGTGTGGGATTCGAACCCACTACCTTGAGATTGGTAGACGAGAGTCTATACCTCGTACTGCTTTAAATAATATATACAGGGTTAAATTTAAAATAAAAAAAAATAAAAATAGTCACAAATTTTATAACAAAACGGAAATAAATATATTTTTGGATCTCCCCTGTGATATCCAATCGGTTGATTTAGATAGTTGTTTAGAAGATATCGACTTTCCTTCACTTAAAAAACGAAACATTAGCTATCAATATGCTGAAGTAATGATTTAATCAATGATATAGTTAGATTATTCAAGACCATGTTTTTGTAAATTTTACACATGACATTTTTTTCAAAATCTATGAGAGATAGGTATAAGATAGTATAATAGAAAAATTATAAGTTATAAAAATTGTTTCTAAAGATGTAACACCATAAAAAATAATAAAAAAAAAACAAAAATGCTACTACTTTTAATATAAAGCGGCAACACAGTAACACTGAAAATAATTTGAAGCAGATGCCTTTGTCATAAAATTCAAATTTTCAAAAAATTTCTTTTGACTGGTTCTCTATAAACGTCTAACTTACCCTGAATCACCCTGTATAATATGTACACTATATTAATATTATTTTTAGTGGATTTTGTACTACAGAAGTACTGCTATAACCGGCGGAACACTATGCGTCGACACTTTCTTTGTCGTTAGCGCTATACTAGTAAGCATTGGATACTCCAAACAAGCATCTAAAGGACCCATAAACTGGTTCATGTTTTATTTCTACAGGTACATGCGAATTACACCACCATTAGCAATAGTAGTACTATGGTAAGGAAGAATTTAATAGTAAATAAATAAATTTGAAAAAATTCAGAAAGATCTATTCTTTAAAAAGTTGAACATTTTTCTTTTCTAGGTATTCAACGCTTATGCAATACTTTGGTTCTGGTCCGCTGTGGAACGACATGTTGGAAGTGATACAAAAACCATGTCAAGAGTACTGGCTTGCAACTATAATGCATGTCCAAAATTATGTACATCCTTATCCTTTGGTAACAAATAAGTTTTTTTTCCATAGCAACTGTTAAAATTGCCTTATATCTATCAAAAATAGTAGATAAAATAGTACTTTAACCGCAAGGGTAGATTAAATGATACTTTAACAGTGAGGTTAGGTTAAAAACTTTATTTCTTCTCGCACGTTTATTAGTTGCTTCCTTTTTTGAAGATTTTTGTATTCCTCGGGATTTAAATGGAAGTAGTTTGGATATGGCGTTTGTCGCCTCAGCCTGAATATCTCTTGATAATTTACTTATTTCGTTTTGAGCCATTTCTGGCTCCAATTCAATCAGCAATCGACACGAAAGAGAATTAAAAAATATTGACTCAAAACTGACAACTAAAGCGGCAGCTTTATTTATTTGTCAAATTACATAGAAACCAACGCCAACCCAGCACAATATTTTTTCTACTCGTAATAAATTCCTTGAAATAATAATTTCTGAATATTTTTTAAAACGTAACTCGCTATGGAAAAGGTATTGTTTTATACACGACGATAAAATTCACTCGCGATTTCATCGCTCTTGAATAAACCTTCTACTTGCAAAACTTGAAGCATGTGCTATATAGTTTATGAACAAAAATGTAAGTAAAAGGTTTTGCTCAAACTTGTATTAGATGAAGCATGAGCATCTACTCACGTTTAAGTATTTGCTCAACTTGTTATGAATAAAATGTATGCTTTGCTTACTTAGTTGAGCATATGCTCCAAAATTTTTGCATCTCGTTAGTAGGAGATGCACCTTGCAATAAGCTGGTCATAAAATGGCAGAATTCGTGAATTTACGTGCACAGAAGCAATATATTGGCGATATTTTAAATCTCTTTACAGATTTCAAGAGGAAAATGTAAATTGGATGGCAACGTACTTTTTGGGAGAAAATCTTGAAAGAAGAGTAGCTCTCTCTTCAAATCATAAAATGAAGGTTTTCTTGCGATATATGGCCAATCCTGGATTTCAGATGGGTGTAGCAGCTGTAGCAGAAGAATTGAGAATCACTCAGTCGACTGTTTCAAAAATAATTTCATTTGTAATGAACAAAATAGTTGAAAAGTCCCATTTATGGATCAAATTTCCGTCAACCCAACCCAAAATAAACGAAGCACAGCAAGCGTGTCAAGAAAAATTTCAGTTACCAAGTGCTATTGGAGTGATTCATTGCACGCACCGTTCAGATTTTGAAACCGAATCAACACGGTGATGAATACATCAACAGAAAGGGATTGGCGACTTTAAATGTGCATGCAACACGTAACTCAGTGGAAATGTTTACTAGTGCTGATGTTAGTTGGCCGTGTTCTGTACACGACGCAAGAATTTGGAGGAACTGCGATATACGTGTAACTATGCAACAGTTTCCTGGTGCAATACTACTTGCTGATGGTTATGGCCTAAAGCCGTGGCTAATGACTCCATTTAGAAACCCCAATAATCCATTGGAAAGAGCCTACAATAGACTGTTTAAGAAAGAAAGGGTTATAATTGAAAGGTGTTTTGGCCAACTTAATAGTTTCGACAGGAATGACCAGGCGCAAATGCTCATTTTATTGAAGCAAATACTCTTGAGTATAAGCCAATCATTATTCATATCAACTCGAGTAGATGCTTATACTCCGACCTGTTACTCTAAGCTCTTGCTTGGAGCGTTTGCTCATACTCACGAGCATTTGCTTTCTTTTTATTCATACGGGCCATTTTATCTACATATATAAAATGCTAATGTTTATCTGTGTCGTGTCTACTGAAGTAACGACTTGCTCTAGAAAGTAAGTTTTAGTTTTCTTCTAAAGTTCTAGTTCTAGTTCTATTTTTTTTACTAAAAGAAGCTAATTGGCTCTTCTAAAAACTCTCGTCGCCGGAATTTTCGTTTTTCATTTAATTAAAAAAATATAAAAAGTATTTTTTTTTTGATGTCGTGGCGGATGCGCCAGGCTTCAAGTACTTCAATTTTCTATCGATTATTTTCTTTAGCATTAGCACCAATAACTAATCTCAATATTCAAACACATTCTCATCATCATTCTCAGCTTATTCAACCATTTCCAATTATGGTGTAGCCTCCCTCACATGTTCAGATACCCTCTTTATAGTTGAGCATATTGTTGTCTATTGTTGACTCTGCGGGCCCAAGTTATCCCTGCTAATTTCCTATTTTCATGGACCTATCTCAGGTTTGGCCTTCCTCTAGGTCTCTTAATTCCGCATGGGTACCATGCAGTCATTTTTGAGGTCTATTGCCACTTGGGGGATTTGATTTTGTGGATGATATCTATTACCTGGGTTTTTTGTCGTATCCACTCTATCTTTTACGGTCTTTCTTGGTTATTCCCAGCATATTTCGTTCCATTGAGCATTGTGCGACCTTCGGTTTCCGTATGATTAAGGTTTCGCATGCATATACGACTGGTAGTACACATTGGTCGAATGTTTTCTTCTTTAGATAGAGTGGCATTTTAGATTTAAATATGACTGAGTTTCTTCCATAAGTACTCCATGCCAACTTAATTCTTCTGTTGATTTCTTGTAGTAGAGATCCCGAGATGTGTATTAGTTGTCAAATATATGTATTCTTCTACTATTTCCAGTGCTGTGTTATGTATTAGAATGTATTTTCTTTCCACTATTTCAACCATTATATTGGTCGCTCTTATTTACTGTTCTGAACAAAATCTACAATAAATTTTCGATTTAATATGCTTACATTTTTTCCAATTAACGATATGATTTAAAATAACCCCGATGAAATATAAAATACTGATTAAAAGACTCTATAAATTAAAATAGGCTTATTTTCAATGTATCAATGCTTTATAATTTTATATTATTAACGTTAATGCCAGAATAATTGATGTCAAAGAGCTAACTGCATCATTAATAATGTGATTTAAACAAGTATTATAAATTAATACCCTGTTTGGTATGAAAATAATTTTAAATATTCAAACGTTTATTATCGGACAAAATAGAAGAGCAAAATTAATACTTTCATGAATAAATTGACTGGACATTTGAATTTATAGTAATTATATTTAATAAAGAGTAACTTATTATTTACTAATGGAGGGTTAGTTATGTTTGTTTTATATTATATGATGGATTTATTTTAATTTTATGAAAAATCGAAACAATATTATATTAATGTTACGTTTTTCGTCGGTTCCGTGTGGATAGAAAATCACAATTTATTTAAACACAATTTATTCTACACTAAGTAACAAAAACAATAACGCTAAAAGACTTAAAGGAACTATTTACAATCGATTTATAACTATTTATCTAGTAAGAACTACGTCTCTCGTCTATTTATGTCTGTCCTCTTCAGGCCCCAGCCGCGTCGGCTTATATACCCACAGCTAAAGAGTTCTCGAATAATCCATTGATCATTAGGTGCATAGAGAAGGTTTCGAATGTTCTCGTATGTACTAATCCATTCCAGTGGAACTCGATTGATCTCGAACGTTCGAATGAATCATTACGGTGTCTATTCTTTAAGGCGATATTTAAGGTCATATGGGGGCGGGACATATCAGTTAGTTAGGTTATGCCGAGTCCACACGTGTCCGCAACATTAATATTATTTCCAGCTTTTTTGTTAAACTTGTAGTAGGGATTGTCCGAATGATGTGAAATGATTGAGTTGTTCTCTTTATTTTTGTTTACTTTTTCGAAGTATTTTCTATATATGGAGGGGTTAGAATTAAAATGGATCAAGTCCAATTTTCTACTATTTTAAGATAATCGTCTTTATACATTTATAAAATATTGTTTTTTCCAGTAGAGAAACGAATCAGGTCATACTTCACGCATTGAGCAGCTGTAGCATGTTTCCGTTTGGTTTCTGAATATTTTGTTCATTTATTTTAGAAGTCCAACAGGATCAAGTCCATAAAATTTAACGCTATTCGCGATTTTAACACACATGCTTAGGTTTAGAGCTAAAAAATATTTTTTTGATAAAATGGATGACAATGAAACAAAGTCTGAACCATTTGCACCAAGCGAATCAGATTATCACTCTTCTGAAAGTTCTGATCCTATCGATTCTGAAAGTATAGTTTGATTTCTCATTATTTTCACTATAACTACATCAATAAATAAGTTAGGCTGTTTTTCTTACAAATACTTAGATATCTGACATCTTGTTGATCTGAATAAAGTTGCACGAGGAAGAAAAATATTTAATTTTAATATCATTTCAAATAGACGTAACGTAACACACTCTAAAAGGCAAAGGCAACACATGAAAGATCTTCCCTTTATCCCGCCTATATACCATAATTTTAATAAAAATCGGAGAAAACGCTATTATATAATAAACAATGTGAAGTCAACAAATCCCTTAATGACGAAGAAGAATGTACCGATGGACCAATTTATATCTAAAATTCCAAATATTTTCAGAAATAAAATGGTTCCATATAGAAGTTCCAGAATATACAGTTGTATTTTGATTTACTTTAGTTTGCAATTATACAATTTAAAATAATAATAAAGCATTGTGTCAAGTTTTCTTCTCCACATTGTTTTATTTTAATTAAGTAACATTCTTCTTCTTCTTTACGTGCTGTCTCTTTCGTGGAGGTTGGCGATCACATTGGCAAAATCTTCACGATTCTTGGCTTTCCTTATAAGTTCTTCAAAAGTTAGGTGAGTCCAGTTTCTGATGTTTCTCAACCAAGATAGTTTCTTCCTGCCGAGACCTCTTTTTCCTTCAATTTTACCTTTAACTATTAATTGTAAGACGTGGTATTTTTCATTTCTCAATATGATGTTTTTCTTATTTTTATTATATTGAGCAATTCTCTTTCTCTGCCTATTCTGTTGTATACTTCGATATTTGTGATATGGACTGTCCATGGTTCATTCTTCGATATATCCATGTTTCGAACGATTCCAGGCGATTCATCTCTTGAACTTTCAGTATCCATGTTTCTGCTCCGTATAATAGGATTGACAAACATAACACTTAACGAGCCTAGTTCTCAACTCAAGGTCCAATCTGGGGTTCTGCAAGATGTTCTTCATTTTTAAAAATGCATTTCTCGCTTGTTCTATTCTGGTTTTTATTTCCACGTCGTTGTTCGAGATGTTAACTATCCAGGACCCCAGATATTTGAACCTGTAGACCTGTTCTAAGGTATTGCCCTCTATTTTAATAGGAATTAGTACATTTTGGTTCTTTCCAAATACCATGACTTTAGTTTTAGACGAATAGATCTTCATCCCGTATTATAAGTAACATTAAAAAACTTTAACTCCCATTTTTTTTATAATTATCTTCTAGAACTTGATCCAGTTCATTTGAAATTTGTTTATTGTAGCTGTAAATCTACTCAATTCAAATTAGGTTATCACTTCTCTCCTTGCTCACTGATGTTTCTAATAAAATAAAGTACTTTTTTCTATTTCAGTGCCTGACTCAAGCTTGGTATTTAACCTGTGACATGCAGTACTATTATTTCTCACCTATTGTACTGATTCCACTAACTGGGGACAGTGTTTATGGATACATAAATTACATAGCCGTTTATTTAGTATCTATGGGCGTAACTTTTTATTTTGCTTATATCAACAAGTATAATGGTGGAGTACCTGTTACGTATGTATTACTCTTAAGTTTCAGTTTTCTGTAGCATTTAACTATTTAACAGTCTCTGTTAGTTTAAGTTATAATTCTTAAGCTACATATTAAGTTATTAAACTTTAAGGTACATTCAGGCTGAGAGCGTCGAGCGTCGCGTCCGCGTGTCGAAATGGAATCAATTCACTTAATTTAAATTAGACCGTTCAGGCAGACAGCGTCGCGTTTGGCGTTGCGCTAGCGTCCGCTGAGCGTCGGGGTTCGAGTTCAAGGGGGCGGACGCGACGCAAACGCGACGCGACGCTCGACGCTCGACGCTCTCAGCCTGAATGTACCTTTAAGCTTCATTCAGAACCTCGAAATTAGTGGAATAAATTAGTGGTTTCAATTAGCGTAGAAGTTTGTTCCTTTAATTTCAATGTAAGCATTCAGAACGTCAAAATTAGTGGTATACTTTTTCAATTAGTAGAAAACTTTATCAAACTTTTAACTTTTCTACTAATTATGCTTCAAAATTTGCGAGAAATGATATTTTGGCATTTGATTATCTTCCGTCTAGAGAAATATTAGGCTTTCTCTGTGGATACAACTGACTACTGCAAGCTGTTGCTGGAATGTAGAATGTAGAATGTTTAGGAGGGGAGTTAATCACCGCGACCTTATAGATCTATTGTGTGTTCCCCTTTCTTGAGTTATAACGAGTTATAACTCATCATACAGTCTCAGGGCTTTAAGAAAAGCCAGCTCTCCATCCTCGACATCAGACGTACCAAGGTTCATGGCAGTTCATGGCACGAATGGTGTTCTGGTGTTTCCCCATTTTCCCCACAAAATCTGCATTCACCGTTGTTTCTCAGTTTCAGCCTACTGAGGTGTTCGTTGAGGAGACAGTGTCGTGTTAGAAACCCCGTGACAATCCGAAGATTGTTTTTACTTAAATCAAGGAAAACCTTTGATTTTTCTCGGTCATAAGTTCTAAGGAACTTTTTCGAGTGTCTTAGACCGTTGGAGGACACCCATTCCAAGTTACGGATGGAGTCTTCCAGATTCTTCAGTTCCGCTTTCAGTTGGTTCCCGTTTGAAAAACAGAACGGTTCTGGTCCAGTTAGTGGAGTGTTCGCTCCTTTTCTAGCTAGATCATTTGCTTTTTCATTGCCTTCTATCACTTGGTGAGCAGGCACCCAGAGTAGGAGGACTTTATTTTCTTTGCGTAATTTGTTGAGCTTCTCCAGGCATTCTTTGACCAACTTCGAATTGATGGTTACTGAGTTGACTATCGGATACGATGGCAATTTCCTGTTTTCGATAGTTCCTATCTAAGATAAATTGTACGCATCTTTCGATAGCGCAAATTTCTGCCTGAAGGATACTGGGGTAGGTGCCCATTGGTTCGGAGTATTCAATTTTGTTGCTGGAATATTCTAGATATTAATTTTAATTGTGTTTTTTAAACATTGTGAATGATCGTAAACTAAAAAGTATATAGTGTAATCGAAACCAGTAATTTATTCCACTAATTGCGAGGTTCTGAATAAAGCTTAATAGTTAGAACACTTATTTATAAATAATAGACATTGTTGGTGGAACACAGAGTTGGTGAGCAACTGTTATTTCAAAAAATATAGTTTCCTACCTGTATTAATAATGGTTGCAGTGCTACAAGTTCAGATAAAAATACACAATAAAGTTAGGAAAGACATTGATTATTTTATTTTGGTTGTAGAAATCAACTTTTTTCTACCAAATATTTCCAACATTTTTATATAGCCCCCCACGTAAGGTCATCCACGTACATAATTGGTTTGGGTTTCGGTCATTTTCTATATAAAACGAGAGGTAGAACGTTCAAAATAAGTAATGGTGTGGCATTTATTGGTTGGATTATTTGTATTTTGACAATGCTGACTTCTTTAATGGGTATGTCAGATGTAAACTTGAAATTATTAATTTTGAATTACGAAATAACGGAAACAATTTACTTTTTAACCTTATTAACTAAATTAAGTTTGAGTCTAAATTTCTCAATTTAAACTCAAACATGCATTTATACTAAGGGCTGACAAAGATTAGTCTTGGGTCAAGATTTCCGTGTGTAAGAAGAGTACAACAATGCGTTTATAATGTACTGAACAAAGAGAGAACTGTAAAAACGTTGCCAAACGTATGAAATAAACCGAGAAACTTTGCACATTGCTAAGAGATGTAGAAGGGAATATAGCATATTCGTCGCTGTCGACCTGTCACAGACCTAGTACCATATCAGTACTTAAAATTCTAGTACATTATGCGTTCAGCTTCACGATTTCATTACGTCTCGGGATACTTTATTTGTTTATTTATTAACGAGCCGTAATTTTTCCTATAGCTTGTAAATTTTTAAGTACAAATTAGAAACACTTGCACTTTTGGTAAAAATAAGTAGAATTGAGCTTGTGTTCGACAGTGGTCGCGCTATTAGAACTCTGAATTCAAAAATCGATATCTCGAAATTCATTAGAAATAATTGATTGTGCTTTTTTTTAAAAAACTTTCTGAATATTTCTGCTATATTTTCCTCGCAGACAATATGTGAAAATCTTTATAAATAAAAAAGTCCCACGATTGCTAAAAATTGCTATGCACTAAAAGTAAATGTATGGGTTGTTTAAAATTTTTGAATGGAAAAAACAACCTTATCGAATTTTTCTTATTTAAACATATTGTTAAAGATCCGATCTTCAAAATGAAAAAAACATTTCAATATCTAAAGTGGTTTTTCAGTTATGGCGTGTTATGTTTTAAAAAGTTGAGTTTTTAAATTATTGCAATTACTGACGTTTCCTCGTTATAAAAAAAATGATACCCTAACGATATCCTTATAATTCCATTTCAAATGCTCAGAAACATATCTAATGATTTTATCTAGTTATCTTTTCGAAAAAAAAAGTCGTTTAAAAATAAGCGGTTTGCGATCGTGATTTTACTGTACTTGATAAGGAAATACGTACCGGCAACGCTGCAACAGCACGCCCGCCGTGGCATTTCTCTCACTCCGACTTAATAAGATCCCTATGCGATTTACTCCCACACATCTAAATACCGACCCAAAATTAATAGTTGCCAGTACGGTATGTAAAGGATGAACTCTGAGGCCGTTTTTTTTCTTACGTATGACATATTCGCATTGTTGTTTATATCTTTATTCTTTCAGGTTGTTTGATATTTTTTCAAGAAGATCACGATTATAACAGGATGGAATCGACAATATTCCTAACTTTATCTAGATCGTCATGGACCATGGGAATAGTGTGGATGATATGGGCATGTGTTAATGGTTATGGAGGTATAATAATTTTTAATACATTATAAACTACTTCCTAGTATAATTTGTGACAATAACAAGATTGAGATCTCCATACAAGTAATAGAACAAGTAAATTATGTCATTGGCTAATCCGACCTATCGTCCACGCGCCAAATTTGAACATTAATTTTAAAAATTTAATTTGTAAAATGCTAATATTTGAACAATACATTGAATTTTTACTGCCACAAAAATTAAATTATATAAAAAATACATTTAGCCACTCCGTACGATCATCAATATTCTTAGGAAATCTAACCAGAAAGTATGCATGCGTGGCTTAATATAAATAAAAGAACAACTGAATACTTTACTTGCCTATGAAAAGATAATTCGGGGACCTTTATATTAGAACTTTCACACACTAAATACTTTCTAGTCATTTATACGAGTATTTAGAAAGTCCAACGAAAAAAAAAATAGAAATATAGTTGCACAAACTTAAAATTAACTTCTCACTGAACACACTTGCATCCTTGGCTATATAAAAGCAGTCGATAAAAGAGTAATTAATACAATTTTTAAAATAATAAACCTAAGAAACAAGCGTCTTTACACAATGGAAATAAGATTATGACAAGATTATGACCATACATAAAAGAAAATAATCTACTATTAAGATAGATATGAAACTTAATAGTAAAATTATTTTGGGTTAAAGCGCCCCTCCGTGTTTTTAGTAGAGACTAGTTTAACCCAACGCCTTCGCCTTTTCTACTATAAATGTTTTTTATGTTTATATTTGAATTTGAATAAGGATTTATTTTTAAAGTTACACTGATATATTAGTATATTAGAGTAAGTTTAATAAAACATAAGAGTATATATATTTTACAGTTTATTTTTTATTTATTTTACAGAGTTTCATGTAAATGATCGTAAGTCGACTGGCTGTCTAATGAATAGACCGAGATTTATAGATTTTAAAGCGAACGAAAAAAAAATTAAACAACGAATACATACCATATATTTTTCTTTTATCTAAGATACATACCTTATCGTCTTTTGGAAACACGTGCATTTTTGCAGTTTTGTTAGTTTCTTTGCGAGATGCAACACAACAAGAAAACACCATTTTTACAGTTAATAAATAATAAAACTTTTTCTGACTATGATATTTAAAATTTAGATAGATAGAAAATTAAAACAAACCAGTATTTGCAGACGCAGGCCCAAATTCAATAAAAATCAAAATTTTTCCTGCGAAAATCAGGCTTTTTTCACTGAAAAGGTATTATTTGATTTTTCAGCAATCATTGTCAAGTTGACAATATACAGGGTGTTTTCGAATTAGTCTAAAAAAAATTGTGGTATGATTCCTCATGTGTTCTTAAAACAATTTTTATATAACCGTTGCATTGGGTCTAAAGTACTTCCTTTCTGATCTACAGGGTGTTAAAAATTTTAAAAATTGATTTTTTTGCTTAACATAAATGGTACACCATTGCTTTTTTAAAGAAAATATATTTTTTTCTTGACTGGCCATCCTTTTTCAACAAAATTGATCTTTTGAGTTTTTCTTGTTCATCAAACGGTTGTCGAGAAAAAAATAAATATACTTATTAAGAGTCCGCCTTAAGCATGATTTTCATGCATCCATTGTCCGACGATACGATATTGATTTTATTGGTTGAATTTAAAAGTTTCGATTGGTTTACTGTTTCTAACCAATCGAAGTCTTTACAGTCAACCAATAAAACTAATATCGTATCATCGTATCGTCGGATAACGGATGCATGAAAATCAAGCTTTAATCCGTTTTCTAACGATATTTTATTTTTTAGATTAGTTAGGAAACACCCTGTATATGCATATCACAGGCAACCAAATAAACTAGTAACCTCTAAAAATTATTTTTCCTACCACTAGCGACATACCGTGTTTTTAGTATGTATACTAAATTATTTTATCAAAATTTAACCATATAAGTGTCTAGGCAAATTATGATAATATGATGACAATGAAAAGTTGGTTTTCATAACAATGTATAATTTGTACTTTCTAAACCGTATAAAATTGTGATTATTTTGGAAATACGTGCAACTTTTAATGCGCATGCGCAAAGTAAGGTTCTCGAGAAAGACGAACCTATTGAACGTTTCATAAGTGCAATAAAGAATGTTTGAAAATGGCATGTCGTGATGTTGGAGACATATTTTTTAATGCTAAACTTATGGCGTTGATTTATCCACGTAAGTACATAATATATGATCTAGGGATCTAGGTATTTAACAAATAATGATGACGTAACGTTGAACGATCGCTGAACGATTTTATATTTGATGAGGGTGCCATGAGATCGCAACAGTGCAAGAAAATATTCGTATATACCTTTAAAAATCATAAATCTCAGCTCTTTCTAAATATACAGACACTTCTAAAAGAAATAAAACTGAATAGAGTTAATTATTGCGAAATGACACGTCACCTCGAGGATAATTTTTCCGTCTAGACACATGCTGGGGGAATAACTAGGAAATTGAGTTTAATCGGAACAAATCGAACTATTTGTTGATAAATAGGGGTTTAATTAAGAGTTTCTGGCACAACAATGTAAAAACAACAACAGGGAAGTATAGTCGGTAATAATAAAGTGGGTTAATTAGAACACTTAATATATTATTTACTTTCGTGTAAAAATAGACTCAATTTTATGATATACCATGCTGGCAACTGTTACTTTTGGGTCGGTACTTACATGTGTGGGAAGTAAAACGCATAGGGATCTAATTAAGTCGGAGTGAGAGAAATGCGACGGTGTTCCGTTGCGGCGTTGCCGGTACACCTTTCAGTAAGTAAAATCACGATCGCAAACCGCTTATTTTTAAAAATACTTTTTTAGAAACAATAACTGCATAAAATCATAGATTATTTCGTAATCTGAAATGGAATTATAAGCATATACTTAGACTCAACTTTTTAACACATAACACGCCATAACTTAAGAACCACTTTAGATATTGGAACTTTTTTATTTTGAAGATCGGAAATCTTTTACAATATGTTTAAATAAAAAAAATTCTAAACAAAAATTCAAAAAAAAAATTTTAAACAACCCATCCACTAACTCGCATAGCAATTAATTGCATAGCATTAGTGCATGTAGCAATTTTCAGCAATCGTGTACCTTTTTTATTTATAAAGAATTTCACATACTGTCTGCGAAGAAAATATAGCAGGAATATTAAGAAAGTTTTTGAAAAAACTACAATCAATTATTTATAATAGATTTTGAGATATCGATTCATTTCGAATTCAGAGTTCTAATAGCGCAACCACAGTCAAACACCAACTCAATCCCACTTATTTTTACCAAAAATGCAAGTGTTTCTAACTTGCACGTTAAAATTTTCAAGCTAGGAGAAAAATTACAACGACTCGTTAATAAATAAACAAATAAAGTATGACGAGACGTAATTAAATCGTGAAGCTTAACGCATGATGTACATCTTTCCCTAGAGCTTTAAGTACTGACAGAGGTACTGATTGAATCGACCGGTGGACTGCGACAAATCTGCTATATCCCCTTCCACGTCTCGTAGCAATGTGCGCAGTTTCTCGGTTTATTTCGTACGTTTGGCAACGTGTTTACTGTTCTCTCTTTGTTCCGTACATTATAAACGCATTGTACTCTTCTTACATAAGGAAATCTTGACCCAAGACTAACCTTTGCCAGCCCTTAGTATGATATATTATACTAATTTTAAGATAGTTCTGACGTTTATCAAATTTAAGCTTTATAAAATTTTCCTCGAACCACACTCTTCAACAACGCATAGCTAGAGTGAATATTAATTTAGTTTTAGCGGGGAATGGCAGGATGCAGTGCTGTGGTTTAGAGCAACAACAACTCCCTCCTACACGGGATTTCTCAACGTTCAGGATTGATTTAAATCTTGACGTATGACGTGTTCGACATGGAAAAGTTGACTTGGGATATTTCAAACAGAAATAAAGTGAAAAATATTCGTCAAAAATGAGACTTCAAGTTTTTCCATGGATGGATTGCAACTGACAAGTCGATCAACTTCTGAATAATAATATCGTAAATTTACTGGATATATTACAGAATATTTGAAAAGTTCTTGGTGGCATAGTGAAAGGTTATTTTTGATTTTAAATCATTTTAACTTTCGGTTAAGACTTTAAGTTGAGCACTTGTACAGGGTGGGTCAAATTCGACGCTTTTAAATGGAAACACCTTTTCTATAAGAGATAGACAAAAACTAATATCGGTGTCTGGAGCTCAATTTTTGTCAAAAACATGATGGTGAAAACCGCATATCGATATCTGTTACCGTTTCGGAGTTCCGGGGTGTTTTTCAAAAATATGTATTTTTAATAAATCGCTGTAACTTTTTTGCTACGGAAAATTTTGTTTTTTATGAAAATATTTCCAAAGTACCTTTTTACGTAGAATTTAATGGTTTAAGTATATTTTTTTTAAAATTAATAATTTAAGAATTATCAACAGAAAATTTGATTTTTTTATATGGGACACCCTGTATATTTTTAATTTATCGAAAAGAATTTAAAATTACCTTTCCAAAAATATCACACACTTGATATTTTGCTCGATTCCTCTTCGAGATATAGAGTATATAAAAATTCGCCCGCTTTAAATAAGTAGGCTTTGAACGGCACGGGCTGTAATGCAAAAAAATTCTAGCTGTGAGCATCAATTAAAACGAAAATAATATTTGCTATGAGAGATGCAGAATTTTATAACAATTTAAAATACATTTAACCAACATCAACACATTTAAACTATATCTAATAACAAAAAAAAATAAATAGCAAACCAAGACATGAGATTTTGCTACAGGTGTTCGACATATCGACCGTCTTATGTTATGGACAGACGGGGCAGTTTTTGAACATTTCTCTCCTGAAGACCCTCTCATAATTGCTAAGTATTTCTAATTCTTGTCTAGATTATACGGAAGAATAAGGAACCTTTATTTTTCCGCAAATATATCCATAGGATTAGATCCATGGGCACTAAGTCAGGCGGCCTCGACGGCCAACGGCTGGAATCTTGGTTAGCTATTCAATTATTCTTAAAATTGGCTGCAAAAATTTGCTGATAGCTTCAGCGTTCAGAGGCGGTGCGTCGTCTTGCTGAAAAAAAAATATTTTCGAGTTCCATTAAGGGCATATCATCAATATCAAGTGCCAAAGTCAATCATAAGAGACATTTGTATATGTATTATTTTTTTGATATATTATCTCATAAAATAAAGTGGTGGGGAAAGGTTAAACTTGCTTTTATTAAAATAAGGATAACTCTGGTTTAGGTTAGCCGATTTAAACAAACTAGGACCTGTTTAAAAGAGTTTTTCTTCCTAAATGTCCAGTATAAATTTTGTTTCCATAGATTTTTCGTGGTAGCTAGAGGGCGCTGGTTTGACATCATAACAGATATTGCGCTTTTGCATAAAAAAAATAAATAGCAGGTTATGTTTCTTTTTGCACAGTTAAATAGAGCACAAAATTAGCAAAATATCGGCGCAAACCGCAACATTCTATATTCTCTATAACCGGAGATATTAAGAGAACAAATCATGTTAGGCTGCCGCTTTGGATTATATGGTTTAAAAATTATAGTAGTAAGCTAGGAAACAAAAAGAGGTAAATTGGTTACGTCAAAATATCAAAACGTTTAAGTTTAGTTTTCTTGCATTCGAATTTCGGGCGTTTTCTTAAAAAAAATACGTCAAAAATGTTTAGAATAAATATTAATTGGCCACCCGGTACTTAATACTTTTCTTTTTGTATAAATTTGTCTCAGTTTTTTAACTTTATTTTCTATTACTTTATTATCTATTCTTAGGTTATTCTTTATATTCTTTTAGGTTGTTCCTTAACTTTTCTATTTTCCATTATGCGTGACTGTATTCTTTTGTATTTGATTGTTAGCTGTTATCTTAGTTTATCAATTGTTACTGTGTTTATTATACAGGGTGGAGTCTCTCATACGACACGTAGGCTCCAAGGAGAACGGTAGTTTATATCGAAATGAAGTTTTGGGAGTATACAGGGTGACAATTTGAAAACGAACAGTATTTAATATTACCTCTACCGATGATAGTTGAAAATTTGGCGAAATACGCCAATTTACATATCAAGAGGGACAATTTTTGAGGCATTTGTTGTCGTGTTACTTTCAACCCTTTGACCCCCAGGGTACCTACCTCTAAAATGTTAAATAGCAACCCTTATTTCCTTTACCATTTTTGTGTCCCTTATAAAATTCTCAAAAAATAATGCAGTTTATGTAGAATTCTAGAAGAAACACAAAAATGGTAAAACAAATAGGGGTTGCTGTTTAAAATTTTAGGGGTAGGTGTCCTGAGGGTGCCTCAAAAATTGTCCCCCTTGATATGTAAATTGACGTGTTTCACCAAATTTTTATAGTATCATCGGTAGAGGCAACATTAAATACTGTTCGTTTTCAAATTGTCACCCTGTATGTAGGTTAATTGAAAGCATTTTATAAAAATATATAGAGTTCTACAGGGTGTCCCCAAAAAAAGTTACACATCAAAGTTATGTTTTTTGTAATGGAACACCCTATATATTAATTGATTTTCGGATACTAGGAGAAAAATAAAGGTGAGTTTTATTAGAGAAATATATGACTAAAATGAAAGATTTTTGACATATTTAACATTTTCTAAAAGTAAAGAACAGCTTTTAAATTTCAATAAATGCAACCTAAATTGGAATTTACCGGGTATAGCCATTAATTCGACACTCCAATCATAATTAAGTATTATTTGTAATTTTCGAAATAAACCAATAAAATTGCATAAAATCAACGATGAACAAAGCATGACGGAGGCATGTAAACTCACACCTAATCTCGAGTGCGAAAATATTTTATTATAAATTAATTATCTATTAATAATAACACAATAGATCTGTAAGGTCGCGGTGACTAACTCCCCTCCTAAACACATTCTATCTATTAATAATAATTAATTCTAATTATAACAATTTATTATCATCAATCGATAAAACAGTTAAATAGTATTAATAATATATATTAAAATAATCTCTGTTATCTGTTCTGTCGATATTTTTGCATAATTTTCGCGCAATATGTATAAAAAACGAATGTCGTTATGGCTAATAAACATTTAACCATGCGTTAACAGTTTCTTTTTTAACCATCCATCCGTCAAAATAAGCCGTTGCAGATGACCCACCGCCTGTGACGATCACTACTACTACTACTGCCATTACTTGCTGACGAGTATTTGACACGCATCAGAAGATGGTCACGCAAGGAGTTTTCTTTCATGAGCTTTTCTGTGACTGAAAAGCCAAATATATATGGTGTTATCTCTCTTCCGCACTCCGGACATTCAAAAATCTCATTACTTTGTTGCCTTTTTACTTTTTGGTTGTCGTTGTTAACTGAGTTTACAATTCTTCTTCATTGCGTTCTATTGTGTGTTGCTTCTTCCCACTGATTCTGCAAGCTTATCCCTTTTTTCGTTGAAAATGTTCTTGTACCTTTTGAGTTGTCCACCCTGTTTTCTCTTACCGTCTACAAGCTCACCGTAAAGAAGAGATTTTGGTAGGCGGTTTTCTTGCATCCTGCATACGTGACCAGCTCATTTTCAGCGGGATTTAATAATCATGACTTCAACGCTCTTAGAGCTAGCTTCTTCAAGGACCGATACGTTTGAGACATGATGGAACCATTTGATTTTTTTGAGTTGTCTAAGGTGTCTCTGGTGCAACTTGTTTAGTGCGTTCATGTGTCAGCGGATGATGATCAACACACTGAAGGAAGTTATAGAAACAACTTCAAGGCCAAGCAGCAAGAGACGTGGCAACACCGTGAGGACTGCGCTACAGCTCAAAGACTGTGGCCAATGGTAGATAACAAAAAGACAAAACAACTACTAGAAGACAAAAAGAACCTAATACGCATAATAGTAAGTATCGTCACTGGAAACTGTTCCACCGGGGTAAACCTCGTGAGATGGAAGATTTCCAACGACGACTACTGCAGAGAATGCGCAGAAAAGGAAACCATGGGGCACCTGCTGTACGGCACTGGAAATCCGGCAATACAAAACTTTAGAGCAAGGTTTTTTGGAGGGACTAGAGGAATCAGCAGAAGCGAACATCAGCGACATCTTTGCAAAGAGATGGAAGTACTTTAACGCAAATAAAGAGTGAGAGAAAGGTCTGCTATACAATAATACAGGGGTATCGCAATGGACTGAAGGCTTCCGAGTGTTTTGATACTACAATTACAAATTTCTTACCCTGGAATTCCACCACTCTCCATGTAATTGGCTAGAGTAACGTCGTTGGACCAGACGTCGAATTGCCATTTTCTCAGACCCAAAACGCCACAGTGGACACTCCCTGTGTAGATACCGACTTCAAATAGTACCTCAACCCCCCGCAACATAACCTAACTTAAAAGTATCCTTAAAAACAAATCATCAAAAAAGAGAGGAAAACAAAATAAGCCACAATTATGATTGTAGAAAAAGCCAATTATGATTGAAGATTCTGATAATATGATATATATAATTTACTTATCCTATTCTTAAATTGACGACCAGAATTCTTGTAAAAATGTTTTATTTGTTATTCTTTAAAAACCTTTTATATCTTTTTTAGGTCCTATTAACTATGTCTTGTCCCTACACATATTTAAAGTGCTCGGTAGAATAAGTTATGGCATGTACCTGTTGCATATGGGTGTCCAATACATGATGAGTGGAGCAGCTAAGATGCCTGGATATTTTTCTGACTTTGCATCAGTAAGTCCTCTTTATATCAGCAAAATTATGAAAACTGATAAACTAAATTCATTGAAAGCATGTTTAGTTATAAGTTTTAACTTAAAACAATATTTAAAAAATTATCAGTAATATGGTAATCGCAAAACATTTTCCGATACACGTGATCAACTTTGAGTGACAAGCGATGGCGACAGCGCTGCCAGATTGTGATGGATTTATGAGATGAATCTTAATTTAAAAGTGACAAACAATATATTTATTATATAATTTTTTAAAGATTTTTGCGTTTTATTTTTAATTTATTAACTAATATTTTAGTAATTAATTGATTTATATGTTTTATAGTTTATTTTACTTATTACATATTGGCAAAAACTAGTCCATTATGAAGATTTTTCTAAGCGTTATTATGGGTTATTTATTTATTTATTGATGTACATCTTACAACGCCATATATATATAACAAGTAAGAGGCTGCTATTAATGCACAATCTAATAATCGCAGAATTTAATAAAAACTAACGTAGAAATAACTTTGAAAGTGGTGTAATGTGCTTATCAATCAAACTTACTTCTCTGACTGCAGTCAAGAGTAATAAAAGACCTTTATTGTCACGTTCTCGTTCAAAATAGTTTATCAGGGAAGCTACAAGCTCTTCGTTTCGACTGTTCAAATGCCTCGGCATATTTTCAACACTCAATTTCAATATTGTGAAATTGAAACTGTAATTGTCAATTCCAAATGCAATACAAAAACTCGAAAATTTAGTTTTTAAATTTTTTTTAAAAAATACTACGAAAATAGACAAAAAAAAGGAGAATTACTCACAAAGATTCAAGAACAACACGATATTATACAAAATAATGACTGACATTAAGATAATTGTCAAATAATAAACAACAACGTTGCTGAAAACGGCGCAATGTGACCAACATAGCGATAATAAAATTCGGTTTAAACTAATTTTTTCAGCTTTAATCTAAATAAAATACACGTTACAATAATTTGCTCTATAAAGTTAAATGGAGATCTGCTCGGTATCTTAAATTATTCAACAAATTTAAACATTTTTGCCAAAAAATTTCATTTAGTCAGGTTTATAGACTTTAGTGTCAATGTCGATATGATTGTTGATGTGCATCGGAAAACGTTTTGCGATTACATACAATATGTATTTCAGATTTATGCTGGATTTTCTGATTTATTTCTTATGGTCATAATGGGATATATTTTCACTATCTTATTTGAAGCCCCCCTTATTCAAGCCTTGAATATTCTAATTAAAAGCGTAAGTATTACTTTAAAAAAATTCAAATTACTTGTATATCAAATACCGTATGATCGAATAAAAACGGCGTCAACGATGGCTATGAAATGAAGATCGCTGTCATTTTATATGTAAAATCATATGGGAAATGTCATCGATCGTCATTTCCAAGCCAACTGGACGCCATTTTTTTTCGATCATACGGTATACTAGACCATCGTAATTCACTTTTTTTTTAAATTTTTTCACTAGACATTTTCTTGAATAATTTTCAGTAGATGTGTGAGAGAAAATTATAAGTTATTTTTAAATCTGTAGGCTGAAAATAAATCTGAAGTACATCCACAAGTAACACAAGTAGTCAAGAAATTCTAATATGATTTTTCTTCAAATTTGTCACTATAAAAATTAAATAAAACGCAAATCATATAAAACTTTTTTTTTTATTGTTATACAAGAACTTTCTCTCAGTAACATTTTAAAAACATGACAATTCTACAGGTATTTTGATTATCTTTGGCATTGTTTATTACGTAGTTTATTACTATGAAGGCGTTTTCAGTTATTGATTAACATTAATAACAACAATTAAGTTTTATAAAATTGTTAGAGAAGTTTGAAAAAATTAAACTTTACTATAGGTTACATGAAAATAAAGAATAAATTTTATTAGACCTATTAAAACTAAGGAAAATCGAAAATACTGTTTGTATAATCCTGACAGAGTTCACACAAGTTGCTCTTTTTCATATATCACCCTTAAAATATTTTCTATCACAACAGAAACATGAGTTTTGTTCGTTTTCCTATTGAACTTTATCATTCTTTGAGCACATTTTTGTTAAAATAAAAACCAAAAGAAAAATTTAAATGAACCTAACTATATTTAACAAATTAGTAAAATAAAATGTTAAGCATGTCTTAATATTTGCTGACAATTTATCTCTATTCAAACGTGCTTCGTTATTCCGTTAGAAGGCATCAAATTAAAAAAAAATTAAGACACTTTAAGATCCGATATTTTGATTTAAATGATATTTGGAAAATATCTCAAGTTCAATCGCAGTTTTGCTCATCTCTAATTACAACTAGAGCTTTTTGTTTTTAAAACCTAATTTGTTTTAGGGTGGTATTCCAAAAAGAATAACCTGCAGATCAAACATTATTAATAAAAAAAAACTTATTTTATTCTACATTGCGGATTGGGAGGATATCTTGCTGTCATATTCTTCAACAGCAAATTATATTGTCTCTGATTCATGTCCTTGAACCGCTGTCTGGAACTATCGTGTTTCACCTTGACTTTCTTCATTCCGGGCCAGTGGACCAGAAAAGCACCATCGAGGACCACGAGTTTGTAGTTCATCAAACACATTTCTAACATCTATAACGTTGGAAATAAAAGAATATATAAAATTAAAAATAATTTTAGATTATACGATATAAAAGAATAGTTTATAGGACTTGAGTAGGTAGAACCACTATTATTTGTGGTAAAACTACATAAAATTATTGAAAAAGTTTTAATGGACTCCAACATTGACACTAAGATTCGTCCTAAGGTAGTTACAGGACTTGAAACGGTAGGTATAAGATATTTTATCATTTTTAAGAATAATAGCAATCGAAAATAAGGATAAAATCAAATAAGTTGAAATTATAAAATACATTTGACTAATAATATACCGTATGGGTACGAACATAGTGGAGGCAGGTTTCTGCTTTCCGGCAACCAGCGCCGCCTCTGGGGACCTATTCTTGACCACATATCGCTCACATCTCGCATCTTCGAAAAAGCCATATAACAATACACTTGATGCGTAACTTTGCGTATATGCCGTGTATTGTTATATGGCGGAGATGCGAGCAGGGTTCGGAAGTAGTTAATTAAGAGGAAATTTACCTGATTAACTAACCTAACCATATCCAAACGCCGCTCCCGCCGCGCCGTCGCCGCACATAGAGGTATTTGGTCTATAAACCTGGCCAAAAGTGAAATATTTTTATTTTCATTTTTTATCTTAACTGAATACAAATCTATAAATACTAAATGTAAGCGCGTTTATTAGTTTTTTTAAGTTGTTAGTTGACTATCAAATAAATAATATATTTCAATTATAAGTATGAATTATCTTGAGTGTATTCTGAATATTTCTAAGATTATAAAATAGTGGAATTGTTTGTAGTGCTTTTTTGCAAATTGTTTATAATAACTGTCATCATGGGTACAGAGCCAGCTGGCAAGTCCTGTTTTATGCCATATTTTTATTTTGAAACGTTTCCTTCTATTCTATTTCTTTATAATGTTTTATATTTAAAAAATCAGAGGCATTTTTATAAGGTGTAAGACTATTCGGCAATATTCCGCATGGAAATTAGTATCCGTTCAATGCTTAAAGTCTCCAGCTTTGAAATATGTACAAAAATCTTGCCAATATTTGCCACTGCCAAAAAAAACATTGATTTAAGTAGATTCTTAAAGGTATTTACCCTATAACACCCATCCTCGCTCAAATATCGTCTATAATATACAAATTACTTTCTTGTTCTAGCCATGTTCTAGCATCCTCATCCAATTGCTTGGTTTTGCACAGAATGGCCCTATTTGATCGGTGGAAAGGGTTTCAGAGTAGAGGAAAAAATATTGTGTAGGAAAAACAAAATGGGGTTTCATATTAGCAACCTCTCCTCTAATTAATAATTAATATTACTAGCAAAAAAATCATAAAACATAATTTTGGCCAACTTCTAGTTCTTAATACCCTCTGTGCACCGTCGGCGCGTGCAAAAGCAGAAATAAATAAATTTTCGTTCCGGTAAAAGCGAGAACGCCGATGAACGCTGGTTGACGGTGCCTGCCTGCTTCCACTGTGAACTAGCCGATTTGATAACACGCTTTAATTTTTCAAGGTTATAAGCGAGGCGTTATTTTCGAGGCGATGTACCCATATACAGGGTGTCCCAGAAATAAGTGCAAGTGTTTTAACTTAACTGGTAGTATAGTTCAACCCCAGAAACACGCCAATGAGTTTTTTCTAAATATTTTTTTTTGAAAATTCGGAATTTTTTGAAATTTTTTTTGGATTTTTTTTTAGTTTTTATTTAAAGATTAAAGTTACAAGAAAGAAAATCCAGAAAAAATCCAGTGGTTCTCAAAATTTTAGCAAAAAATCATTTTTTTTGGAAATTTTCAAAGTAAAATAACTCCGTTATTTTGGACTTATTTGAAAAACGATAATGAGAAAATATGTTTCTTTTATCGAGATTAGAGGTGTGTTGTTCGTGAACGAACTAGTTCCAATGAACTATTCCGACCCCGGAATGAAAGGAACTAGTTCCTGGTTTCTCAAAGAACTGGTTCCTCAGAACCTGTTCCGGATCAGCTCGCGCGGGTAGCCCGATGGTAGGCAGGAGTGGGGAGTGCCAGCCGTACGTTATCGGATCCGGACCAATAGCAACTAAACTAAATCAAAGACTAATTTACGTACGTACGGATCGGGCCAGCGCGATCGATGCTAGGCAGGAGTGGGGAGTGCCAGCCGTATGCCGTATGTTATCGGATCCGGACCTAAAGGAACTAGAGGAACTAAATAAAAGACTAGTTTACGTATGGATCAGCCAGCGCGATTGATGCTAGGCAGGCGTGGGGAGTGCCAGCCGTATGTTATCGGATCCGGACTAGAGGAACTATTAAAAGACTAGTTCACGGGAATCTATTCAGTCGGCAGATCCGCGATATAATACAAGGCGACGACGATGGATTCGGCCTTGTCTATTGCCACAGCCGGCGCGGCGTAATTACCACATTTTTTTAAATATTTTATGGGAATGTTTCACTTTAGGTCCCTAAAATTAAGAAATATCTTATAAAATGAAGTAGATATTCTGAATTTTTAGACGAAAATAAAAAGCTTGAAGTGGGGAAAAATACATTTTTTCGTACATTTTTCGTATTATTTCCTCCAATTGATTTGTGATATAGTTTTTAAACTCTTATTTGAGTTTCTTTAATTTTTTTATCTGCTATAAAACTTACCTATATGTTTTTAACATATGCAATTACACGTCTTCTTATATTTCGTACATTATAAAAATTATAATGATCTGTATAATTTTGAATAGTAAACTGGGGGGTGAATAGTTCTGACTGAAAACGAAATCCATTAGCAAGCAACGGGGATGTCAATGTTAGTCGGGAACTATTGCGAACTAAGGACCTAGTTCAAGGAACTATTTTTCTGGAGGAACTAGAACTAAGGAACTAGTTCCTCCCAAGGAACTAGAATTCCCACCTCTAATCGAGATCTACCACCCCCTAAAATACTTGCACTTATTTCTGGGATACCCTGTTTATAACAATACACGTGATGCGTATAAGCAAAGTTGCGAACGATGTCAAGAATAGGTGCCCAGATTGACGCTGACTACCAGTAAGCGGCAAACCTGCTTGCACTGTGTTCGCACACTATGATCGAAAAAGCGAGATCAAAGACGGCTAGGGAATGACCATCGAATCAATTTCTAGATATCATATACTAAAAATAGTCATTTTTTATACAAGACGATAAAATGGTATTTTATGGTCCACCGAAAATATTGATGAAATCGCGAGTGAATTAATTTCGGGGGACGATAATGCAATTTTATCGTCGTGTATAAAACAATACCTTTTCCATAGCGAGTTACGTTATAAAAAATATTCAGAAATTATTATTTCAAGGAATTTATTACGAGTAGAAAAAATATTGTGCTGGGTTGGCGTTGGTTTCTATGTAATTTGACAAATAAATAAAGCTGTCTCTTTAGTTCTCAGTTTTGAGTCAATATTTTTTAATTCTCTTTCGTGTCGATTGCTGTTTGAATTGGAGCCAGAAATGGCACAAAACGAAATAAGTAAATTACCAACAGATATTCAGGCTGAGGCGACAAACGCCATATCCAAACTACTTCCATTTAAATCCCGAATAATTTATGAAAAGGAATACAAAAATTTTCAAAAATGGAAGCAATTAAAAAACGTGCGAGAAGAAATAAAGATTTTAACCTATCCTCGCCGTTAAAGTATCATTTAATGTACCCTTGCGGTTAAAGTACTATTTTATCTACTATTTTTGATAGATATAAGGCAATTTTAACAGTTGCTATTGAAAAAATAACATAAAACTTATCGTAAATTAACATTTATTATAAAAAGATAGTTAAAAAATGATTTTAAACATTTGAACATTGATGAACATTTCCAGAAACACAAATCTATTACCAAAAAAAAAATGTTTTCCGCAATTTTAAATTACACAATTTAAAAATCATTTTTAGTTAATTAAAAAATAAAGAAGAGTACGGGCCAGATAAATAACATATAGGGCTTGATCTCCCTAAAATTATCATCGATTGTCATTAATTAGCCGTTTTTGACGCCGTTTTTTTCGATCGTACGGTACTATAATGCCAACTTCTCTCTAATAAAGTGAGCTATGGTCTGTCAATCAAAGGAATTGGACGAGTTAGATCTACAAATCTAATTTACATCTAATAATCTACATGTACCAATTGACAGAAATAATTGATAACAATAATTTATTTTTGAATGATGACAGACAAGACTTGTTTCTCGCATATAGTTTTTTGTTGGACAAACATATATAAATAAGTATTTTTTATTTTTTTATACCTGTAACATTTTATCTTGAAATCCTTCCCAAGAAAGTTTTTCGTGATACAACGGTTCGTTTTTTGTACCAATATATATGGGTTCCCAACGATGATATGGAGCTTCCCTTTTTGTAACTAACAAAGGCTGAAATATTGTTATTAAATTAATGCAAACCTTTTAAAATTATGAATTTTTATTTTTTTTGAATCTATTTTCACTTATTCAATGAAAACGAAATGTCTAGACTTTAGTATTATACAGTGTTTATCGAAGAGTTGTTTTCTACCTTATCTTTAAAACACTCCGTGCAATAAATTAGTGAACAAATTTTTCTAAAACGTTATTTTTCGATAAGAACCATGTCTCCTGAATATTTTGTTTTTTGATTCATGTCAACACATGCCTTGGTTAATTTTTAAGATCAAAATGAACTTGCCACAAACATTTGGAATTTCTTCAGTTATCGTTACTTTTTGATGTTATTCTTATAATAACAAGTTGGCTTTGGTGACTATTATTGTGTACGATTGAATATGGTTCTTAGTATCGAAGATTGTGCAAAAGTCATTGATCTTGTTGAAGATGGCCGAAATTATGAATATTCGCTTGGTCCTTGAAGAAGAAAGGGAAAACATGACACAATAAATTTGCAGCCTCGTTAAGAGTATGAACAGATGTCTACAGACAGTTATAGCAGCCGGAGGACGCAATACAAAGTAATAGAGTCTTTTTATAAGTTTTTTGTTTGTTTTTATCTTTAATTATTACAATTTTTTTTAATATCCTTAGTTAATGTTACTAATATTTATTAAAACCAAGCTTGTATCTTCACTTTTTAACCTTTTTTAAATTTTAATATACAGTTCTAATCAGTGTCGATATGACACTATGACAATAGTCATCCAAAGCCCACCTCGTGATATAAAAAAATAACCTCATAAAGTAACGGCGGTTGAAAAAATTGCAAATTGTTGGTGGCAAGTTTATTTCGCTCTTACAAATTAACCAAGACATATTCAATGAGTCAAGAAAAAAGAAAATGCTCAGGAGACATAGTCCTGATCAAAAAATAATGTTTTAGGAAAAGTTGCTCAAGGAATTATTGTACAGTGTGTTTTAAAGTTAAGGCAAAACAAAAACAACCGTTCAATTAGCCCTGTGTAATAAGCCAAATATTAAAGTTTATAAAAAAACTGAGTTTATGAATTAAAGTTGATATAGTATACAGTTTGCGTAACTTCATGAAAATAGGCCTAAAAATAAAAAATATAACACTTTAACGAAAACAAATCCGTTGCGTTTTTTTTTTTGCATCTGAGGTATAAAAGGAATTAACCATTTTAGAACAAGATTTTTTTTTTATAAAGAATGTATTTTTCTGAAAAAAATTATTAATAAAAAAGTTTTTCCTCTTCTAAAGACAATCCGGGATATACCGGGTGAGTCTCAAAAGTGGCTCACCCCTATAACTTTTTTATTTTTTCAGATAAAAAATTGAGATTTGGTATGTTAATATATGACATAAATTAGGATTGATTAACGTATTCAGTTGTTTTCTGTCACTTCCTGTTTCGCCGAAAATGACTACAACTTTTCATTTTTAAATGGTACGCTCGGTTTTTTGTTGTTTTATTCGATAGAAACGGATACTCTTAATAGAATGACATATCATATGTCAACTTTGACATTTTCGAATATGGTTTATTAGAAATTGCATCATGCGATTCATAACGACAATTTGACTCGAAATAACAAGTGTGTGGTACCAAATTATTCGTAAAAAAATGTTTTTTCCAACTATGCTAATGAGCTACACTCGTTCTATTTAAAAAAATTGAGATATGATTAAAAATACGCGATTTGGGCATCTTTTAACCAGTCAGGACAAGACACGAATAAAAATTAGTGTTTCTAACACAGCCATGGCACTCTAGACTGAAATTTTAAATTCAATTTTGTTTTAAGCAAAAATGTCAAAAGTTGACATATGATATGTCATTTTATTCAGAATTTCATTTTCTATCGAATGAAGTAAAAAGAAATACCGAGAGTACCATTTAAAAATCAAAAGTTTTATTCATTTCCGGCTACACCGGAAGTGACAGAAAACAATTGAATAGTCAATCAATCCTAATTTATGTCATACGATACTAACATACCAAATCTGGTTTTTTTATCTGAAAATATTAAAAAGTTATAGAGGTGAGCCACTTTTCAGACGCACCCGGTAGTTATATATTAGTTTACAAACCCTGATAACATCTCCAGAATCACTGTCCATCCAACGTTCCAGCCCTGGAAACTTCTGGCAATGCGTACAAATCTTCCTATGGAAATATACAGCTTTCTCTTGATTTAGTAAGGAAATCAATTGATTTTTAGTACGAGGCACTGTTTCTGATGCTTCCACTTCGAAAACTGGCACTACATATACTTGTTTTTCACATTCAGTAGATGTGCATTTTTCAACATCAAGCATTTGCATAAAACGACTTGCTAAATCTAAAATATACAAAAAAAAACTACCTATATTTTATAGCATTTAAATTCGCTTTGCTTTTTGATTATTTCTAGCAGCTATTTTCCTCAAAATGTCAATAATAAAAAAGTTTTTCCTCTTGTAAAGACAATCCCGGGAGCATTTTTCCGTTTCCTATACGGCTAGCGCAACCGATTGCGTTAATCGCATAGGAACGAAACGGACTCGAGACCTGTTTGTAACTCCGTTTACTAAGTGGTCATCGCAACCCATGCGAAGAAGCGCTTGCAATGAACTTTCTAGGTATGCTCTATTTGTAGTCACTTAGGACGCACAAAATGGGACACTCAATATTACTTGTAACCACTACATTATATAACAAAACTCTAAGAATTAAGATTTAAACAATTTAATTTGACAATTAATCAAATAAATAAAATTACAAAAATATTATTCCAAAAATGAAAATCATAATAATTCCATTCATTGATTTATATAGGGTGAATTGCGATAGTTGTAAAGCCATGTATATAGGTCAAACAGGTAGAAATTTAGATATAAGGATTAAAGAACATATAAGATATATTAATAATCTCCAGCAAATTTCCGGTCTAGTAACTCATGATATTATATAGTCACACAGTTAATGAAAACTCAATTAAGTTATTAGATAGAGAAACAAAAGGTAGACGCTTAAATCACCTAGAATAGTTAGAAATATTAAAATCATCAGCTAAAAACGACAATAATCGTTTACACCAACAAGGACTTCTAAATACATTTTTTATTACCTCTATTGTAAACTCCTTAAATCCACCACCATAGCAAATATATTATATATTCTTAAAATGTAGTCAGACGGTTAGTTTTTAAAGAACTCTTAATAATGGTTAAATATAATTATAAAATATAGATATTAATTTAAATTTATTAAATTTAACACCTTGTAGCGTTTTTTAAACCACTACCACTGCGAACGGCAGCTTTTCATCGGAGAGCAGTCGTGGATAAGGTATTTCACTAGAGAGAAAATTAATCAGTAATAATTAACAAAAGATATATAGATATTGGGCGCCAGGCATGTACAGAGAAAGAAAACACAGTTGTGTAATACTTAAAACTAATGACTATATTTATTCATGACGTTCTTTGCTGATACATGACATTGTAGAGTTCTAGTAAATATATGGTGGTTATATGTCAAAGAAAGTGGTGGTAAGAGTCGTACTAAATATCAATGAAAACAACTACGATAAAATACAGGACATGTAAAGTTTAAGAGAAAATATGAAATGTAGCATTACTTTAATTAATTTAATATATTCCATATGATGCTAAATCGAAGATGTTACAACCTGTAGATTCTAGAATCTATGTTTGATTATCCATCTATTAAAATAGTGCAATAATATCTATAAAAGTAATACCATTACAAGACGTAATGCAATGAAACCTAAGATCTAAATTATATTTTAAAGATTATATCGACATGAATGTTCTTAACAATCTAACCACTGAACATAGTCTGTACGATATTACTTAAGATGTACGTTATTGTTTAAGACTGAAAATGTTTTAGAACTTAAATATACACTTAGCTGTTCTTTTATGTAACCTTGCTTCAAACAGTAGCAGCGTGAGGTGGTCTAGCATCTCTGTACTGTCTGTCGGCGATCCTGTTGGTAAAAACAACAAAAGGGGCCAGATTGAGGACACCATGAATCCTTACAGCCGTAGCTACTGACTAGGCTTAGAAATGGGAGTGAAGCAGCATGGGACTCAAGCTACATCCACGCTGTGGCACTTAGATGTAAGAAAAAATCGTTCTTACTGGGGACACTCGTCCACAGGACATCTGTACATAAGATAATGTCTGTACATAAGGCACTACCCGTACCTTGGAAATAGTCCGTACCTTGGACACAGTCCGTACCTTGGACACAGTCCGTACCTTGGACACAGTCCGTACCTAGGACCCTAAAAATATGAAACTCTTGTTTAAAACCAAAACAAGGTCTAATAAACAAAATAAACCTACCTCGAAATACTTCCGAGGGCTCAATAAATAATAAACAACATGTCCCTTCTTCCATGTGACATTCTGGAGGACAAAAAAAAGGGACGCCAACGTGCCAGCAAAATACAATTATTACAAGTTAGGTTGGGGCATCCGCAACTCTACCCTAAAAATACGCAGTAATAGTAACGAATCTAAAAGGATAATATCTCATCATTACCTGTAGCTTCGAAATAGCAGCTGATTCAGATTACACAGCAAGATTTAAATAATCACCATTTCTCAAAAACTGGGAGTAATGGCGTCTGACAGGCCTAAAGCCCCGTTCTCAGAATGACGTCGTGTCGCCAGCGACACTGATTGGCACTTCGAACAACCAATGGGAGCTGTACTAAATTTAAAATTGACAGCTGTTAGAATTTTGTACAAATCTCATTGGTCGTTTGAAGTGTCAATCAGTGTCGCTGTCGACAGGACGCAGTTCTGAGAACGGGGCTAAACAGTCTAACCAAAAGTGAAGTTAAATCACAGAGAGTTGACAGAAGCGACGTTGACAGCGCGCGCCTCCACAGAGCGATAACAGGGTTGTGTCAAACGAAAACAGGGTTGTGGACTAGAGAACGTAAAAATTCGTCAAATAAATCATCAGGCCCGAACGATACGGAATCGGGTGACATCATATATGATATGCCAGACATCATATATTATATATAAAAAAGACATGTAACGAACTAAAAACATTACAACCTATATGCAGGTCCACCTGTCATAATAATAATATTATGACTCATTATAATAATATAATTTGCATTGGTTGCGTTAACCACTTAGTAAACGGAGTTTCAGGTCTCGAGTCCGTTTCCTATGCGATTAACGCAACCGGTTGCGCTAGCCGTATAGGAAACGGAAAAATGCATCCGGGGACATACTGTACATTAGGAAAATTTAGGGAATTTCGGAACAACGATCTAAAAAATTTGAAAAATACCATCTGGCAACCCTGCAGAGATATATACCTACCGTGGCTAGGCATCAGTTCAACATCACAAACCATAACATAATCAGTAAAAGCTGCCTGTCTAGCTACATTTCGGCCTACATTTATAGGATACCAACTGTCATTATCTGAAACAGTTTTAAAATAATCTAAATAAAATTTTACCAAAAAAAGCTTTATATTTACCTGAGCTTTTTGTCTTAACACTATTATTATTGCTTAAAGTTTGACCAGAAACAAGTTTAACAAAACTCTGGATATCACAGTTCGCTGGAGGAACGTACAACTCAAAATTAAAGGAATTAATCACGTCTTCTATTTCTTTCTTGAAGACGAGATGCAGGGATACTTTCGACATCTCCGGTATACAGTAGCAAAACTGAAGGAATTGCTGAAGGATTGCTTGTGGGTTTCCATCGGGAATGTACGCTGCTATACTAATAGGGCCTTCCCAATATCTAAAATATTGTGGTTATTATACAGGGTGGCGCACCTCATTCGCCTCGGTTGATTATACGAAAACGGAAAGATGTAGAAACAAAATATTTTATGTAGGAAGTAGTATATGTAGGAAGGCAATATGCATAATTTAAAATTATTTTGAAATATACAGGGTATGTCAGAATTAAGATCCATACCAAAGTTATATTTTTTCTTATAGAACACCCTGTATTTTATTTGATTTTTGGATTCTTGGGCAAAAAATAAGGCATTTATTATAAGGCTTTAATATGTTTAAATGTTTTGGTTTTTGAGATATTTAAAGATATTTAAATATGCATGCTATAGTAAAAAAGTTTGTCAGCACCTCGGTCAACACCCTGTAAATTACTTTTCATAGTTAATTCTTATGCTGACTTTGAAGCCAGTGAAATAAACTTTACTAAAAAAATATTGCTTTCTTAAATGTATACAGGGGTATCAAAAATTCCTGGTCTATTTTAAATATTTATTTTTCGATCTTTTTGTCGGCATTCCTTTTGCTGCTTCAGATTCGTTTGTCAGATAATATTTTATTAACTACCACCGTTAACATATACATACCTGACTACCTCTGTAACATAAACAGCAAAATCTCTTGTAAGTTGTGTGGCGTAAGTAACAAAGGGCTGCGTATCAGTAAATGTGCTTTGAATAACATTGTAGAGAACGACAAATGAGCTGTCAATGTCAAATTCCGGAGTTCCGGTTAAGTCCCACTTATCAAAGGTGAACTGTTTAGGCAAAGCGTAATTGAATCTGCAGTAACTGTCATTTGAAGGGAATGGGTAGACATATTTGACGAAAGCTAGAATAAGTAAATACCTGATTATATTTTTATATAATTACTAATATAATGTAAATATAATGGATAAAAATAAGCACTGTGCTTAAATAGAAATGTTTAAACAAGAAGAATCAAGAAATGCACGTCATCATATTCAACTAATTAAAATATTTTATACTATAGAAAACAAATTTGTTGCAGTATAAAAGCAAATTTCTTGCAATAAAAAAAAGATGGTAAAATGCTTTTTTACGCTGTGTTAAGGTTTAAGTACGCACGTTATAAGGTTACGCACTAGTAAGGTTTATGTGTGTTAAACCTTAATCAAATTTACCTTTACCAGAATCTAAAAATAGAATAATATACCATTAATACCATTCCATTTAAAAAAAATACAACAACAATATTTTTTACTTATTTGGGAGACTCTATATCTTGTAAAAATATTTTTAAATTGTAGCTTACAACGAATCCAAAACTTACAATTTGCAAAAATTTAATTGTTTAACTACAATACTCCGTGTCGTATGTGGTGAACAACCCTGTATATACTTACATCCTGGTTCTTTTTCGTTATATTCCTCTGGAACTTTAACAGAAAGTCGTGTAAAACTTAGGTTTTGGAAACTATTGAGCAAAAGAAAGAAGGCTAATATTACTAATACAGTAAAGAGTAGTTGTACACGTCTCTGCCTAAAGTAAAATGGCGTGACAACCATAACTACATACACGATTATTTGCTCTTTGCATAGCTAGTCTTCAGCTTGCCATACCTACAACAGAAATAATCCTAACGAACATCTTTAAAATACAATTCAATCGTAAAAGAATACAACAATCATCTTTATTGTTACTAAGATGAAATTATTTTTTATTGGGTGTATTTTTACTAGATTAAATATTATAAATAATATGTTTTGAACTATAAATTTTCAAAGAAAAATTCAAAAATTGCATGTTCATTTTTTTCGTGAGAAAACTCATAGACGTGTTGCTTTGATCGAAATATACAACTCGTAAAAATATGTGCACTTATTTTCGAGTATGAAGACAATATTAACAAAATCAAATAACATATTCATAATAGTTCTTAATATGATACACAGATTATTAACATTTTTTTTTCTTTTTCTTTATTATTACTGGTTAATACTATAGCTAATATATATTTAGAATAAAATTTCTTATGTATAAGAAAAAAAATAATGCTAATAAACATAATTAAACACACATTATAGGTACAATACACTCATTCTTTTCTCAATCAATACTTGATTGCACTTTATGATACGTTTAAGTTAATATAATTAATGTAATAATAGCTCCCGTATATCGAGTTTGACGCCTTGGGAGTAGCAAGGTACAGCTTGCCATACTAGAGCCGTTCGGTATACAAGGAAGGTAATGTGGCTAGCGCTACCCTTCAACCGCCTATTATTACCTCAGGATTGTGAATCCCAAGTACTCATTTAAGGCTGAGTCGACCTAGGTACCCAAAGTATTTTTATTTTAATAAAAATAGTCGGCTGATGAAATGCCGGGTCGGGATTCGAACCCACTACCTTGAGATTGGTAGACGAGAGCCTGTACCTCTACGCCACCGAGCACCGTAAGTTAATATAATTACTAAACATAAATATGAAAGTATACTATATCTAGAAACACGAAATATTAAAAAAAATACTTAAAAATGTATTGAAAATTCATTTTTGGATATTTATTCATTCTATAATTTTGTAGACAATTAATTGCTTGTAGAAGAAATATAAAAGAGAAAAATTAAAATATATACATATTTTGTGTTTACAAAAATAAATGTTTTTATTTCCTATTTCTTTCTTTAAGTGAAAAAATACTTATCTGGTTTCTAAAAACGTGTAATATCTTCAAATTAAAAAAAAATAGCTGATGTTATTTTTGGCCAAGATTTCTAAATGATAAATGTAACTGAAAAACATAATTATTATAACAGTAAACAATATACCGGTTTCGGGACAACTCTATTTAAACAAAAAATAGATTTACTTACTGTTTCAAAACTACATTGAATCACCTGTATAATATAGCACTAGTAAATCACAAATTATTTTACATTTAACAAAAAAACTAAAAATTATTCTCTTTATCAAAACATTATTTCAACAACAAAGAAAAAATCATTTCAGACAGTGTACTGAAAGCTCTGATTCGGTAAGCTCCATAAGCTGGCGCTCTCTGGTGTATAAAATTGACACTATATCTGTCCTAAATGCAGAAGTTTTGTGCCAATCAATAACTCCCACCTATATCGTTAATGTAGTGGGCGATTTAAAGGAAAATTATTGGCAAATATAGAAGGAGAATATTAAGTAACTATTTTTTTTCTTTTAATGATCTGTCGTGTTTGGGAAAAATGAGATGGCTTTTTGAAAAGCGAAATATACAGGGTGGTCTGAACTGGATTCCGAAAACTTTGGCAGTATGTTCTGCAGCTAAAAATAAGTAAAAAAGTTCGTATAAAGGTACATATATCCTAAAATGCTTAGTTTCCGAGATACAGGGTGTAAAAGTTCAACCGTTCTCAAGATATTTAGAATGGAAATAGTCAATACATGTCATTTTTGACAAAAAATAAATATGTTGAGTAGATAGTTATTTGACTGAAATGATAAATTTGAGAGCTTTATATTTTTTAAAATTAATCATATATTTTCTTCGAAATTTCAATAATCTTTGAATAAAATTTTTTCTTTTGAACTTTTGGCACAAAAATATTTTAAATTTATGATTTTGTTCTAATAACTATTTAGTCAACATGTTTAATTTTATATTAATGATGACAGGTATAGATAATTTAGATTCTAAATATCTCGAGAACCGTTACTCGTAGCGATTTTTACCAAGATACCTTTTTTACGTAGAAAACGTCGTAAATGTATATTTTTTACTCCGTAGTTTTATACAGGTACGGGCAAAAAGTTATTATTCCTTAAACCAGTTAAAAAATATGTAGGTGGCGCCACTGACAAGTAGGAATCATATTAACATCACAATCAAATTTCTCAGGTCAAAAAACTCCCAGACACCAATTTTCATCCAAATATCGACGTTAGTTGAAAAATTATTTCGAAAAAAAAAATATTTTTATCTGCAGAATATGCTGCCAAAGTTTCCGGAATACCGTTCGAACCATCCTGTATACCAGTTGTCAACAGAATTGTTGCACATATATATTTTAGCACACAGTTTTCTGTTTAAAACACTGCAATATCACTTTCAGTTTAACGTCGTTGGACAAACTGTAAATAGATATACCAATAAATAATATTTTCTTGCTTTTAGCTGTGTATTTTTTCTAATTTCGAAAAATCGAAAGTAGAGAAAAAAACAAAAAGTAAAAAGAAAATTGTTTTGCTTGTCGTAAAGGGGGGAACCAAGCTCCATTCCCACAACCGGTTTCTGGACCTACTCTTCATCAGGCGGGCTGTCCAGGGGCTGGTTCTCACCGATACGGCAAGCAAAACTTTTTCAATATCAATAGACGATGTCGTAAAGTGTCGGTTTACCATTTCTTGACGGGAGTGCACTAATATCTCACGTAATTCATTATAATAAACTTAAATCAAAAATATTGTAATTATATTCCTGCAGTTTAAGTGAAAAATTTTGTTCCTAAATGTTTACTATACGTATTTATAATAAACGCCTGTTCAAATATTAATTCTGTGGAATATATATCAATGTAACATAAGACGAGATGTAATTAACGAAATACCATCGTAACAACATCTATTTTAAAAACGTCTAGGTTTACTTATTTCTATAAAAAATCCTTTGCCTCGGCTACAGATACCGCCACGTTTTGGAAACAGCTCAAAACAAAACAAAATTGAACGAGGCAACAAAAAACGCCAAAAAAATCCACCCTCGCCCTCCTCACGAGTAGTTTTCAGGCGCTTTTAAGAATCGAAAGTAGGTCAAAGCAAACAAAAGTGGGTCAAGACGAGTGGAAATAAATCGGAATGCGTCAATGTTCGGCGACGAAATGCGAACTTGACATGTTTCGAAGAGTTTCCCGCATAGTGTAGACGCTGGCCTTATAGTTTCCCGTAATTAACATAACATATAAAACAAATCATAAGATCTTTTTTTATGATTTACATACACGATAACAGTAATCTTTATTTTACTCATTATCGTAAAAGTTATGACGCAATATCTAGAATAAATATTATTTAACCCGAAAATAGTCATACGCTACTCGTCAGTTTATTTGTTAATATATTAAGATAGGTATAAAGATTAATATTTATAAAGATAATTTAATATATAGATTAAATGTAATTAGTCATTAATGAGCACCCTTCCCTTTTGTATATTTCAACATCTTTTATTAGGGATTCTTTTAAAAATATAATTTAGATTTTGATAAAGTTTTGAATCGAAAACCATTTAGGTGGTGGCCATTAATTAATTATTTGAGGAGATCAAGGGGTGAGGTAGGGTGAGCCAAAAAACTAATCTATCGAATTTATGGGTTAAAATAAACCTAATAACCGAGAAAAAATATCCCCGGACGGCAGGATTTTTAGCCCAATTTTAAAAGGTGTCGGTGAACATTCAAAGTTTTGCCATTTAAATAACACGTAAAAAAAAATTTCCATTAAAAGTACCATAACTTTGAAACGGTTTACGATAAAAAAATTTACATCACGGATTCTTGTAGAGCATAAAATTTCCTAAAAAATCTATCTGAAAACTATTTGAAAAGTGAAAGAAATTAAAATATACAATTTTAGTGTTGATTGATTAAAAATTTTCATATTTAGCAAAAAAAATCTAGATTTAAAAAAATAGATTAATGTTAAAAAGTATTGCTTATAATTTAGATTTATCAAAAAACATTGATTTTATTATATTTATTAATTTTTAAATGTATAATAATTAACAAAATATTTTTTGTATTAAAAAACTTCATGTCTGCTTTATTTTCAATTTTTTTTTCACAATTATTAACACATTTTAAATATGTAAAGTTTAGTTAAATAAAATGCTTATGGACTGTGATGATATGACTGACATTTTGAATATAGAGCCAGAACACTTGGCAGAACATGATTCATAAATAGATCGTGTTCCGAAATCGTTAAAATCATCAAATGTACTTATGATATTGCTGAACGAGCTATTGCAATCTCTCTCTTTGGTCCGTTTCCCTGAACAGGGATTAGTGACTATGATGTTCCTGTAGCGGTTTTTATCGTATTGTGCCAGTCCGCTCTGTTTTGAGCCATGCTGACGGTTTCATGAAGGCCTTGGCCGATTAGGTCTTTAGTTTGATCAACCCATCTCTTGGGTGATCTTCCTCGTGGTCGCTTTCCCTCTACCTTTCCCTCGACTATTAGCAGCTGCAGTGAGTCCGTTCTTCTAGCAATGTGACCAATATCCCATACAGCACGTCCAAATAAAATTACGTTTCTACAAGGGAGACACATGAGAAACCAAATATGTTAAAATGAACCTAAGTGTTCATCTAGTTCTAACATATACATATGAGATACACGCAGGTTTATATTGATAGAATAGTGTGATACAGTGTTTACTCGTTGTATACCGTATGCACTCAAGATTCTAAAGAGTTTTTTGTAACGTAACAAATAATTATTAAAATGATGAAATCTGACGTCGGTATATGAGACATACAATGTATATGTCATATGTATGTGTGATACTTCGTATCATAGTTGTGCCTATAGTACACACCTTGTAAAAATGTGACGTATACACATAATATAAATTTCTATATAGACACTTTGTAATAGTGTACTGTTGTGTCTACATTCTAGCATGAAATGAAGGTGTGCGCACGCGCGGACAGCCTTGGCGTAGATACACCGACTAAGTGTATCTTATGTGTTCTCTCTCCTTTCTCCTTTCTAGGAGTGGTATGTGTTAGCAGCCATTATTGTTTTATCATTCGGAAGCTCTATATAAATGTTCTGTTTGTGTGTAGTTTAAAACAGATTTTAAGGTAAGCACAAGTTTTTAATTACCTTCTTACACCTTTCTAAGAGTATTATTAATATTGTAGCAGCGACTCTTCCCTTATCGTTACCCAATTTACCAAACTTTGACTCCATTGAATGAAAACTCCAAATATTCTCGTATAATGATAAAGAGGTTAGCTCTGCAATATATTTTTTTTTAATTTGGAAATAATAAAAATTTAAATGGATCAGAGAAAGAAAGATTTAAACACTTCTTACACTGATATTCGGTAAGTTATTGATGGATCAATATACAGGTATGTTTAATATTCAATAATCAGTTTCATATAAAATTTAAGGGTGAGATTGTCAATCTGAGATTGTTAATCTCGATGAATGAGTATGCTGATGGTTGCTAATGGTTGCTAACAAACCATCTGGTTGGAGGGAAAAGAAGAGAAAAAAAATGACTAAACGAATCACCAAATCGTGGCGATATACCAGTGTTTACCATTTTAGTATGTTGTTATACTGGGTACTTAGATTTTTAATACATTTTGATACAAATTCTGTTCTTTTACAGTGTTTTCTTACTTCTGGTTTCTGCAGTGTAAATAATTATTATTATTGTGTTATTTGCGCTATTGCGTTCCATGATATAAAGAAATATAAGAATTTTATTTTTAACCACTTAATCCATTTTATGGAAAAAAAATGGTACATTTAATACAAAACAAAAATGGAACATTTGTAAGCTACTTCTTTTGAACTTACGATCGAGATACTTTTGGAAAATACAAAGTTTTGCCTTCCTAATTTTCGTTCTAAAAAGATATAATTGGTATTATTGAATAAATATTTCTTAAAAAGAACGAAAAGTTAGGCATCAAAACTTGTATTATTTCCTAAATTCGTTCATAAGAAGTAGTTTTATCTAGCACAAAATGTATGTACGAAGTAAAATGCATACGTATACACGCAGTAGTCACAACTGCAATGTGTAAACAGAGTTTAAACGTAATACACAAGCACTGTCTATCCTACGGCACACTGTGTATCCCTTACTTTGTGTATACGTAAATGCTATACTGTGGCTACATTGTGAGGCGGACATTTAACCTTTGTGCATACGTGTTGAACTACAATGTGTAAACGTATCATATTTACATCGGGGGAATTGTGTCACCCTGTGTCTACATCTAATAATGTAAACACATCGTAAATGTGATTTGATGTGCTGTATGGGATATGTCAGAAAACATCGGTTTATTTTTTTTTGAGAGGCTGAGTTGTGAGTTTAGTTCTTGGAGAACTGACTCATTCGTACGATGGGCTGTCCAAGGTATACGTAGCAGACGTCTATATGCCCATATTTCAAAAGCATCTATTCGCCTGGTATCGCTTTTCTTAAGCGTCCATGTTTCCGCCCCATACGTAGCAATCGGGAAAACAAGCGAGTTCAGCAGTCTTAGTTTGGTGTTCTTAGTGATGGCTGTATCTTTCCATATCTTAGTTAATTTAGTTACGGCTGTTCTAGCCAGCGCAATTCTACGTCTTATTTCGCCTTCGCATGAGCCGCTGTTGTCGATTAGCGATCCCAGATATAAGTATTTATTAACCACCTTAAATCCAGCTATGTTTCCCACGTGAGGTTGGTTGTTGTTTTGTCGGTCCACAATCATGACAGTAGTTTTGTTAGGATTAAGTTTTAGCCCAAATTCTGTACTAGTTTCTTGGAGACGTTGCATAATAAATTCCATTTCTTATGATATTGCTGAACGAGCTATTGCAATAGAGAAATACAATTGAACGTTAACAAAAAATGATGAACAAAAATAATTCATCTTGCAAGTAGTGCAATTACCACATTGTCAGCGATATCCCAATTGTAATAAATTAAATTTTATTAAGGATAAGAATTAATAAGAATATAAAAATTATTTCAAATGCAATAAAAAATTAATTACTGAATATAAGAATTATTTTTTTACAAATCTACATTATAAACGATATTTTTTAACAATATATTCCTATTTAATTTAAATCTATTTTTTTTTTGTTAAATATCATTGTAATGTGTACATCATTTTCAAAGGGTACATTTTCCCTTATCGTTAAAGTATTTCATAGTAGAAAAAAGGAAAAAATATGTTAAATGATTATCAGTTAATGTTGATGTTATTGAAACAAAAATTTTGGCAAGAAACTGTGGAGATGTAGTTAAAATTATGTGATTATAATAAAAAAATTAATAGCATTAAAAAAAAATTACCTAACAATAAATAAATAAATAGCATTAAAAAGACTTTACCTAAATCATAATAAATTTCACTTACTTCATCGCTATACAAATTATTAAAATTTTAAGAAACTGCCTGAACACAAAAATAAACAAATATTAAATCAAGTTTTATTCAAAAATTCATATAACATAGAAAAATACTTTACCTAGAATACACTCCCCCCATATACTCCAATATTTTTGTTTAATAAACACTATATTAATATAAATACAAATATTAAATACACTTCATAAATTTTAGGCAACAAAAAATCAAACAGCTTATAAAATAACTTAACTGACAATTTTTTCTCTTGCAATTTTTAATCAATTAGATTGATTTAAATCTATATAAAATCTATACTTACGTTTTATATAAATTATGTTTATTTGATATAAACATTCACTTACTAAATTACATTTAAAATACAATAATTGCTTGCCACATCATAATATATAAAAACGTATACAATCATAAACATAATTATTATTGAGGTAGGTAACAATAAAATAGTATGACATTTAAAATTTGTATAAATTGAATACTAGAATACAAAGTTTATATGAATACCAAAGTAGACTTAATAAAATTATTAGTCATAGTTATTTATCTTTAAGTAAAGATATAAAATATAATATTTTATATTACACTTTACGTCTTAGAATAATAAAAAAATACATAGTGTGTATAAAAAAGAATTTCTTTCTAGTGATTTTTTTAATCCCATTTCATATACAGGGGGCTACGAGCATTGGTATCTCGGTAACGGTAATAGATACGAACATGGTTAAATTGGGAAAAAGTTACGCCTTTAGGATGTTCACCAAGATGCCATCAAAAAAGTTTTAAAAATTTCAAGGATTGCTGAGTTTTTAGAAAAAACAGATTTTTTTGAAAATCAATTTTCCTAGCGCGATTTTTTTCCTGGCGTTACTTGTTAGGAAATTAAAAAACTAATTGCACATTCTCATTGCCACTTTATTAGGGGTATTTGATAGTATCTTTAGATTTTTCGGAACTATAACAAGAAGTTATGTTCAAAGAGCTATAAATAAGATTGACCAAAAAATAAATTTGTGCATTAGGGAGGGTGGTAACCTGTAGAGCATTAGATACTAGTTTGGAGGCCACACATAGTGGAGGCTTTCGAACCTGTAGAGCATTAGAAACTAGTTTGTAGAAGTTGATTTATTTATAATAACTACGAATAATATTATGAATATTATTAGATCGTACACTGAGATTTCAAATTCACAATAAAAAAAAGTTGAAAATAATATCTTTAAATTGCTGACTTGGAAAATATTTATTTGAATCTGTCAATTGGCCCGATTTTCCTTATTCAATATTAATTAGCTCTAATCAATCAACTCAGCAATCCTTGAAATTTTTAAAACTTTTAGATGGCATTTTGGTGAACATCTCAAGGCGCAACTTTGCTCCAATTTAACCATCTTTTACGGTTTCCGAGATACCAATGCTCGTACCTCGAATTTGTAGCACCCTGTATAGTTCATATCAAATAAACTTTTAGTCACATGATTAAGCTTGACCGGCACAGCGTTGCCGACTTTTACATATTTTCTTTTAATCAAAATATTTTAGGAAACAAAAATAAATTAATTATAAATTGTCAAAATGAGAAAATGAATTCAACATGAAAAATCAAGATTTTAAACTTATTTTTTAACTACTAATAAACAAACTCCTAAAAACAATTATTTATAAATAAAATTACAAATACCTAAATACTTAGACAAATAATCTCAGTTGTATCTTATTTTAATTCAATATAAATTATTTTTTTCTTACTTCGCTGATCTTAATCTGTATGATGAAACGCACTGTATACAGGGTGGCGCCTCTCATACGCCGCGGAAGCTCCAAGCAGAACGGTAGTTTATATTGAAATTAAATTTTGGCAGCATATGTAGGTTAACTGAAAGCATTTTATAAAATTATATAGAATTATACAGGGTGTCCCCAAAAAAAGTTACACATCAAAGTTGTGTTTATTCTAACGGAATACCCTATATATTAATTGATTTTCGAATTCTAAGAAAAAAATAAAGGTGAGTTTTATTAAAGAAACATATACCTAAAATCTAAGGATTTTGACATATTTCACATTTTGTGAAAATAAAGAGTAAATTTTAAATTTCGATAACAGCTATCTAAATTTCAGTTGACCTTGTATAGCCTGATATTGAACTAAAGTAACCATTGTATGTTAAATCAAACTGAAATTTGAGCCGAAAAGTTATACAGGGTGAGCATGGGCGCCGGACTGGGGGGGCAAGAGGGGGCATTTGCCCCCCCCCCCCTGGATCACCGAAACAATAAAAATAAAAGCTATATCTTCTTACATCCATCTGTAAAAAAATAATCATTATTATGAAATTGTTAGGTGTTACCTGTAAAATAATAAAAAATGTGGTAATTATTGGGAAAACTGGAAATCGTCCGATTCACCAAAATTGGTATACACACTATTTTGAGGTCGTAGATTACGAATCTACTTTTTTCTTGGCGGTCTCTTACCGTTTTCAGAAAAACGGAAAATTATTTCAACATTGAATTTTTCTTTATTTCGGCCCTATAAAGTAATAATTTCACTATATTTTCATTATATTATAGTTTATCTAAAAGCCACACTTGATTGGGGATGATTGAAAAGTGTCCAACATTTTACTGAAAAACACTTTTCTTAACAAAATAGCAAAGAAAATTGAGACCAGATGGAAGTTTGACATTTGATATATCCTTCTTTCTCTCTCCTATGTAATAAGAGAGACAAATTTATTCTAGACCTAATCTAGAAATTTGAAAATTTACAACGTTGCCATATCTTCTATTTTTTCGGGTGATTACGGAATTTAAATAAATTACCTATTATGAGATCAACAATAATTAAATATACACCAATATCCACAAAATTACGCGGAAAAGTTTTGATTGCATTGGTTTTAACTTCTTTGCGGAGGAGGTTAATCTTTTCTTAGTTAATCTAATAATATAACAACAAAAGATTAACACCCTCTGCATGGAAGTTGTAACCAATGCAATCAAAACTTTTTCGTGCAACTTCGTGGGTATAAATAGTCAGATCTCGTTGGTAAAATAGCAGTTATGGGAAGGAGCCGTTCTTCTGGCGACCGCCTTTCGTAATTCCAGAATGAGCGAAAAAAACACGCTAAATTTAGGTTTAACATTGGCAACGTTGCTTTAAATGCCAGAAAGACATAAACTTACTTCGGGTTTCTCTTATTACCGATTCTGAACCGTCCTAGAACTGTGATGTGTATGCGCAGAAGGAAATATGAAGACATTACTTCATTTGCGCATGCGCTGCAGAGTTCTTGGACGGTTCAGAATCGGTAATAACAAGAACCCGAACAAAGCCATAATCTAACATTTTCAGATTGTTTACAAATTTATTTTAACAAATTTTCCTCTATTATGCATAGAATTGGTTAAAAAAGTAACAGAAAAGAGCAAAAACATTATTGATTATTGAATACCTAACAAAATATGTGCTAGAAAACCTTAAACATATGAGAAATTAAGAAAAATTCGATATTGAAATTATTTTCCGTTTTTCTGAAAAACGGTAAGAGACCGCCAAGAAAAAAGTTCAGATTCGTAATCTACGACTTCAAAATAGGGTGTATACCAATTTTGGTGAAAATCGGACGATTTCCAGTTTTACCAATAATTACCAAAAATGTCAATTTTTTATTCATTTTTACCTTGCCCCCCCCCCTACATTTCATTCTTCCGGCGCCCATGAGGGTGAGACAAAATTATTATGGAACATTAGTCACTTTTAAAAGCAAGTTATTCCTTTATTTTAAATGGAACACCCAGTATATTTTTCCGGTGTTCAATGGGGATGTTCAAAATATTATTAAGGTTGCCTACCCCTGAGACAAAGATTTTCCCAGATATTTTAATGTTTATGATTTTGCGTCAGTAAATCTTTATTATTTGAAAAAATGTAGGTGGCTGTGTGATATACCTTTTGTTAATTTAACAAAAAATAAAGATTGTAGAGTAAAATACTCAAGGGTACTAAAAAGATACACGTTTAAAACATATTTTAATTATTACAGAATTAAAACTAGATATAAACCTATAATTATGCGTCAAAAATTAGCTAGATAAAATCAAATGCTCAAAATGCTTCCTTTCCTGTTAACTGCATAAAATGATTGTCTTTTCAAAATGATCTTTTCATTTTAAAAGGCATTTATGTGGAGTTCTACCTCGAAAAGCAGCCACAATAATTTCTCTCATGTTGTAAAAAATGACACTAGTAGGTCCAGTTTAGTAAACACTATCTTTAACATATCTCAATAAAAGCAACCCAGACTATATAAAATCAAGAGCGTTTAAGTATTCTATTAATTCGTGAATGCACACTGCATTCACCAACTAATAGAATCATATCAATTCTCTGATGCAGGATAAGTTTGCATTTTCGGCAAATTTCTGAGAATTTTTTTTGTTTTAACTGACACAAAATGATAACTAGTTATTAAAGTTAATTAGACAGCTATGTTAAAGTAACGTCAGACATATCACAGCCACCTAGATTTTATCAAATAATAAAAATCTACTCAGATCAAATCATGTAAATGAAAATATCTAGGAAAATCTTTGAGGGGTAGGCAACTTTAATAAGGGTAAGCAACTTTTAATAGTATTTTGAAGAGACATGAATTCTCCATTGAATATCGGAATAATATACTGGGTGTTCCATTTAAAATAAGAGAGTAACATGCTTTTAAAGATGACCAATGTTCAATATTAATTTTGTCTCACCCTGTATAACTTTTTGGATCAAGTTTTAATTTGATTTAAAGTACAATAGTTAATTTAACTACATATTAGGCTATACCAGGTAAATTCCAATTTAGGTAGCTTTAATTGTAATTTAAAAATTGTTTTTTATTTCTAGAAAATGTTAAATATGTTGAAAACTTTACATTTTAGTCATATACTTCTCTTATAAAACTCACCTTTATTTTTCTCCCAGAATCCAAAAATCAATTACTATATAGGATGTTCCATCACAAAAAATACAACTTTGATATTTAACTTTTTTTGGGGACACCCTGTAGAACTCTCTATATTTTTAAAAAGTGCTCCGAATTAACCTACATATGCTCACAAAATTTCATTTCAATATAAAGTGTCGTTCTCCTTGGAGCCTCCGCGGCGTATGAGAGGCACCACCTTGTATAATAATTGTTTTTTCGTTGTTTTTTTATACAGAACTTCACAAACATTTCCAATTGTCTTCCAAAGCCCAATTGATGAAGTGTCTCACATTTCTTTTTCACTGTTCACTTTTTTATGTTTCTTGCTGATGTAGTGCAAGTTCATAGTTGAATTTAGCGAGCATCCCTCTATGTAAGTGTATTTCTTTTTTAAAACTTCAATAGAAACGTTGTATACTGCCATATTCTGGTTGATGTACGGTGTTCTCCAATCCTCTGTTTTAAGTTTTTCAGTTCTTATACCTGGCCAATGTGTCAGGAAGGCGTTGTCCAAAATTGTGAAGTCGTAATCTTGAACGCACATTTCCAGACTCTGAAATAGAAGATTTCAAGTTTCAGACAAGTTGTCACATATTTAAAAAAAAACCTCAACTGGCGTGGTGGGGTCTAGCGGACCCCAAGCACTATTTAAACCTCTGTAAAATGTTTACGTTTAATAATTAGGCCTCGCCGCGCCATTTATTATCTGACAAACGAATCTAAAACAGCGGAAGGAATTCGGGCAAAAAAAGTCGATGTTGTCACGTTTAATTATAGAAAAGCAAAGTTGCTCGATATTAGCAACTATATTATTATTATATATTTTTTTTTTTCTCAGGTAAGATTTCGACAGACGATGACAGGAGAAAAGCAGATGACGTCCCATACCAATCTTTTTATTTTACTAAAAAAAGTTTCTAATAATTTTTAAATTAACTATGGATCGGTTTAAATATAAATTCGTCATGCGTCGTCACTTGTTGTTTTTAACAAGTTTTATTGGTTTATTTCAAAAATGACAGATCGTATTTCAATTTTATTGTTTTAACGGAACGATGAACGACAAACGTACGCCGATGCGTATGAACTCGCCTTTAGATTTTTGACGTTAGTCAAAGTCTTGCCAAATTATAGGTTATAATTTTGTGACAACTTTTGTCAAATACCCTGCGTTTTGAAAGATGATGCATTTTGATTCGTGTTATTACGAGTGTTTTGTGTCTTTTGAAGTCAGGTGGAGGAAAAATCGAGTGAAAATTAACTGTAGAACCCAGAGCACAGTTTATGGTTAATACTCGCTGCCCAGGCAGAAAGTCTTATACAGATACACCAGTAAAGTTACTATCAATAAAGTTCGTATACCATCTCGTCGTAGATAATTGCATCTCGAATATGGTAGAAGGACCATACTAAACACATACTAAAAACTGGAGTAGCTGTAAAATATCGACATCACACGATAGGTAAATAATGGATTTTAGTACTGCAGAAAAATAATGTCAAAAGGTACTGGTTTAAAAAAATTAAGATTAAAGTTAATTAATCAACCTGTGAGGTATAAAATTTGGTAAGTGTTATTATTAATAATATAGTTTGTTTTATTTATATTGTATTATTTATTTCTGCGAAATATTACAAATTTGTATTTGTACATAAGTTATATTGATAAATATAATCATAAATGCTTGTTTTTGTTTGTTTTGTTGTTGTATTAACACATACCGTTTTTTATTAAATAAAATAACTCGATTACATTTTTTCAGTTTTTTACAGTTTTTTTCACAATATTTTGAAGTTACTTGTCAGTCAAATTTTAAATACATATATTAATTTCCTGCTATGCGTTCCAGTTGTACCAACTTATTTCTTTGTAAAATAAAATAAACTACTTTGAAATTAAAATGACAGACACATCTATCACTGTCAAGGATCTTCTCGTTGGACAGACTGTACCTATAAATTGAATATATTTTAGTTCATTTCAGCATATATAATTATATATATATATATATATATATATATATATATATATATATATATATATATATATATATATATATATATGCTAATATGTTGACGTAGTTCTTATTGTAATAATGTATATTTATCTAATTAACTGATTTCGTTTATTCTGCCTATTATAAAAGGTAAAGTATTTCCTTAAGATAACGTCCGCTTAGGATAAGCTGGCAACGCTGACAGAATCCATTATGGCCTCCCGGATTCAACCAATCTGATTGGTCGAGATTCTCGCACGTCTTGTTGCCATTACCCCCAACTTTATGCCCCTCTCTAGGAATAGTAGAAACAGTCACTACTATTGAAAAATCCAGTGGCGGTGTTATTGTATTGGGTTAATTAGTACACGCGTTTTAACAAATATTACTATATTTGGCAAATGACTAAACAAAATGTAGGTACATTTAAAGTAAAATAATATTATAAACTTTACTGGAAAATATTAAAAAGTTCCTGATATATTTTTATGAAACCCCGCACGCTCGTGGATATTTTATGAATGAAATCGGTCATGAATTTAGAAAATTGCGATCCCTTTGCCGTTGCCCCGTTGTTTCAGATCCGTTTGTCAGACTGTACCTTTAAGTTAGGATACCAATATGCAACTGTTAATAGGCCACGGCAATTAGGTGAAATAATGGCCTTTAGGAGAAGTTTTTACAATCAAGCTAATTTTTTCACAGATGATAGTACCCATCAATCTCTGTAAAAAACAGTTACAACTTTTGGAGGCTTGCTTTTTCCGCCATGTTGAATTAAAGATGGCCGACACAATATTTTTTTAAATACTGTAACTTTCTTATTTTTTAACCAATTTACCTCAAACAAACTCAATATTAACAAACAAAGTTTGTCAAAAAGTTGTATACAGGGCGAGAAAAAAAAATAAAAAACGATTTTTTAATTTTCGGGAATTTTTTAAAATACATGATAATGCAAAAAAGATAGAAATGCTATTAATATTTATATTTTAACGCACTTTACACGTTTCAGGTGAAAAAAGTACAAAAAATTGAAAAATTCAAAAATCCATTTTTTTCAAGGGCTTAGGAAATCGGCAATTGAAAACTTTTATTCGAAATATCTCAAAAACTATTCGTTTTAGAAACACAGTTTAAATAGGGTAATTGTAGGGCTCCACAAGCTATATCCATACAGGGATCAACCATCATTTTACAATTTATCACTTTCGAGATATTTAGAATTTTTAGATTTTGCAAATTTTTGACTTTGATCGATTTCTACAACACTCTGTACAATATTAAAAAGTAAAAAAAAATCTCGTTAATGAGCACCACCTATGCTCTATCCAACAATGTATAACTAATTACAGACAAATGAAAGATATGGGAGATATTCTAAAAAAAGGGCAAAAAAGGAAATTTTCCAGAAAAATTTGAGGCCAAAATTGAAGTTTCAGAACACAAGGTTTGGGATCTAATTTTGATTTTGCAAATCTTCCTCCCATAGAAGACTCTAATAATCAACACGTTTTTAGAGTATATTTACAGGTACAAAGCTGGAGAGGAAACGAGTTAGATCCACTTCAGTGGGGGTGTTTTGCCAGTGGCAATGAGCTTTTCTCAGTGACTTACACCAAACCTCCAGGACCCGAACACCTAATGGCAACTTTTTTTTGCAAATACAAAGATCTTTGCACAGCAAAAAACACAGTTTGCTTCTTATAATCGGAAATGCAGCATTTTGTGTAAAAAATGCAATCAAGCCTGTCTAAATGCACCCAGAGTCGATTATGAAGAAGTGGAAATAGATGATGGTGACGTGTAAATACAAATGTGAAAAAGTTATAATTATGTATTTGTAGTTAAAAGCTATTAAAAGTTGAATATAATATACTATTCTGTTAGAATAAAAAGAATTTCAGTGTTTATTATTATCTATTATTAAGAATAATAATTTTTATTTTATGTCAATCGAGCAAAAAATAAAGTATTTTTATATCTCGCAAAAGTTTTATTTTTGTTTGTATCCTTAAGGATACACTATACACTATATCTCCCGCACTACTCAACCTATCATAAACTCAAAGACTGTTTCAAAATCAGAACAAAAGAGCGCATATTCTTTAACCTTTTTTGCTACGGAGTATGGTTCAAAAAAAATTGAAGAAAAGTAAGTCGATTTCTTTTATTATTTTCCCTTTTTTATTTTTGACAGAAAAACAACCTGTCAAAATAGTTTTATATTTTTATTTCATTCTTTAGTCCAAAACAAAGGTAATGATTTTTACTTGACAAAAATCGGTTAATAAATAAGAAAGTTACGATTTTTTAAGGAATAGGATCAGACGCCATCTTTAATTCAAAATGGCGGAGGAAGCAAGCGCTCTAGGAGGTGTAACTTTTTTTTACAGAGTACTGTTAATAAGTACTATCATCTGTGAAAAAATCAGCTTGATTGCAAAAACTTCCCCTATTTTTGCTAATTGCCCTGGCGTATAAAGGCGCACTTGATTTTATCAAGTGATGTTCCTACTAGCGGGGGCTAAAGTTTCATTAGGGCCTGTGTGGCACCACCACGCCAGGAATGCTTCATTATTAGGATGGTGGGTAGTCATTAAAAGTGTGGCTCATTGGGACGCTAATTTTGAGGAAGCATTAATTGAGTGGTTGGATGAACTTAAATAGGCTTAAGTGAGATGAAGATCATCGAGACATTGATTTTTCTCTGAAGAGTAACCATAACTCCGATTCTGAATCTCTTACTTATAGAATAGAGAAAATTGAATAATCTATACCAGAAAAGAAAGAGATGTGGTGTACGGCAACCATATGCCAATGAAGAAATGACAAAAAACAAAAATCTCATGAATCAAATGTGCACGATTCATGTGCGGCAAATGCAGATCCTATATTAGCATGAACTATATTTGAAAAAGTTATGTACATTCAACATTTTTAGTTTATTGAATACTATAAGTTTATAGTTTATTCCTTAACTTCACATTAAACTTATGTTTATTTATTTCAAAAATACGCTTTAAAACTAAATCTTAAATAACTTAAAAACGATTTATTTTAAGTATAGGAACATGTGTAGTGAAAAAATAACGAATTGTAAAGCCTTTTCACTAGTGAAATAAAATAAGTGGGTTTCCATTTGAAAAAAAATATTTATGATAATTTTTAATCGCTCAATTCCATGACAGCTGCGGCCATTATTATATGACATTCGAACAATATAATTTTTGAAATAGATATCCCTTTGAATAAGAAGACTAAGGAAGGAGCATATCAAAAATCTTAGGTACACCGCGATGGGCCTCAAATATGGCCGACTTAAATTCCGGTTTATCAGTGTCGTTCTAATTTTATTTAAAAAATGTAAAACTATGATGTAGGGTAGACGTGGGGTAGACTCAATAATTTGTTGTTTTATTTTACGTTGTGAATAAATGTTGGTAGTTATTAAAATTGTTATAAAAATATATAATTCTAATAAAAATAGATAAGTTATAATAAGTATTTATTAACACAAACATCCGATACGCTAGTGAAGCAGGTAAGTCAAATTAACGTATCTAAATTCTTTGACATCTAATCTTTGACAAGTAATAAATAAAAGCTAAAATGCAAGAAAAATATATAATTTAGTTAATTTAAGTGAATTTCATAAATGATCGGTTTACTACACGTATGTATATTATATAGTCACTTACTAGCGAAAAGCTGTTCCATTATTTAACTCGATTTTTGCCGAGATCTACCGCACGCTACACGACCAACTGTTTTAGTCGTTTTCGATAAATCGCGATAGTGTCACTGTTAATTTAAGTTCTGCCACAATTTCCATCTAGAATTACTACCTTTATACAACTATCAGTAGTAGAATAAAGAATAAATAACATAAAATAAGCTCCGTAAAGACTGACAAATCCACAAAATTTCAAATCAAATTCAAATGTGTCAAATGAATCGTCAAACAGAACTGACAAGGATCCCCACCCTAGAGTGCTTTTTCCGCCCACCATGCATGAATACATGGATAGCATTATGTTCCTTCCTTAGTCTTCTTATTCAAAGAGATAGCCACATGCCTTTTTTTATGACACTGTGTGTTATGTGTCTGTGGTAGTCACTAAATTTGACGTTTATGCTATACACATATTTTTGACAGGCAGTTTTTTTCGTCCAAAAATTTTAAAATACTTTTTTTCTCAAAAACGGTTTATGTTAGATATATCTAACATTAACCGTTTATAATAATTAATAATAATCCTTATAATGATATGCTAAAAACTTAAAAAATCAAAGATCTCTTTCTATTTTACTTTTTCTTATTACTGGTATTTATCATTAATTAATGTTATCCACCGACAGCTCACGAATTAAAATCTAAAGACTATAAAGCGAGTGATAGCATGTTACATAATACAGTCTTGTATAGTATGTCTCACCTTTTAATTAATTAAAAATTATCACATACTGCACGAAACCCACACATTTCCAACATTATTTTTAGCCAAAATATATAAAAAGTAATATTACACTACTTACATTAAGCATTTTGTCCTGAAGGCCTTCCCAAGACAACTGCTCGTTAAACAAAGGTTCTGCATTGGTACCAATAAATATAGGTTCCCATCTGTGGTACGGATAGTGTCTTTTCAACGTAATAAAAGGCTGAAATATAATTTCAAAATATTAAATACATAACCTAGTAATATATGATATACACGTACTCTAAAAAAGGGTGCGTCTCGAAAGTGCGTTCACCCCTATAATTTTTTCATTTTCTTCAGATAAACTATGTTAGTATATTACGTAAATTAGGATTGACTGATGTTAATTGTTTTTGATCACTTCCTCTTCCACCGGAAATGACTACAACTTTTTTAAATGACACCCTCGGTATATTTCTAGTTTATTCGATAGAAAATGACAATCTGAATAGAATGTCATATCATTTTTGCAAATGGTTTACTTAAAATTGTAACATGTAGTTCGTAACGACAATTTGACTCGAAATACCCAGTGTTTAGTACCAAATTATTCGGAAAAAATGCTTTTTCCAAGTAATATGCTTATGAGCCACTCTTGTTCCATTTAAAAAGAATATATAATTATTATATAATTAAAAATACGATTTGGACATCTTTTAACCGGCCAGGATAAGACAACAAAAAACATTAGATGATCAAAACTGTTTTTCCAAGACTACTTGATTTAGAACTCATTTATCAATATACCTATGGAATACATTATAGATTATTTTTAAAGATGTACCAAATTTTTAAAGAGTACAAATACTAATATTGTCGATATAGTTCGTTTATTTCATTAAAAAATAAATAAACTGTTTAAATATTTGTTAAAGAGGACCAATTAATATGATTCCAGTATTCAAACTACATTAATTGACTGTTTGCGTTGATTAATAATAATTGCTCCAAATACTAAAAAACTGAATTATGTATGTGTATTAGACAGTGTGGCAAAAAGTAACACCTTTAAAATGATATTTAATTTTTTGACAAATGCTTATTTATAACAGAGATGTTCATTTTCATCACTTTATTATATTGATTTCTGATTACTATATTGATTTCTTCCACATTTATTTAGAATAATTTATTAACGAACACAATTAAGTATGTAGTTAATTAGTATTTGGGCGGAAATACTGGTGGTATATTTAATTAATGGTATACTCTTTTATAACGATTTAAATAGTTTTCTTTTTGCATACAAATGAGCTAGTAATATTATCGTTTTACTAAAAACGATAATATTACTAGCCTGTACATTTTGTACATTTGTTGTTTTAAAAACAATCTAAAATGTCAATATTCCATGGGTATATTGATAAATGAGGTCTAAATTATAAGAAAATGCATTTTCTACGAAAACTTGAAGGAATAGGTAAGAAGTGGTATAATATATATATAATTTGATAGACAATTAAATTGTACATCTGATTCTCATAAAATATACAGGGTATTCTATTTGAAGTAAATAAGTTATTGCCGCTAGTAATTATTTAAAATAAATTTTTAGACACTCTGTATAAGGTAGTATAATTTTTATTATTGCAACACAATAACTGATCAATATATAAACTTCAGTAAATATTTAGTATTAAAAACTTTGATATCCTCGGAGAAATGAAGCCTTAAAATTTATACTGCAATTTCGCAAAATTGAAAATATTTTAAAAACGATAAGGTTTAAGTGTAACAAACCTTAATCAAATTTACCTTTATTTTAATCGTAGAAACTAAAAATGCAATAATATACAGGGTGTTCCATTTAAAAAAATACAACTTTGATATTTTTTATTTATTTGAGACACTCTGTATCTTGTAAAAATATTTTTAAATTGTAGCTCTGATAGTCCTTCAACGAACCCAAAACTTACAATTTGTAAAAATCTAATCGTTTAGCTACAATACTCCGTGTCGTATGTGGTGAACAACCCTGTATGAATTACCTCAATTTCTGTAGAATTGATGGTATCTACCCATTCTTCGATACCAGGAAATTTCTGACAATGCTTGCAAATCATGCCATGGAAATAGACAGCTTTAGAATTTGCTATGAGGGTTCTCAAATCTTCCTTGGTTTCGGGTATGAATTCTGTTTCGGCCACTTCGAAGATAGGCAACACGAACACTTCTTTAGGGTCGGTTTTGTCGTATGTTTCTATCATCTTAAGAAAACCACTTGCCATATCTAAAAATAATATTTATATCAACGACAATATAACAAAACGCTTTTTCAAACACTATATTAATGAAATCAGAGGCAATTTTATGACGATATTGAATACAAAGAAATCGTAAAAATATACAAACAATAAAATATATTATCTGAAAAATTATCATGTGGTATAATTATTATAACTAATTTTCCACCATACCACAGAACACTCCTACTAAGCATGGACGCATGTCTTACTATGTTAGCATCATCATCAGATGATTAAAACTGAGGATTATCCAATCGTCTTTTTATTTGGTATGTCGTTCTCCTCCTATCTCTAAATCATATTCTTTACTCTTATCTTGCTCAAAAAATCTAATAACTTAGAGGCCAAACCTACCATATAGATTTAGAATGTGTCCTGTCATTTATTCTTATAAATTACGGACTCTGCATATTATTTTGCCAGTCAATCACAACAGCTTTATATGTGTATTGAACTTGCAATGGCGTGTTAGTAGACCCACTATAGTTTTGACAGTTTCCTGTCTTTGCTTACATGGTATGCTGTTGGTTATGGTGAGTGTTCTATTGTAAACTGTGCCGTATGTCTGCGCCCTTGTAAATTGTTTAGCCCTTATAGAGATTTTTTAATTACCCAGTGTCTTGTTCAAAGTTTTTTTGCGTTATTAAGTTTTGTTTAGACATTTCATCTGTCTTTTTATTGCCCTTGTAACCTTGTCTGCTGATGATGCTTTAAGATTTATTGTTGGTAAAACGTATGTACAAAGAACAAAATAAAATGTTTTGGGGTATTGTGGTAAATTTGCTTTATAACAATAAAGGTTTAAATTCAAATTTTATTTATCTATGCAATAATTTTTATTATAAGATAAAGCAATATGTTATTTTACTTTATACGCATTGAATCTAGTCAGGCTGGCTAAAAGATCAGCCCATTTTGTTCCTAGAAACAGTGTACTGCATGAATAGTTAAAATATAAAGTGTTTAAATGCATAATCTAATGGTATATTACATACAAACTGTTTTTGAAGCAACATAAATTTATATGAAATATATTTCAGAGGGTTTATATAAAATATGGAGCAACTATGATTAAGAAATGAACCATGGTTTCTGTTCAATTAAACGACAAAGAGTTAAAATACAAATTAATTTTAAATGCATAATTTAATGACACATGATACACAAATTTTTTTAAGAGCTGTTGTTTTATTCAAATGTCAAAGGTATACTTTGAGATAATGCAATATCTCAATATTGAGTATTAATATTTGTTCCAAAGAAGCTCCTTTTTATTTTTCTGTATAAAGCTAAAATTTATTAAATAAGGAATATTTAATAATTTACCTTTACTAGGCATTAGCTGGACATCAGAAAGTAGAACGTATTTTGTCAATGACGATGTTCTTGCTACATTCCGACATACATTTATCGGATAGATTGTTGTGTCATCAAAATTCGAATAAACTTGTATCTTTGAAGAATCCTAGTAAAATAAACAGGTCTAAATACAATTAACCATATATATTTCAAGAAAAATAATTTTTAGGAATTTAAATATTTTTTTTTGCAAATACAATAGATTTATTCTCAATCTAGAGAGCGTTTCAGGTTTGAGGTATTTTAAAAATACATATAATTTGATTGTAATGTGAAGGGTTCATAATAAAGAAACATTTAAATTCTTTTATTAAAATTATCTTTCTTATTCAATTCAACAAAATGAAATTTTATAAAAAAATATATACATATTTTAATTTTGAAATATCTTATTTCATTTTTAATATAATCTTAAAGTCAAATATACTATTATCTTCAAATATTGGTACTAAAGCATCTACAGTCATCGAGAGACGGGACAATTTTGACAGAAAGAACAATTTATTTTTAAATAAAATGAAAGACAATAACTACTGTCTCTATCATATACTGTCTCAATCTTTGAATAAGAAGACTAAGGAAGGAGCATATCAAAAATCTTAGGTACACCGCGATGGGCCTCAAATATAGCCGACTTAAATTCCGGTTTATCAGTGTCGTTCTAATTTTATTTAAAAAATGTAAAACTATGATGTAGGGTAGACGTATAACAATAAAAATTGTTATAAAAATATATAATTCTAATAAAAATAGATAAGTTATAATAAGTATTTATTAATACAAACATCCGATACGCTACTGAAGCAGGTAAGTCAAATTAACGTTCTTTGGCATCTAATCTTTGACAAGTAATAAATAAAAGCTAAAATACAAGAAAAATATATAATTTAGTTAATTTAAGTGAATTTCATAAATGATCGGTTTACTACACGTATGTATATTATATAGTCACTTACTAGCGAAAAGTTGTTCCTTTATTTCACTCAATTTATGCCGAGATCTACCGCACGCTACACAACCAACTATTTTAGAGTCTTTTTCGATAAATCGCGATAGTGTCACTGTTAATTTAAGTTCTGCCACAATTTCCATCTAGATTTACTACCTTTATACAACTATCAGTAGTAGAATAAATAATAAATAACATAAAATAAGCTCCGTAAAGACTGACAAATCCACAAAATTTCAAATCAAATTCAAATGTGTCAAATGAATCGTCAAACAGAACTGTCAAGGATCCCCACCCTAGAGTACTTTTTCCGCCCACCATGCATGAATACATGGATAGCATTATGCTCCTTCCTTAGTCTTCTTATTCAAAGGTCTCAATAGGTAGATTATACTGATATATAGTAATCAAATAATGGATTTATTAATCTTACTATTGGAGTGCAACTGTCAGGTGGGTCAAAATAAATATCCTTTTTTGATATTGGCAGGGACTGAGGAACGACGATATGTATGGACACCCTGTACATTTCTGGTTCGCAATAGCAGTACTGATTAATTTGTTCCAAGAATAGAGCTGCATCCAAATCGGGAACAAAGGCTGCCACAGATATCAATCCATTCCAGTACCTTTACGTATATACATAAAGAGATAAATACCCTATGATCTAAAAAATGGCGTCAAATGGGTTTGGAAATGACGACCGATTTTCCATAATATGGTGGTCTAGTTTTTATATCATAAAATCAATATATTTTTACCAAATCGCAATAAATGTACTATTTGTTCTTACCTTAAGAGCTCTGGGATATAATACGCAAAATTTGCAGTGACATGAGTGGCATATGTCACTTTAGGCACATCCTCAATGTTGTAAGCTTCAGTAACATTATACAGTACCCTGTAGGGAGATTTCCTTCTTTCACTTGGTGGAAAGTCGTACCTTCTGTATTGAAAATCGTGAGGAAGGTCATAATTAAATTTACAATATGATTTGTTTATGTTGGTCTCTGGTTCGTGAAACCGTAGATAAGCTAAAAATTTTAAACATTCTATATTAATCGATATAAATAAAATTATATTCACGAATTTTGGATATTGGCTACATATGGCTAGAAATTGCCTCACGCATGGGTGCTTGGGTGGTATCAGATTCGTTTTTTTTTTCGTTATATAATATACTTATTTATACATCGTTATTGCATACCTGAGGGCATTCTATCATCTATATTCAACTGAGATTCATCTTCCTGTAGTACATCCACATCTTCAATTCCTAAATCAATTGCCAATCCATTTTTATCCTTAGTCTTAGTTCTATTAAGACTAGCTAGCCGTTCGTTTACCTAATCAAAATTAATTTAATTTTAGTAATAAATTTAAACAAATGATGTAAATAGACATCAACCCTTATAATAGGCCAATCAAATTAGAGTGTTCACTTGGAAAAAAGTGTTGGAAAGCTAATTATGGTCTTGATTTGTTCAGTTGACATGAAAGATACGTCGTATTCTAGTTTTGCACGGTTGCTCAACCGCCGCTCGACTCAGGAGGACCAAAGGATGGTAAAATTCTTAGACTTTTTTCAGATTTTCGCCTATAGTTTCGAAACTTTGCTCATAAACATATTTGGAAAAAGCATTTTTTTACGAAGAATTTGGTACCACACACTTGGTATTTCGAGTTAAATTTTCGCAAAATGAACTGCATATTGCAATTTCAAATAAACCATATTTGAAAATGTCGAAAGTTGACATATGATATCTCATTCTATTCAGAATGTCATTTTCTATCAAATAAAGTAGCGAAATAGCGAGGGTGCCATTTAAAAATCAAAAGTTGTGGTGGAAATCATAATTTCCGGTGAAGCAGGAATTGACCGAAAACAATTTCACACGTCCATCAATCCTAATTTATGTTATATACTAACATTCCAAATCTCGCTTTTTTATCTGAAAAGAAAATAAAAAAGTTATAGGGGTGAGCCATTTTTTAGACGTACCCGGTATACGTACCAAAAAATGCTTAATTATACAAATTTTCTGTAGAAAGTTGATTGAATCGTATCTTATCAGATAATGAATAAACAGTAAATATTATTTCACTACTCAGAAAAAAAAATGAATGGCATTCATAGAACTCGGTATGATAAAATATTTGATTTGCTTTTTATTTGAATTCGTTAGTACTATCCTTAGTATACAGGGTGCTACAAATTCGAGATACGAGCATTGGTATCTCGGAAACCGTAATAGATACGGAGATGGTTAAATTGGGGCAAAGTTGCGCCTTGGGCTGTTCACAAAGATGCCATCAAAAATGTTTTAAAAATTTCAAAGATTGTTGAGTTTTTTGAAATAAAACGTATTTTTTCGAAAACTAATTTTATTTTTTCCTGTCGTTACTTTTTAGAAAATCAAAGAACTAATTAAACATTCTCATAGCCACTTTATTAGGGCTATCTGATAGTATTTTTAGATTTTCAAATTAGCTGATAATTTGTAAGATACAGAATCCAACTTAATTTTTTTAAATACGGACCTGCATTTTTTATTTCAGATTTTGAAAGAACTCAGTCTCGTGAGTATAATGATATGCCACACTTTACACTTTTCTTTGTTTTAGGTACCTTAACAGCAACAAAACTATTTAATTATTATCTAAAAAAGATTCAAGTCCGACTCTGTCGATTGAATTTCGACGAATTTTTTCGAATAATTTCGTCGAAATTATTTAATCTGATTATATTCATCCCAACAATATTCTTCTTCTTCAAATGCCTTCTTCGTTGCGAAGGTTAACAATCATCAGTGCTATACGTATTCGTGACACAGCCGACCACAGAATATACTAACGAAAAAGAAGCCCAAGTTCCTTGTAATAAATCGATTCCATTTTCGTAACGCCATCTCTCGACATAGCTGACATTTACAGGTTAGCCAAAGGGGTGCGGGGCCGGGGGGAATTGTAAAATACACTTTTATTTTAATTATTTTTATTCGCTATTTGCAATTTTATTTTTAAAACATATTATGTGAAACAATCACATAATATGTCTTAAAAATAAAATTACAAACGGAAACAAAAGGAATTAAATAGTCTGAAAATCTACAAAGTTTATTGATAAAAAAGTTAGGCTATGCAAATTGATATATTAAGTATAACCTCTTTGGTATAACATTGTTAAACAAACATTAACAAATCATTACATATCAGATCATAGAACTAAAAAAAGTACTATTACATAAAAACAGGTGATACAATACTTCAAAATTAATTTTAACATAATATCAAAACCGAAAAATCAAACTGCAAACACAACCACACTTATCACAACAGAAATTAACACACACTTTCGCGGCAAATGTCCAAGAATGACTGATCATTCTGATTGGTCCTGGTCCGGTCGTAGCTAACGTCGTATTGTCGGTAAGCAAAATCCCTGTACAAAAATTTTGACGATCAGCGCCATTACCCGTCATAATTGGGAAACTTTTGCTGGAACCATTTTTAATATTTCACTTACATGGCCCTGCAGCCGACGGAAATAGTTGGTTTGTGGTGCACCCGAACCAGTCACGTAAGTTTCTCATCCATGAGTGGCGCCTTCTTCCTACACTTCTCTTTCCTTGAATTTTTCCTTGTAATATCAGTTGGAGTACGTGGTACTTTTCTCCTCTCATGACGTCTCCAAGGTACTAAAGTTTACGATTTTTTACCGCTATGATAATTTCTTTTTCCTTTTTTATTCTTTTCAGGATTTCCATGTTGGTCACTTTATCGGTCCATTTTACCCTAAGTATTCTACTGTACAACCATATTTCGAATGCCTCTAGTTTCCTTATGTCAAGTTTCTTCAGAGTCCAAGCCTCTACACTATAATACAGGAGCGACAAAACATAGCATCGCACCATTCTGATTTTTAAATCCAAGCTGAGATCGCTGCCACAGAGCACTCTTTTCATTTTCACAAATGTTCTCGCCTGTCCTATTCTAGTTTTAATTTCTTCAGAACAACAATATTGATCAGTGCTAATTAACATTGAATAAAGAAAATTGAGCCAATTAAAAAATTCAAATAAATAATATCCAGATCAGCAATTTAAAGATATTTTTTTTAACTTTTCTTATTGTGAATTTGAAATTCTCAGTGTACGATCTAATAATTTGCATAATATTAATCTTAGTTGTTATGAATAAATTAACTTCTACAAACTAGTTTCTAATGCTCTACATAGTCTACATGTTCGAAAGGGTTTATTTATTTTACCACCCTCCCTATTGCACAAATTTATTTTTCGCTGGCCATTATACTGCTCTACTGTAATAGAATAATATCAAGCTTGGTAAAATTTTATCTTTTGGTTTGTTATTCTAAGATGGGACCATTTCAGTTTACGAAGTTATCAGTTGACATAGGCAAACGAATTTTAAAAGGCCTAAGCAAATAATCTAATGATATTCAAGACACATAAACTCTCTAAAAGTACGCATATATCCTGAGAAACTAACTAAGCAAATAATACAATCTTCTAAATAATTTAAAGTCACATAAACGAGGGTAAAGTAGAACAAACATTCATCCCTTATTATCAAAACTCTATTTGACAGAGTGGTACCAGTTGTGTGTGTACCCTAGGGATATCTCAAAATAAACAACGCAGAAAAAGCACGTATGCATGCTTAACGAAATAAGTAAAATTAAATCATCCCCTCGCTGGAGGTTTTAAATTGAAAATTAAAAGTATTAAATATATGTTTTAAAATCAGAATCCAAATGTTCACGAGATGAATGTCTGAAAATGATAGAAATAGGATTATCTTTTTTTCCGTTCCTAGAGTTAAATAGAAATAGACAAATGAATGAAGAAATAAAGATTTCATTTCTAGGCGGTTTTTTTTAAGGTAATCCTATGATTCGGTATCATTTGTATTAGTTAAGGTAGATTATGAATGTTATTCAGCAAATGGGTAAAAGAGTAAGATTTACACGGAAGGGTTTGGAAATTACAATAAATAATAAATAGGACATGCTGATGCCCTCTCGGAACAAGGACCAGAAACAAGGGTGAAAGCAGTCTAGGGATCTTTCGGGGAAGGAGCCCTTCGGTCAATTAAAAAGGTGCAAAATATGCATTTGGATGGGTATTCGCAGGTTCCTCAAACAGGGGCGCGCCGAAGATGTAGTAACGCCTTTCCGAGATAGTACCAGCATCAGTATTTTCATCTTCAAAATTAGTTCGGTACTGACTTTTAAATTAGACGGTCGAATTTACTCCATGTAGATCTTATATTATCCAGTGGTCTTTTTAACTGTTTTAGTAAGTTCTCTATCTAAAGATTTTCTCAAATAAATTCTCAAGTTAGGAAATTCTAAACTATTCATGCTTAAGTATTTTAATTGTTGTTTTTGGATTTTCTGTAATATTTTTCTTGATTAATGATTTAAGACTTTCTGTTTGTTCTAAAGGCTTTAGTAAATTTTAGATGTCATTGCATAAGTGATTATTTTGCAATTATTCTTTTTATTAAATTCTAATTTAAATTTAATTGTTCAGTGAATATTTTTTTTTATATTAATTTTCTGCCAACGATAATTCTAAGAGTGATTTGAAAGTGTGTGCTAATTGTTGATAATTTAAATTGGACTAATAAGAAGGATATTTTGTATTTTTTTTTAACTTTATTATCTCTGAGTTTTAATTTCAATTCTCTAATTGTCATTAATTATTTTTGATTCAATTTCTTTCTTTTTCATTAATTATAAATGTTTTGTTGTTAAATCTTTTTCTTTATTTTTTTATTTATTTATTTATTTATATTAAATATAGTTAGGTGTTGTGAAAAATCGGTATTTTATTTCTTTATTTCACCTAATCACTAAAATATTAAGTTATTTAAAAGAACACTGTGATAACCGGTCGAATGGTTCAATCCAAAGTATGAGTCCAAGACCGAAGAGGTAGATCTACAAGGGGATCAATGATATCTTCGACAGGTTCTTGTTGTTGATGTATTGCTGATGGATGTTGACGAAATAAGGTAAGTGGCAATAGAGTTTATAGTAACTGAATTTAGAAAGAGCCCTTACCATAAAAGTGCGATGCCTTAATTTCTATTTTTAGCTGGCTGGTTATATTTTGTTTTTTTATATATAAAGGATAAACCATATTTACGCTCTGAAAAGACGGTGCTCTCATTAATCCAAGTTCTGCCTACCGCTCAATAAATTATTATAATTATAATAATTATTATAAAAAGGCCACACTACCATGATAACGGACAAAGTCTTGAAAGTTTTGTCACACTACCATTTCCAATCCATCATCCGGAGAATTTTTTTTTCCGTATTCAACCCACGTCACTGTTAAGTTTGAAAGCTTATCAATACTGTAACGAGATGAATATATTAAACATTAAAAAAACAGAGCCGGACTTTAAATTAGTTTAAATAAATTGTGTCCAAATTTTCAAAACAAAAGAAAATATTAAGTATGGCATATCATTGTACTCAGGAGAGCGAGTTCTTTCAAAATCTGAAATAAAAAATGCAGGTCCGTATTTTAAAAAATTAAGTTGGCCTCTGTATCTCACAAATTATCAGCTGATTTGAAAATCTAAAAATACTGTCAGATAGCCCTAATAAAGTAGCTATGAGAATGTGCAATTAGTTTTTTGATTTTCTAAAAAGTAACGACAGGAAAAAATAAAATTGATTTTCAAAAATATCCGTTTTTTTTTTCAAAAAACTCAGCAATCCTTAAAATCTTTAAAACTTTTTTGATGGCATCTTGGTGAACATCCCAAAGCGCAACTTTGCCCCAATTTAACCATGTTCGTATCTATTACGGTTACCGAGTTACCAATGCTCGTACCTGGAATTTTTAGCACCCTGTATTTAGAGATACTATTTCTGGATAACAATACTTTATTGATAAGTTGGCAAGTTACGTCGAATCGTCGAAACACCGGTTTCCTATATATCACCGAAGTTAAGCGACGTTAGACAATGCGAGTGGATGGACGGGTGAACGAACGTCTGGAATTTAGAATTTTAGAATTTAGAATGAGTGGGAGGGGGGTTAATCACTTCGACCTTACAGATCCATTGTGTCCCCCTTTCTTGAATCATAACTCATCATACAGTCCCAGGGCTTTGACAAAAGCCAGTATCTGGGACGGTTTTATAGAGGGTAGTTCTCCATCTCCAATATCAGTCATACCAAAATTCATGGCACGAATGGTTATCGTCTCGGCGCACTCAGTGATGAGGTGTACTGGTGTTTCACAATCTTCCCCACAGAATCTGCATTCGCCGTTTCTTCTTAGTTTCAATCTACTGAGGTGTTCATTGAGGAGACAGTGTCCTGTTAAAAACCCCGTGACAATCCGAAGATTGTTCTTACTCAGACCCAGGAAGATCTGTGATTTTTCTTGATCATAAGCCCTCAGAAACTTCTTCGAGTGTCTTAGACCATTGCAAGATTTCCATTCCAGGTTGCGGATGGAATCTTCCAAGTTCTTGAGTTCCGCCTTGAGTTGGTTACCACTTGGAAAGCAGAACGGTTCTGGTCCAGTTAGTGGAGTGTTCGCGCCTTTCCTAGCTAGATTATTTGCTTTTTCATTGCCTTCTATCCCTTGGTGAGCAGGCACCCAGTGTAGGAGGACTTTGTTTTCTTTGCCTAATTTATTCAGCTTCTCTATGCATTCTTTGACCAATTTCGAATTGATTGATACTGAGTTGATCGCCTTTAACGCTGCTTGACTATCAGATAAGATGGCTATTTCTTGTTTCCGATAGTTCCTATCTAAGATAAGTTGTACGCATCTCTCGATAGCGTAGATTTCTGCCTGTAGGATACTAGGGTAAGTGCCCATTGGTTCGGAGTAATTAGCTCTCGGCCCAAACACTCCGATCCCTGTTCCCGTATTGGTTTTGGAAGCATCAGTATACCAAGTTATGGTATGGTCTTTTAACTGCTGGGCAAGCGTTTCGCTCTTCCAATCATTCTTATTGCTCAATACTACATTGACATGTTTACAAGTTACGGATGGAGTTTTCCAGATTCTTTAGTTCCGGTTTCAGCTGGTTCCTGTTTGGAAAACAGAACGGTTCTGGTCCAGTTAGTGGAGTGTTCGCTCCTTTCCTAGCTAGATCATTTGCCTTTTCATTGCCTTCTATCCCTTGGTGAGCAGACACCCAGTGTAGGAGGATTTTATTTTCTTTGCCTAATTTGTTGAGCTTCTCTAGGCATTATTTGACCAACTTCGAATTGATGGTTACTGAGTTGATCGCGTTTAGTGCTGCTTGACTATCGGATAGGATGGCAATTTCCTGTTTTCGATAGTTCCTATTTAAGATAAATTGTACGCATCTTTCGATAGCGTACCTCTCTGCCTGAAGGATACTGGGGTAGGTGCCCATTGGTTCGGAGTATTTAGTTTTCGGCCCAAACACTCCTATATCTCTGTCCTTGCTTTGGTTTTGGAAACATCAGTATACCACGTTATGGTATGGTCTTTTGTATGCTGAGTAAGCGTTTCTTCCTTCCAATCCTTTTTATTACTCAATACTACAGTGAGGTGTTTCTCAAAGTTGTAAATTCTTGGTGTGTCATCCACTGGAAGTTGGAGAAGAGAAATTTTCTTTTTGAGGGTGTTCCAAGCCTCTGACCTGAAAATTCTCCCAGTACTGTTTCCGTCAATGGCCGTTCTAATCATTGTTGCATTGGCATAACTACCAACGACAATATGCAGTGGTGTTAGTTCTAGAATGACCTCCATTGCTGCTGTTGAACATGTTCTCATGGCACGTGTGATGCAGATACATGCCAGTCTCTGTACTTTGCACAGGTACGTCTGGAAACTCTGTCGTGCTGTTGTTCCATGGCAAGAGTGTAAATCTATTGACACACGCTGCTCATTAACGCAGCGCCGGTTCGAGACCCGATAAGATCGTGATATCTCGTGACCACTGACAACGACATGCATGGCCGAGGACCGCAGTTCGGATTCCGTGTAAACGAAGTAAGTAAGTAAGTAATAATAAAATTGTTAAAACTATTAAAAACAAAAAAATAATTACTCACCAAATTTATGAAATTTTCTCTGGTGTCTCTATAAACAATATTTTGGGACGTTTCAGGTAAATTTTTTCTTGTAAAAATTAGAAAAACTAAGGTAAAAACTACTACTACTGCCAGTAGTTTGAAGTATCTTTGCGACTGTCCTAGGTGCATCGCACATAATTGGTTTTATACTCTTCAAATGTGTATCTATAAATTAGTAAATATTCTATATGAGGTAAGGGAAATTTAATGTATAATTGCTGATATTACTAAATTATTTTTAAAACATCTTGCAAACAGTATCACAGTAGACTTATTATGTTATATTTCATATCAATTCGAGAAGCACTTAATATTGATATAAAACAATAAAAATTTTATTGACCTAGTCTTATTATATGATTATAAGATATTGCAATAAATACAATATAAAGTATGTTATTATGTTTTTAAAATAAAATATATTACGTAAATGTTACAGTAAAAACCAGACAGAGAATTAGTAAATGTAACAATAACAATTACTAGTAAGCTCTCAGATTAACTTTTTTGCTAAAACCACGTCAGTAAAAGTTCAATAACTAATTTTGAAACAACTTTTTACTAGAGAATGAACTACTACTCGTGTTTTACTACTACATTCAAAAATAATATGCTATATTATATTATATATAATATAATACAGTGGCTGTGGTACACATATTTTTGCAGACAGTTTTTTTCGTCCAAAAATTTTAAATATGTTTTTTCTCAAAAACGGTTAATGTTAAGTACAGAGTCTTTAATATCAAAATTCATAAAATTTTACAAAGAATTTAAGTATGTAATAAAAAATGGGGGCACCCCTTTAAAATAAGAAAGTTGTTATCAACACCCAGTATTTTCGGAAGTGCCGTCATATTGAAAATACTTTTAATTGATAGATCTCATTGTGAAACAATGATGTGCAAAAAATCTCCGATGCACGCTCAGCCTGGAACACCCCGTATATCTATGTAATGCTTCTTTAAATTCTTTAACTCAAATTTCGATGCAAAAAATATGTGACTAATTAAAAGATTAGTATTTTTTAGAATTTCTACACTATACAAACAACTCTGCTACCAGTCTATACGAACAATTCTACTATACCAACAACTCCAATCTATGACAGAACTATATTTATTTAATTATGAATTATTGGAATGAAGCTTTAATTTTTACCACAATTTCTCTTGACTAATGATAATCAAAAGCCAAATTGACATTACTACCAAATTTAGAAGTATAATTAGTGTAAAAACTTAAAAGTTTGTTAATTTTATTTACTAACTGAAAAATTTTACAACTAATTCTGACGTTCTGACTGCTTACATTGAAATTAGAGGAACAAACTTCTGTGCTAATTGAAACCACTAATTCATTCAAGTAATTACGAGTTTCTGAATGAAGCTTAAAACTGAATCAGTGACACTGATTAAGTAAGATTGATACAACCCGCCGATATTCTTTTAAAAATATTAATAGCCAAAAATTAATAATATAAATCCACTCACTTATAATTTCTTTAATTATTATTTCTTTGTTTCTTTGTTACACTGCGTTCACAATATGAAAACTACACAAAACCAGTTAATCATCATTTTAGCGAAACATTGAAATACGACTGATCGTATCAAAATTTGAACCGCACCGAAAAATATTTCAAACTTTTTATCTACAATTTAATCCTTTAACAATTATTACATAGATAAAATGGTCTGAGTGAGGTAAATCTCCTGAATATATAAAAAGAAATAGTCACAATTTTGTATAATTAATTAAGCGTTTTCTAAGAAAAAAAATTATAGGTTATTATAGAGTTAGGTGCTGTTTACCGCTTTAAAATGTCCGTAGACAAGTTATGTTAGGTTAGACAGGTGTTATATCGACCGTCTTCTGTTATGGGGCAGACGGGGCAGTTTTTGAACATTTCTCGCGGAATTCATTAACTCAGTAGGGGTGAAAGTTACCCTCTCATAACTGCTAAGTATTTCTAATTCTTGTCTAGATTATACGGAAGAATCAGGAGCCTTTATTCTTTTGCAAATATATCCATAGAATTAGATCCATGGGCACTAAGTCCGGCGGCTTCGACGGCCAACGGCTGAGATCTTGGTTAGCTATTCAATTATTCTTGAAATTGGCTGCAAAAATTTGCTGATAACTTCAGCGTTCAGAGGCGGTGCGTCGTCTTGCTGGAAAAATATGTTTTCGAGTTCCATTAAGGGCATATCATCAATAAGGGGTCCAAAGCCTACTAGTTAAAAGTGGCGAACTTTTAAAAATTCTGTATTTCGAAGGGGATTATAACAAAATATCAAGTGTGCTATATTTTTGGAAAGGTAATTTTAAATTCTTTTCAGTTAATTATAAAAATATAGAGGGTGTCCCAAATAAAATATCAATTTTTCTGTTGATAACTCTTAAATTTAGAATTAGAATTAGAATAAGTGGGAGGGGGGTTAATCTCTGCGACCTTAGAGATCTATTGTGTCCCTCTTTCTTGAGTTATAACTCATCATACAGTCCCAGGACTTCCTACGGAGACCCGTGTCCCTCACAGTCGAGGAGCTACGACCCAAGCCGGGTAGACGAAACGGTAGCTTGTGTCGCCTGTTGGGTTTAGAGGTAGAAGGTAGGCTCCCGACCCTTGGAGGAGGTGGTAGCTTGTATGCCACTTGCGGAGGATGGTCTCACCCAAGTGTCAGCCACCTCTCCTGTAGTTCTCTTTGGGTTTGGCCCCTTGGAACTTTCATTGTTACTGTTCCCAGTGTCGCTAGAGGGTTTCTCCACAGCTTCACCGATGATGTTTTTATTACTATTATTATCAGATCTCATAGTGTTCCTATGAGTCGCTAGGGACAGTCGGTCCACTTCTACAGAGCCCCGCATGTAGAAGTAAGGGGTAAAATACAATGGGGTGCCCCCCGGTGCCCCAATGTTGAGGCTGTCCGTAGCCCCGCCCGGTATCGTTATATGTCTTGGTGCAATTCCCTGGCCACAACACTACAGTCAGGGACAAGACGATGAGTGAGATGCTTCTTAGACCAAGCCAAGTGCTAGAGGGGATTCCCCCCAGCACCTGACCAGGAGCTTCCCCACCAACGACAAGGTCTTGCATCTCCTAGGGGAAGTAACTCTTAAATTATTAATTTTAAAAAATTATACTTAAACCATTACATTCTACGTAAAAAGGTGCTTTGGAAATGTTTTCATAGAAATACAAAATTTTCCATAGAAAAAAAGTTACAACGATTTGTTAAAAATGCACATTTTTGAAAAACACCCCGTAACTCCGAAACGGTAACACATATTGATGTGCGGTTTTCACCATCATGTTTTTGATGAAAATTGAGCTCCAGACACCGATATTAGTTTTTGTCTATCTCCTATAGAAAAGGGTGTTTCCATTTAAAAGCGTCGAATTTGACCCACCCTGTACATTAACAAAAAAAACAATTAAAAAAAATTTTGTAAACTATCTGGTAAGTATGTAAACTAGCAGCTATTTTAGTAAACTGAGGTAAAATCCCAATCTTAACCAGATTTTGTAAATAGTTTGCATACTAACCAGTTAAAATATAAACTAGCTGCGGTTGTCTGCTATTTTGCAAGAACAGGCGGATTCTTTCAAAATAACAGCACTTTTAGTTAGTTTGCAAAATAGCTGGCTCGTTTTAAAATTAGCCAAGTATCCATTTTAGCCGTAACATATACATTTAATTTTTAACAGCAGAGTTTTTTTTAATTCATTTTTTAAGTGACAAGGCATGTGACAAGATAATAACATAATAATAAATAGATAACCTCACAACTGACCACAAATAAAAAAGCTTTATTAATATCAGAAATGCCCAAGTATTTCTTTGTAACTTTTTTTACACTTTTGATACACGCTCCCTCTGCTAGTAAAAAAGCATACACGATATACCTTTTTTTCTTTTGAGCATTTAATTTTCCCAATACGATCGGTCCCAGTGACGATCGAGTAATTTTACCATCTTGGGCTCTCTTACTAAAAGTTTTTGGAGACTGTTGATGTAAATAGGATGAATCTGGTAAGTTTATGGTGTTTTTGTTTATTATTACTTACAATATGATTATTGATTATGATTTGATTTATTATACCTACTCACATAGTTACTGCTTATTACAGAATATTTTAGTCATCATCAATAGTCGAATAGAAATACGTATTTTAAAATTCATATTTTCAAATTTTTTATTCGTTTCTGTAACGGTAACAAAATGACGACATGTAAAAAAATTAGAATAAAAATTAATATCATGATTTCGCTAATATTACAATCGAGCCTTTGCTTTAATCTTTTAACAATTATTACATAGATAAGATGGTCTGAGTGAGGTAAATCTCCTGAATATATAAAAAGAAATAGTCACAATTTTGTATAATTAATTAAGCGTTTTCTAAGAAAAAAAAATTATACGTTAATTATTATTTGTTAATTATACGTATTACAATCGAGCCTTTGCATCGTAACCTTTAAACACAAATATCTTGAAAATCGTTCAGTGTAACAAAGAGTACCATTTTACGTAGAAAAATCCTAGCTTTTTATGTCATTGTTGAAATTACTGTCTCTATAAGGACAAAATTATTGTACTACCAGTAGTACCCTAATGAAAAGTACACTTTCAGGGCTGTTACGGAAATTTACACCATCACCATTTTTGACACCCTGTATAGTTAAATTAAAGAATAAAAGACTAATATCTTACTTGTGCTTTGTTTCTCACATGATATACGTAATATGTTTTTTTTTTAGATTTAGGAGGATTATGAAGATCAAGCTCTAAAAGAATACGATTTATAAAAATACATTTCAAAATCGCACATGAAAAATAATAAAAAAGTACTTTTACATGTGTCTGATGTTATCTTTATATAGTGTCAATCAAACTTCGGTGAAATGACGACATGTAAAGAAATTAGAATAAAAATTAATATCATGATTTCGCTAATATTACAATCGAGCCTTTGCTTTAATCTTTTAACAATTATTACATAGATAAGATGGTCTGAGTGAGGTAAATCTCCTGAATATATAAAAAGAAATAGTCACAATTTTGTATAATTAATTAAGCGTTTTCTAAGAAAAAAAAATTATACGTTAATTATTATTTGTTAATTATACGTATTACAATCGAGCCTTTCCATCGTAACCTTTAAACACAAATATCTTGAAAATCGTTCAGTGTAACAAAGAGTACCATTTTACGTAGAAAAATCCTAGCTTTTTATGTCATTGTTGAAATTACTGTCTCTATAAGGATGAAATTATTGTACTACCAGTAGTACCCCCTACCCTAATGAAAAGTACACTTTCAGGGCTGTTACCGAAATTTACACCATCACCATTTTTGACACCCTATATAGTTAAATTAAAGAATAAAAGAAGACTAATATCTTACTTGTGCTTTGTTTCTCACATGATATACGTAATATGTTTTTTTTTAGATTTAGGAGGATTATGAGGAAGATCAAGCTCTAAAAGAATACGATTTATAAAAATACATTTCAAAATCGCACATGAAAAATAATAAAAAGTACTTTTACATGTGTCTGATGTTATCTTTTTAAATTTAATCTTTTTATAGTGGTATTAAAGTAATAAAACGTAATCTTTTAGTCCTTTTTACTATACAAGTCTTGAAATTCTTGTCAGCAGGAGTCGAGATACCAGACTTTTAAAATTGTAAGCAAATATTGAAATTTTTGTAAGATGCGGTTTTGTATTTGCTCTCTTTAAAATGAGGTTTGAGTCTTAATAATGTGATTTAAGACGCCTTGTTTTCAGTTCAGTATAGTCTGTCCAACGAGAAGATCCTTGACAGTGATAGATGTGTCTGTCATTTGAATTTCAAAGCAGTTTATTTTATTTTACAAAGAAATAAATTGGTACAACTGGAACGCATAGCAGGAAATTAATATATGTATTTAAAATTTGACTGACAAGTAACTTCAAAATATTGTGAAAAAAACTGTATAAAACTGAAAAATGTAATCGAGTTAATTTATTTAATAAAAAACGGTATGTGTTAATACAAAACAAACAAAAACAAGACACCACATACCAAAAGATATAAAAAAGAACTATTTCTTACTTTCAAGCTTTATGAAACTTCCCGCATTTATGATTATATTTATCAATATAACTTATATACAAATACAAATTTGTAATATTCCGCAGGAATAAATAAAACAACATAAATAAAACAAACTATTTTATTAATAATAACACTTACCAAATTTTATACCTCACAAGTTATTAATTAACTTTAATCTTAATTTTTTTAAACCAGTACCTTTTGACATTATTTTTCTGCAGTACTAAAATCCATTATTTACCTATCGTGTGATGTCGATATTTTACAGCTACTCCAGTTTTTAGTATGTGTTTAGTATGGTCCTTCTACCATATTCGAGATGCACTTATCTACGACGAGATGGTATACAAACTTTATTGATAGTAACTTTATTGGTGTACCTGTATAAGACGTTCTGCCTGGGCAGCGAGTATTAACCATAAACTGTGCTCTGGATTCTACAGTTAATTTTCACTCGATTTTTCCTCCACTTCAAAAGACACA